AATTCCAAGATACTTGAAATATACTTCTTTGCCTCAAAAAAATGAGAGAAAAAATGGAATTACCATTTCTGAATCCTTAAAGAAGCTAAATTGCTAATATTTGGGACCTAGAAATTGACACAAATGGGTAGCAATGCATGTAATATGCATGTACATGTATATAAACTGATTTACATTCAATCGTTATGTTTGGTGAAATACGTCAGAAGTCTCAATCGAATGACAATCTCTAGCGTCTAGTTATTCCAATCTACACCTATAGTATATATTGCGCATGGAAGAATATGAGGTCACCGTTTGGCATGATTTGTGGAATATATCTAGACTCGTTCTCCCAGTCGCTTGTTAGAAATGGCACTGAAATGCATGGTTCGTGTACCAATGGTAAAATGTTTATTTTGTCTTAAATTGGACATCAGAAGCCTATTTTTCCAGATAAGATCAAAATATCAATGTTGATTTAAATTGACATATAATTCGTGTTTTCAATGTCGAAGACTTTAGATGATATTGAGTTAGAGACTTATCTACTTTAAAGGACAATATTGGTGCCAGTCATCACATATGTGATAGAACTGGTTAAACACGTTCCAAATATCTGTTATCACTCATCACTTCAGTCAGTTATAGAGGGGGATAACTCGTGTTTTCCTTTTGCGTTCGTCACTTCCGATTGTTGAAAGATTGATTACACATCTATCGTAGCAATGATTTCTGTGATAAAATAATATTTGGAACGTGTTTAACCAGTTCTATCATGTATGTGATAATGACTGGCACCAATATTGTCCTTTAAGGACTCCTTAAAAACCCGATATCTTGAGTGTTCACATTTTTAATGCAAGGTACGAAACTCCAAGAACGCGTATATACTTTGGCGTGCATATAAAATAACCCTGCTAGTGCATAAATGACAGGAGAAATACCCCGAGCTAAAACAAATTCAATGCGTGATTCGGTTTCTCTTTTTATCAGTCGAACAACGCCATGTATCAAACAAAATATCAAATGATAGGTTGCCTGATATGTTCCAGAACATAATATCATCAGCCGTTAAAACGCCCAGCCTGTCTGTCAACAATTGGTGCGAAAACCGAAAAACAAGAAACTAAGCCAAGTTAGAAAATAAAATTTCGAAAACGATGACGTACAGGAGGTTTTATACCTATAGGGCGTTGGAGTGAAGTTAACATTAAGGTCATAATTTATCAACCTCTATGTGGTTATTACACAAAATAAAGATGGGGCGAAGCTGATTTTTTTTTTGGATAACGAGCGCGTGTGAAGAGGTCTATACCAGACAAACTATCCTCTGATCTCTGACCTATAATATCTAATAATTAATTAAGCCCTTCCCCTTCTCAGATTTATATTTCTGCTCAAAGATAAGTGACATTAATATCATGCTTGTTATAAGCATTCATTTAGCAAAATATTAAATATATTTCAGTTTGTCGTATTTTACTTCATTAACTGTGCAACTTAAACAAGTTCAGTAAGCCAATATTATGACTGCCCACCATAAGTGTGTCGACACCTGTCTAAAACTGTCAATTAAAAATTTACTGATAAATCGAACGGAGCATGTCAGAATAATCGACGTTTTGTGAACTAGAATGTGAAAATTCTATTGACACTTTTATTGAAATTCGAAGAAAGGTCAGCATTATTTAAAAAATAAATATTCTAATTGCACAGAAATAGAACAACCATGTTAGTCCCAAACTGAGCTATGTAAGACTACTATGTCTCAATTGTCGACAAGGTGCTAAATTCGTGACTTAAAGGAGCTAAATCCCTATTCTTTGGCACCTATAAAATGGACACAAATGGGTTGCAACGCAATAGTGTAATATGAAAAAATGATTTACAATCGTTTCTATTTTTACTGTAATTTCTAATAAGTTATGTTCGGCGAAATACGCGAATAGTCTAAATTGAATTGCAGTCTTTGGCGTCTGGTTATTCAAGTCTACACCGGTAATATTCCCTAGTTGGATATGTTTAGCCTCGTTCATCGAGTCGCTTCGTGTGCCAATTTTAAAATTTTCATTGTGTCCTAAATATTGGATATCAGAAGCCCATCTTTTCACGGTAAGATAACAACATGAATAATAATAATAACAATGGATTTCTATAGCGCCTCGTATCCAAAAGTTTGCTCACTGGCGCTGAGTTAGTCTGTCACATTTACGACAGCTTCCCATCATCTGCACTGAATAGGTGTGTTTTTAGCAAGGATTTGAATGTACACCATGATTTTGCATCCTTAACATGTGATGGCAGTTTGTTCTAGTTTAGGAGCAACAACAGAAAAACTTCTGTCTGTTGATTTAAATTTACCAATAAGTCGTGTTTGCAATGTCGAAGACTGTAAATGATATTGAGTTAAAGACTTGCTTCCTTTAACGTAGATAAACATGATAATTGATTAGACATAGGTCTAGTTAAGAGAGGTTTTCCAATTTGTGATATGTTAAAGACATGGCTCCTTTAACGTAGATAAACATGACAATTGATTAGATATAGGTCTAGTTAAGAAAGGTTTCCCAATTTGTGATATGTTAACTTCTGATAATTAATCGTAATTCATTTCAAAGTAGAAGCAGTCCCAGGACATATATTTAATTATAAATTTATCGCTAACATGAAGCGTCTACTAAACTGCAATAATTGATAATAATTCTATGAATTTCATTTATTTATTGTTTTTGAACGAAATATACATAAAATGCAACATGGTTAAAATCTGCTGGTGGTTCGTGGCGTGTCAGTAATTTATTACAAACTCCACATATACCTAAAAATAAGCGAGACAATTTCTATTATTATTGTCTCTAGTATTACATAAGGCCATCTGAAGACTGCAATCGGTCTATTCTGGGCAGAAGCCGAGCGCGAGTTCTATATAACAGCACGTACATGACGCATGTTCTAAACAGTTTAAAGACGTTTCAGTCAGGGTTGAGTTCCAGGGTAATGAATTATCTCTTTATTGAGTCTGCCTGTTCTACTTTCAAATTGTTTTAACAGCAAAAAATATGCCATTTTATAGTCTATAAGGTCGAAGATCCCCCGGTTTATTGGACCTGTAATGCTTTGGATAGACCACAACTGTCTTCACTATTCTTTTCTTTGCGTCGAAACAAATCAAATGTTTTTCATTAAAACTATTTGCTAAAGTTCAACACCCCTTTGATAAACCAATAATTACTAACGGGCAACTGCTGCGCTACAATACCTAACGAAAGTCGTGAGACCGTTATACTAACAAGGGAGGCAAATCCAAAGAATAATCTTCCATAAAGAATCCCATTCCCTGTTTAAGAAAACTATCACTAATCAATCCCAATTGATTGCAAACATACAAATAAAAGAATCAATAAATATCGATGAAGAATTTTTAATATAAACAATTCATAGTTATATGATTTAAAGTTCACTCTTATTTTTTCCAACCAACTGAACTGAATCAAATCATCTGTCTCAAGTCAATAATGTATGTTAGTATTATTGATGCCATTTGCATTAATGGAATGATAAAAACGGAATATAGAAGTTTATTGAATCCTGCACAGTCATTTGTTATTCCTGAATCGATTAAATTCAAGCTATCTTCCTTCAGAGGTAACTTTCAACTTTACTCCACCTATTAAACTTTTTTTTTTAAATTTCTTATATTGTTACAGCACTATTACTAATTATTTACCTAGTGAATTTAAGCACATTCTAAAATCACATTCCATATTTCAGTGAGTTTAACTGTATCCCAGAATCATGTTTCACAAAGGACACGCAAGACTAAGGTTCACGTAGATCAAATATTACATGTTCTTCGGGAAAATAACAGATTTTGACTCTAATAATACCATTCCTACAGTAATCACAATTCCTACATCAATCAGGTGACTCAATAAGACGTTGGCTTGCTAACCCGGAGGTCCTATGTTCGATCCCGATGTTGGCCGAGAAAGTTTATTGGTATTTTCCGGTATGGTATGGTTCTCCCTTGTCCGTGGTGCAGGGCGGAGGGCCTGGCCTGGGACGAGGTATATAGTCATTTGGATGCGACAGAAAAACAAGGACCCGTGTTCATATTAGGTTGCACATAAAAAAAACCCATGACAGTTGGATTTCAAAATAACGAGTAGGATGTAGTGCCACTGTCCCGGCAAAATTGCCTTCATACCCGTCTTCATTATCCCAGTTGGTGCAGAGCAGTAGGACTTTAATCCTTGTTTCATTTTCTAGTAGTGAAGGTGAATTTGAACAAAAGTACGGATCGACAATAGTCGGCACGCTTTCATTCTATCGTAATTACGACAACACGTAATTTTGTAGGAATGTTACGGACATAAATCTGAATACCGTACGGGGACTAAATATGAAAAATAACGAGGCGCACCTATTTTTTTATTACCTACGAATTTGAATATTTTGTTGACACCTTTAATTGTGGTCTGAAACCGCTTGCTTAAATAACGATAAGAGTTATGCCCCTTTATTTTCGGTAAAAATGTCCGACAAGAAAATTTTAAATTCCCATCACTGATTTCTGCAGTAATGATATTATCTAACATACTCGTTTTATTCTATGTTCTTTGCTGACATCTACCGCCTGTCAATCATTACTATCACATACATTCTATCACAGGGTAAATAATATGTTTAGATATACTTATATAGATTTAGAGCATAAGACTATCAATGACAGTTTGTGTTAAAATTGAAATCTCTAATCATTATTTGACCCATTTCCTCCCTTGTTGCAAACTAAAATATTGTGAATGTTGAATCTGTAAACAGACTATTAATCCAAAAATTCTTCAATTCTGTTCAGTATTTATAAACATATGATAAATTAAACATCTGACACCATTCAGCATCCTTTAGACATTATAAACAGGATATCGTCAAAACAATATTGCTAAAAAAAAATCTTTTGATGTGCCTTTGATTAATCCAACTGAATTCAAGTCAGAAAGTATCTACCAATGATATATTGATTTTCTTTTTTTTAATCAAATAATCAAATTGTGTACATTTTAGCATGGATTAAGCCGTAGATATTATCAGATATAATCGTAACAAGTACTATCGTACTATGGACCAGGAATTGACCATGTTGTTGGATGAAATTCAAAAATCTAATTCACCAAATCGTTGCAGAATTTTTAAAGAAGTTGTATGCCAATTTTCATATTGATCGGACAGCATCACCCCAAGAAGAAAAACAAGATGAAGTGGCTGTTAGCAACCAGTTCCTGGTCAAAAAATGCAAACAAGGACCAGCAGCTTTAATGACAAGCTGAACTAAATAAAAAATCCAGATAGGCAATGGTACATGTAGTGCATATGTTATTAAATTAATTTATAACCATATTTACTGATAATTAAATGTAATGTGTACAACACTTATCATACAGATCAAATTTGATAAATCAACCAGTGAATAAGAACATCAACACCTTAAATGAAACACACAAAAAAACTTTTACACAGTCTTATTTAGAAAATAAATATTTACAATTTAAATACATTGAAATATTTGCATAGGTCAAGTTTACATAAGTAGCTAGCTAGCTTCTCAATACATTTATCATCATTCAATAACCATTTCATTATGCTTTTCTCCTATTTCATCCATAAACTTCTATATCATAAAGATGAATTAATATATAGTCAATGAAAATCAAAAACAAGGCACTTTGATAAATTCACAAAGTACAATAAATACTTATATTATTTTTTAAAAATTATTTGAGAAAGAATGCAAAGATTAATAATTACATTAAATTTGGGAAAACTTACTTCGAAATACATCACAGACGGAAATGTCTTATCTTACAATTTGCTTAATTTGAGACCACTTTGCTTAGAGCATGGCATTATAAACTTATATAATCTGTGTTTAACCACTAAGTTGTTACTAATAATATAATTACAGTCTACTATACTTATTAAACTTTATTACAATAAAATAAATTACAGATGAATACAAAAAAGCACTCAATAAGCCACAAATATCAATTAATACTTTAATAATGTATTGTACCTTGGTTTTTTTTTTAAAAAAAGGAGCAATATAATCGAATTATGAAATATACTGAACTATAATAAAACAATCACCCTGTTATTCAATGAAAATCTTACAATATAAAGACAAAATAATAAAGAGAGAGCAATAATTCAACTTGAGTACATTAAACTATATTTAGAAGTACATATTGACATAATACAAAGTAATATAGATATGGACTATAGAGAGAGAGAGAAATGGGGTTTAAAGTCCACTCGACACAAACTAGGTCATTTCGGGACTAACATATGGTTTAATTTTATTTCAATAATTCGCTTGCGCGTAGGGGTCTTTAGCATTGGGAGGAAACCGGAGGACCCGGAGAAAACCCACGAGGTTGGACAGGCGACCCTACTCCTTGTCACGTACAACCGGGGATTCGAAACCACGCCAGTTGACTCAATGACAGGCCTTATGATACAGCACGAGCATGCTAACCATTCGGCCACCCAACCCCCCATGGACTATAGAAACTTGCATTTATAATTTACCAATAATGCGTAACTGTTATGAGTTGGAAAATATGCAATTTTTTAAAACATTTATGCATGTAGTATAGTTAAATTCCTCTTGCCAAATGTCCTGCTCCTGGCCATAATTGTTGGTTCATATTTCTACAGAAGATGGTATCCAAAAAACATAAGCACAGAAACATTTCATTTCACTCTTACATATGCAGTTATATTTCCTTTTTAAATACATCAATCTTACTAAGCATATGTCAGAAGAAACGTAAATCCCCTTTCTATGATCCCGAGAATATGACACATAGTACAGTATGACAACATTCCCTATGTACATTGTAGATATACTGTATCTCACATACGGCAATCAGATAAGAACCAAATGTAACTCACTAAAACTACAATACTAATAATTTAATGTCACTTTGACTGAAAAATAGCAGTGTAAATGGTATATGTGTTCAACAAAGAAAATGTTTAATAGTTAGTTATTCTTTATTTGATATAATGATAAATAAATATTATAACAAGACATGTTTTGTCTCGGAATAACTTTTTCTTGACAAATATTATGTTATATATTGCAAATGGTCAATCCAATTCAAGAGGATTTTCAGCCCGTCTCTCAGTATATTGGCTACTCTCTAATGACATATCATCATCACTATCTTCAGCTTGATTCATTAAACTCTGTAGTAAATTACCTGTATAAAGTATTGAAAATGTCAAGAAGCTATGTAATCGATATATCATCATTGTATCAAAGTTTTGCTAAACGAAAAAAGAAAAAACGCATGAAGAACTATTCTGATATGCAACTTATTGGGCAATCCAACTGCCCTAAATTCATTGCAAACAGACCAATGTCATGCTACATCACAGTATAACACATATATGTCTTATATAAATTCTTACCAAATATTCCTTGATTTGTTGCTTGTGGTGGAGGTAATCCAAAAAACAACTGACCTATTTTATCCAAATACTGAAAGAAGAAAGAGGAGATCATTCATTATGCTTAATTCATAAACAACAAAATAACATAAATTGAGTTAAATGCCTTTTCATCTTAAATGTCATGCAGAGATTAAAGGCCCAATATTCAGACAATACACAATAAAAAGTAGTCTAACCAAAGAGCATATTAGACCAGAAAGTATTACAATGATCCAATTCTACTGCTTTCTATCGTCTTCTGACCACCATCTTTATTATTTTAGAATCATCAATGACTGAATGTTACTTTATTTAAGCCAAAATAGTATATAACCATGGCATTTTGTTTAATCATTTACGTTACCATTTGAAGAACACTTTTAATGTTAATTAGTCTTCTGGTATATTGCCGTTTTAACATATCCATTTTAATTTTCTGTACCCTAAATCAAGATATGATTGTTATTTACCTCTTTATAACTTGGATCTCTGTTTAATGATGCTTCATATTTGTCACATAATATAGAAAACACAGGTAACTTTCCACTAAAAAACAAAACATTTGATAGGTTATGGGTGATATTGGAGTTTACCATCGCATTGCCCACCAAAATATTCTATGGTTACCATCAAGGAATTGTTGATAAGTATAATATATGCCTGTATTTTAGTTTATCTTTATTAGCTCGGTTGAAGCAGAAAAGTAGACATCAAACCTTAAACTCCTTTTTATTTCATTTTTATCATAGCAGACCTATTTTAAGAACAGTTTCTGCATTAATCCAACTAAGTGAAATAATGATCGAAATTCCAACTGTTATGGGTTCACATGACCCGTTTAATTGTCCCATCCTTTGCCAGACAGATCTTCTTGAATCACTGACAAGGGGAAATCCTGGGTAACTGTCTCTGCCAACACCAACACTACTGGACTAGTGTGTCTGCACCTTAATCACTATAAGCTACTACAGCTTTGTACTACAAAGTTTGTAGTGAGATGGTGGACACTATATGTTGCCACTTTGTATTTATCAAATCTGAATACCCTTTAGGATCTATGGAACTATATTTTTATTCCCAACTGGAATGTTATTTCTTGTTTATTACAAATACTTATGTCGATCATTGGGCAAATAATTCAAAGTTTGGTCATTTTCACTGAAAAATCAACAATATCGCAGTAGAACGAAGTAATTGATAAATAGGCCATATAAAAAAAAAAGTCTGGCTTTCAGATGCCACCATATCACTTAAAAAAGACTACAAGCTCCATTTTCACTTCAAAAAAATAAAAACATCCCCGATTTCCATATGTTCATATTTTCTGTGGTGAAAGAAAATTACTGTATTAAATGTTTCTGGTTCAATCACAAATGGTACAGGTTAATAATACTTTACTCATTGCTATCAGTTCTTCTGCATAATTATCGTGCTAACTATTAATGAAATAGAAGTGACTAAAATTACATGAGAGATAGGAATGGAAGATGAAGGAGTAGTATTCATATTAGAACTACAAAATCATGTTTTTTTGAACAATTGTCTGTGCACCAGAATATTTGTTTTGTATGGCTTTAAGAGAGAGAGACACACACACACACACAAACTAGGTCATTTCAGGACTGACATATGGCTCAAATTTATTCAATAATTTGCTAGCATGAAGGGGTCTTTAGGACAACTTGGAGAAAACCCACAAGGTTGGACAGACGAGCCTACTCCTTGGCATGTAGCGGGGAATCAAAACCATGTCACTTGACAGGCCTTATGATAAAACGTGTTAACCATTCAGCTCCACACACACACACACCCATACAGCATTAAGATATACAGACTTGTATCTCAGGGTTTGTATTTACCCTTCTAGTGCTAACAGTAGGAAAGATAGAAAGTTGAGCAATGGTTTAACATAAGGTGGTCCCTTCTCTATTGCTGGATGATTTCTTGTGTAGGTGGTGAAAACTTCGTTGGCTGTTTCTTTATTCTGAAGGCATAGATACCTGAAAAATACAAACATTAAAATGTTACTTTGTTTTGGAAAGAGGTTAAATTAAGCAGAGTATTTAAGGTTATTTTAATGGACAATATAGAAAATATCTTAGAACAAGGAAATATTCCTTTTTGTTTTGGAATAAGGGTGACTAAAGCAGTATTTAAGCCTTAGTTTTTATTTCACTGGGTATTGTGCTTTTGAAAGAAAATTCCTTTATAGATACTTACTGTAGAACTGCTTGTGTTATAAACATATCAGCTTCTGATGCATAACCACGTACAGAGTGATATTCTATTAACATTGTAGCACATCCTTTACCATCACATGAATGAAGATAATGATAACGAGCTTGTACATAATTTCTCTCTGAAAATATAATATTTCAGAGACTCAATTAAACAGAGCCAAGAAAATACTAATAATAATGACTTTATTTAAGAAGGGTTGAAGATTAGGCTATAACAACCTTTCTAACATCCTGCCCTTCGTAGAAAATATAATACAAAAGATATAGCTACTACAAGACACCAGTATTCAATTAGTCATGAGCAAATATGGGAATGGAATGGATGCCAATGTGTACACAGATGGACCTCTGTTTTTCATACCTTCTAAACAACCAACTCATGAAGAAATAAATTGAAATTTTTTGATGATCAAATTTTTTTCATTATCCTTGATTCTGTTTACTTTCAGAAAAACAAACTAACTTACCCTCCCAAAACATAACACCAAATTTTTGATGTAATTCTGGATGACCTCTTTTGAATTTGCCTTCTGCTTTTTTGGACCAGTGCACAGCTGTTGTAAGGAAAGTGTATCTCTCGTGACTTTCTGGGTCCATAATCTTGAAAAGTTTCACAATTTTATCTGAAATATTTAAATTATATGCATTTCAATTAAAAATTTGATAACAATTTGCCTGGCAACAAAATATACACCCACAGCATCTATGTATTCTGAAATAATCCATGAAGGTTGTCCCACTGTCAATCTTTATGTGAATAAAAAGCAATTTTTTTTTTATTGTATATCAATGGGGTATTGAAAAGATTCAATAACATAATCAATGGCAATAACTCTATAAGAAATTGTCAGTAGTTGCTGTAATTGTTATTCATGATGCCATTATCTGTTAAAATATTCACAAAATTCTAAAGAGTAACCAAGGGCCATAACTCTAAATTTCATCCACATACACAAAGCATTTAAATTTCAAAGAGATTAAATGAGAACTATAGTCTGTAGAGTGCTTTAAAACAGACAGGGCCACAATTAACAATATATGTACATATACAATAAGACCACTTTTCAATTTGTACATATAAAATGAGCAACAGAAAGTTGATACACTAATCACCACACAGAAAACATTGAGCGAAATACTCTTCAGTTACTATTGTCATAGAATTTCAGTATAGTAAATCAGTTAGATTTAGATTTAATGTATCGTTTGTACCTACAATACAAAGTAATAATGAAGTTTTACCAATATTTTCTCTATTAACAGGAGCTGTTGATTTGTCAAGAACTTCTAATAGCAACATTGCCAAATCAGCCCCACTTGTATGCTAAAATTAAAATAGATTACAAAATAATAATACTAAAAAAAACAAAATCATATATTGCATGTAATATAATGTATATCATAAATCTACAGGTATCCTAATAATTTCACTTAATAAAGACAAAACAGTTCCAAATGGGTTAAAAAGGTCTATCTATAGAGGCTTGCAACTGAACTGCCATACACTACAGTGTGGATTATGTTAACCGTCAACTAGTTCTACTGCTCATCTGGAACTTGTTTAACATGTAAATCTGTGTACGATTAAATACTGACATAGTGTCATGTTGAATTACAAGACCATTAAGCTATCTTCCTTTATGTCTATATTGGATATGAAATCTATGTATCTCTTTCATTAAAAATGTACATGTTATCCAAAGTCTTCAAATCCATAAATTTCTTTCGGTTCTCCTTGAATTCAAAGGAAATAATGTTGCTAGCATTTTTATTTGTAGCAAGTAAGACACTAGCCAAAAATATAACCAGACAATATTTCATTGAAATATATAAACTATGATTGCTCAACACAAGATTATTTAATGAGAAATGACCTTATTCCATTCTTGAACAAAATTTTTTGAAGGTCATGTGTTGAGATTTTGCCCTGTTTAATACAGGTGTCCATCACCGGGACTACCAGTGAGTGGGATTTAACGTTATATATTGCTGTTTTACCATGGGCAGTCTCAGATTATGATTTACTAATTATGCAGACATTAACTCGGAACCCAAGTTCGCTGCAAGGTACAAAACATGTATGCCTAGATATGCCCAGAGGTATTCTCTTTACCTGATTTTGTTGCAACAAAGTACTAGCTCCTGTATAGAGCAAATTAATGGCTTCAGCATATTTCTGTTGAGAATTGTACCTAGTATAAAACAAAAGGAAATTACTTTAGTTTTCAATGCAAATAAAATATAAATAATTAGTTTCATTCGGATGTTAATTTCCACATCCAGGTCAAGTTAGTACTTATTCTTATTACATTATTGCATGCTTTAAGCACATATAATTTCACCTGTGCAGTAAAATGCAATGCACCTTACAGTTAATTACTTAGACTAATGTTGTTTACTATATCAAGTTATTTCTAAGGTGTATTCTCCGTCCAAGATGACCTGGCACCTGTATACTAGTCATTGCTCTATTTTTGTTGCTGCATTCCACAAAACACAAAATGTTGCATTTTGTGTGCATCATATATTTTACTTCACACAGATATATTAACTATCTAACTATCATTATGGGTTGTGACATCAAAAAAGACATTGCAGTCTATATATATACCTTTTCTTCGCTCTACCATTAAGCCACAATTGCTTGTTGACCACCTTGATCATATCTAGCTACTAGGTTTGCGCATACATGTGACATGGCAAAACTTAAATGGGTCCCTATTAAAATAAATTTCTCAAAGTGTTAATTGGTCTAAGTATGAAGAATTGTATTAATAACAGCTTCGGTTATACTTTACTTCTTCATTTTTCCAAACTGGTTGAGGCGTGACTTGAATTGGTTAATATAGAGCAAAGCTCTACAGCATCGCGCGAAGCGCGGTGCTTGAGCAAAGCTCTTTTCCGGTAACACAGGAGCGTAATTGAAAATGTCACCCACAGACTGTTGATTAAGAAAAAATTCAGACCGGAACCGGATACACTGGAGAAAACAGGCAATGCGCATGTCAACTAACCAAATCTCGTCCAAGCGAGATTACGCGCCTCATAGAACTATTTCTATGATGCGTCTAATCAATGACGTCACATATTTTTTACGTCAATGAAAATAATTATCACACTTTTTTTTTTAAAACAAAATTAATGTATAAAATTTAAATCTAAATAAAAATCAATTTTGAAAAACTAAATTATTTAACATTTTTTGTATCACTTGAGAAAATTAATTATGAAGGTTTTATATTTGACAATAATCAGCTTCGCTCTACTCAGGCAATGCCTGTTACATATTAAGGGTTTCAGCATTGACAACATCATAGATGGCATTGGTAACGAGTTCCAGTCGATGATGACTCTGATTGAGAAATTGTTTTTCTGTACATCCAATCTAGAATGACACTTTTCTAGATTAAAGTTGTGTTCTCTTGTTCTTTTCTCTGTGGTAACCTTTAGCATTTCATCATTTACAACAAAATCTCTTCCTGGCTTGAACAATCCTACCTATCTGGGAGTGGGATTGGGAATAACATCATAATAATCATATCTCTTCCTTCTGTATTCCAGTGCCCGATAGAATGTAGGTAATTCTACAACATGTAATTGGATTTTTCTAACTGTATTATAATTAGATCTATAACGGCCCCAATCTGTGCTGTGTGGCGGTTTCGGTGACATTATTTATACATTATCCAGGCAAACATCTGAAACATGAAATCAACTGGAAAATTCGAATCCTAGTTCCTACTTCTTGAGGATCGATGATCATGGCAGTCGATTTAAACTCACGAAATTATCATCCAAATTAATAACACAAGTAACAGTATTATTTATATTTCCTTACATACCTAAAATACACAGTTCTGTACATTTGATGAGCTTCGTAGAACTGCCCAGCATCGACACAAGACTGACATTTCGCCAGGACACGCTCAACTCCACGAAGAGCAGACATGTTTTCTGAGAAATAAAATGTAAAATCGTGACGGAAAAACGACAATCAGCTACAAAACGCATTTGTGTTAGAATAGTTCTGTCTCGTTCATATGAAAATTAGGCTAAGTATTAAAAATGAATTCCACGAAAATTGAAAGTTATAATCAATTAATGTATATTAGAATTATGTTTTGATAAAGATATCTTGCTTCGTTTCGTTTAATTTCCTGTTTCAAATCTGCCCTTATTAGAGTTGCTCCCCTTTGTGTTTTATTGTTGATTGATGATAGACCAAGTGGCTGTTTATTATTGGACGCGTTCAACAACTAATCTTTAACTTTAATCATTGAAATTGTGGTAAGTAGATAAAGAATCAGAAACTTGATTTTACTGACCAAGTTATGAAAATGGTGCATTTCATAGAATTCGTGCAACGCGAGAAAATGGGGGAAAGGGAAAAATGATTCCTTCCTCCAGTAATATCTATTCTAACAATCCTAAAAACTACTCAATAACCTGAGTTGAACCAGTTTTTGAAGATAGGTTATCTGAATGATTAGGCCTACACTCATAACAACCTCCTCTTGAACTCTTTGAAACCAAGATTTCTTACACTACATACATGTATAGATATTATGGACCATTATATATAACGTCTGTCTGTGGTAGCCTAGACATCAAATGCCAGGTTTTTTTTTACTTGAACCGTATGTCATAGTCAATTGCCAAGGACCTTCATTTCCCTATCTGATATTTTAAAAACATGGTCTGGGAATTAGTGGTTGAATATTACTTCTGATCTAACAAAGTTAGTAAAAACAAAAGTGGTGGATGATATTATATTACAATACTGGTTTTTAATCCACCCATGAGCCTGTACCTACCTAACTAGCTGCACAAGTGTTTTGTCTTGCTGTAAGTGAGGTATGCATGCATGCACACATACATTGTTAAGACGTGTATACATACTGTTAAGACGTGTGCACTGAAATAAAACTGCAAAAATTCATAACAATGACAAGGTGGAGGAGTTTGAATTTGTCCAAGGCAAGACTCAAAATTTAAAGTCAAGTTAACTTAAATGCTTCCCTTCATCTCTGCCTGGCTCTTTGTAACTTAATGGATTGACTATATATCGTGTTCAACTCCAGATCTAAGTATTTAACACCGGCAAATGATTAATACTACACATCATATTTACCCAAAGTGGCCTATTGTATATTTCTTTGTACTGATCCAGTAGGTTATTGCATGAAAATACATAGCTTACAAGATATTGCTCTCCTGGCGACTACCACTTTAGCAGTTAACTTGTTTTTAATGTTATTAATTCACAGTGTTGTATCAAACCAATTAATATTTTAGAAATAAAGTAGATGTTCTATCAAGCTATGTGTTTTGTTCTTAATATTTCAAACCAATCTATAATTACAGATCACAAAAAATAACAGTCTACTATTTGTACAGACACGAATTATGGCAGATGAAGAATTGGCAGTGGCTCAGCAAGCAGTAGCTGTCATCGCAGAAGCCCAAAGAGCATTAAATAATTCTCCATCTATTAGTAACCCTGGTACTCCTAGATCAGGTGATATTGAAGTCCGTGCAACACCTCCGTTACCAGCCCCTCAAGTTCGATCACAGCAACCTCAGAGTAAATATGGACAGTTACTGGGTGTTATAGAAGATATGGGTAGAGATATTAGGCCAACTTATGCTGGAAACAGAACATCTGCTGAGAGATTAAAAAGGAGTATTGTACATGCTAGGATATTAGTGAGAGAATGTCTTATGGAATGTGAAAGGAGTGCGCGAAGTTGATTTATCGAATAATTTAATCAAAATAAGCGAAAAATTTAACTTCATTGTACTGAACAAGAATAAGTTTTATACTACAGCAATCTGCAAAATTTTTCCCTGAGAGTTTATCTAAGGATGATGAAAAACAAAGCATAGTGGGATGACTGCAAATACATGTACAATTGTATGAAACAATAGTATATAGTATAAGAAAAAGCCTATAGTAATAGTATGCAATGTGTTTTATCCATTTCATTGTAAATAGGGTTTCTTCCATCACAGTTACAGGTTTCATTGCAGTGCAAATAAAAAACATACTGATTGTAAATATTAAACACTTCCATCATTATACATGTAGTATATCATATATTATTCATTTTGTAATAAACATCATTTTCTATCACTTATTATTTTTTTTATTGATTGCTTTTTAATAAGTGTGACAAGACATGTTTGAATATAATTATCCATAAGATGTTTTTTTGCAATTTACATTATAGTCAAGTTTAATTATGATTTTACTAGATCTTGATTTTCCACCTAGTTGTATTCTTCAAATTATAGGGCTGAGATTTCAATGGCACCCCAACTTTGTATAAAATGGCAAAAATTGCATTTTTAAATTGTCTGGGATTGAGTAAACACGGGGCATTCATATTATATGTCACAGTCGTGTATCATTTTGTGATATACACAATACAGAATGAATAACACACTTGCATGTACTTTTGTGTTTTGGATGTATAATTACTATCCTTATATATAGCTAATTTTCATTGGGGCATTGTTGACTCAATAAATTCTGTCCATTTTTGATAGGTGTCATGTACAAGTCAGGTTACAGGGCTCATCTGTGAGAGAGATAATGTCCTGTTACAGGTTTAGGTCGCTGACTGTTATATTTTTATCTTGATAGTGGGATTAAATTTGGCACTTGGCGCCCTTCTTGTATAATTTATATTTTTGCATACATGTATACTCAAAAGGCATTGCCATTAATTTTGCCATTGTCTGTGTTGTTTTTGTTGGGCAGTTAGTGATCCACTTTCTGTCATAATAATTCATACTGTATATGGTTCGACTAAACTCATTGAAAAAATCCCATCTATATGTATTTATTGAAAGAGATGGCTTCGGATTTCTCATACAATCTAGTCGGAATGTCCCCTGTGTAACTACGTAGTCAAATCATGTCAATTAAAAAACTATTTTAATCACCAGTACTAATACCCTCAGAATATTCTGCCACCGCAACGAAGGACAGAAATAGGGTTCTGCTTCATATTAAAACCATCTCAATCTTCTACTAATAATCTGAACATGGCTTCACCAGAATAAGCAAATCTGTCAACAATGTTGGTATAGAGGAGTGCCAGATCAGAGAGAGAGAGAAATGGGGTTTAACGTCCACTCGACACAACTAGGTCATTTCGGGACTAACATCAATAATTCGCTTGCGCATAGGGGTCTTTAGCAGTGGGGGGAAACTGGAGGACCCGGACAAAACCCACGAGGTTGGACAGGCGACCCTACTCCTTGTCACGTACAACCAGGGATTCGAAACCACGCCAGTCGACTCAATGACAGACTTTATGATACAGCGCACGCACGCTAACCATTCAGCCATCCAACCCCCGTGCCAGATCAGCTGTTTGTACATTTTCAAGGAATGATTAGTAATAAAACATGGGTTGTTTCTAGGTTCCAGTTGCATCTTATAAATTATATGAGTAGAATAACACAGAGGCCAGAAAACATGACAACCCATCAGGTTATTGATACAGAGATGTTTGCTGATAGCGTAGAATGGTGTCCCTTTAATCAACATGCAACAACATTACTATGTGGAACATATCAGCTACAAGAAGATGGTAAAACGGTAAGACAGTAAACTTAAAGAACAACTTAAATTGAATCGCATTATAGCCCTGTCTTAAAAGTTGACAATTCGGAAAGTGTGTACATGTACTGATGAGAAACGCACTTGAATGTCTTCCCTAACGGAAATGTAATGTGGTTTAACATCCTACTCTTGCTCCATCCGGATTAATAAAAAGGGCATATATGCCATGCAGTGTTCTATAAGCGAAACCTCTGACAAGGGGAAACCATGTCGGAAAATCCAGAGGAATTGTGGGACCCCCAAGTTTGCGAGCCACTTACTTATCCACAAAAGCCACCGATTTTCCCCTGCCCTAACAGTAAAATGTCATTTGTTTGAAATATGTATGTTTTAAATTTCCCTCTTCATTAAACAAGTCGGAGCAGAAAATTAGGGCGTTAAACCACATTTTATTTCCAAAACAGTGTCAGAATAACCAGTGGTTCTATATGCCTTGAAGGTCAACATTGTACCCGTAATTATAAAAGTCATTAACTATACACGGTACTTCCATATAGGCGTCTTGAGAAGTGGAAGGAAACCGAGAAAACCCACGAGGTTGGATAGGCGACCTCACTCCTTGTCGCATACAAGGGGGGTAGGGGTAGAAACAACACCACTTGTGACTCAATGACAGACCTTGTGACCCCCCCCCCCCAGCCCTCTTAGGTAATATGATAATGCACGGTTAAACGTTACACGGCCACATATAATAGTTCCAGAGAAAAGGGTAGACTGTCACGTTCTATTTTCAGGAGTCACCAGAAGAAGTCCCCAAAACACCCCAAGTTAGATTAGGTCATCTTAGAATGTATAAATTAAAAACATCTGATGCTAATCCACCTGAATTAGAACTTGTTCATAAATTACACATGCCAGGAATATTAGATATTAAATGGTGTCGGTCACTGGTTGATGATCAAATGGTGTTTGGTTTGGTGAATTCAGTTGGTGAACTTCAGATCTGGACATTTATTGATGGTGTCAAGGAACCGCAGTTGAACCATAAGTTAAAACTTGACGAGGGATGTTTAGGATTATCTTTAGATTGGTCAACTAAACATGAAAGGTTGGTGGATTTTTATACTGATGGGATATTGATCTATTTGATAGAGATAAACCTCTTACTCAATATTATTCATAGAATTCGAAATCAAAAACAAAAATTAGAATTCAATATTGGCCCGTTTCAATCAATATTAATGTTTTATATTACGTGAAAATGTGGGATCTTCATATCATCCGTTAAGACACAGTGAACATTTTAAAATAACTACACGAATCATGTATTCCGCGGACATGGTTTCAAACCCATTTGTATTGAAAAAAAAAGGAAAACACAAAAATTGTACACGAAATTGAAATTCAAACCATTTTTCGTAAATCTTTAGACTTTCTTGGGTTATTAGGCATACATATAAAACACGAAAATCTGATAATACACGTCCATCGGTCACTATTTATGATTTGCTAATCTAAAATAGAAGTGCAACATAATAATAAGATAGATGTGTTTAATTGGTTTGATTTAAATGTTTCAGTGAAAATCAGAAAGTTGTAGCGTCCGACTCAACAGGATCTATTAGTGTATATGATATTAATAGTGATCCCCAATGTCTACACCGATGGAAAGCACATGATTTTGAGGCATGGATCAGTTGTTTTAATTACTGGGATAGTAATATCATTTACTCAGGTTAGCAGAAATGACATATTGTGATTTATTTATTTTTGACCATTTTATTCAAATTATTAGAATCGAATACGATGTAAAAGTTGTTATGACAAATGGCCATGACTTAAAGGGACATTATGGAAGATTACATAAAGAGCTGGCAGTTCTGACTATAATAGTTAAAAACTAGATAAAGGAAATATGCTGACAATTTCAGTCAAATTACTCCACTCTGAACCGAGATATTAGCGATTGAATTTAGGCCTAGCCTCGATCATCATTACTAAAGTCTCGATTATCCACTTTTGCATTTAATCATCAATGCGCTCTGAACAGCAGATCGGATTCAAATCCAATGAAAATCGGACATATAAGATGGCATCGATAGTTGATTATGGTCTTTACATGTTAATAAATGTCTAATTAATAGTTTACATAACATTTCAGGCCTAAAGAAAGACCTGCAATAGGCAGATTGAGCTTTTGCATAATGTATGTTTAAAGATATTTATTTCATCGACATTCAAATTTCTAAATGTATACACATGGGCTTATTAACTTTAATTCTGTTTTCCCTGGACATTTCATACGTTTAGATGAAAACTATTTTGTAGATCAAAAAGATAATCTAATTATGGTCGAGGGAAGAAATCGTAAATTAATATGGAGACTTCATTGATTTTGAGAGAGAGAGAGAGAGAGAGAGAGAGAGAGAGAGAAATGGGGTTTAACGTCCACTCGACACAAACTAGGTCATTTCGGGACTAACACATGGTTCAATTTTATTTCAATAATTCGCTTGCGCGTAGGGGTCTTTAGCAGTGGGAGGAAACCGGAGGACCCGGAGAAAACCCACGAGGTTGGACATGCGACCCTACTCCTTGCCACGTACAACCGGGGAATTGAAACCTCGCCAGTTGACTCAATGACAGACCGTATGATACAGCGCGCGCGTGCTAACCATTCGGCCATCCAACCCCCCTGATTGATTTTGAACAATTTTGGACAAAAAGGGAGTACCAGTAAACGCCTTATTAAAGAGTATTATGATTGAGAATAGACTTAGACACTATTTTAACAAGTCGTACCTTTTAAATATGGAATATAAACAAGAATGTCAATTAAAAGGGAATGATATATGTTATCCCTTGCTTCTTGAAAGGAGCCGTCCCCGATATAGTCGGTAAAACTGGTGAAATTAGGGTGAAGGATTCTTGCATACCTTTATCTTTACAATCATGTGCAACTAAAAGAAGAACTGTGTTACTTTTTTTGGTCAAAGTAAATAAGCCATATAACATTCACACTAAAATCCACTTTTAGTGTCCCGCAAAATCGAGGACTTCCCATCTAAGTACAGCACCTTATTCATACGGACTAGAAAATGGAATTGTTAAACCAGTTCAAAGTCCGTTCTTTCTTCTGGTAATTTTTCAACTAAAACCTAGTGACATTATTATTTATAACTCTAATGAAATATAAATATTTTGTGCAATACTCTGTTGATCAGCAATGGATTTTGAAAATAATTTCTTAGATATATATTACAGATATAGCTTTATTACTTATTGTACACATTTGAAATGTCCTGATCTGCACATTGATTTTTTAAAATATTTTACGTGTCAATAGGTGGTGATGATTGTAAATTAAAAGGATGGGATTTAAGAAAAGATACCAACTCACCCATCTTCACAAAGAGGTAAATAATATATGTACATTAAAAACTCTGTAAGCTGAGGTCCGAGGAATAAATGGGTTGTTTAAGTGGTAACCCAACCTCATGTTTTTGACCCGAAACTTCATCCACCCCAACTCCACTACATTAAAATTGTACCATATTTTAGTCCCGAAGTGACCAAGTTAACGTTAAATGTCTATTTCTTAACAAAAGATATTTAAATCAACTTTCGAGTGCAGATAGTTCAACCTGCCAATTAACATAATATATTGCCTATACAAGTTACGAAAAAAAGAGGTGTTATTTTTATTGGGTGTAACTTGCATCAAATGTATGATAGAGAGTTGATTTTTTTTCAGATTCGACATGGGTGTTTGTAGTATGCAGTGTAATTCTTATAATAGTATTAGTCAGAATATTATCGCCACAGGGGGGTAAGATGTCAATGTTTTGTTAAAAGTCGTTTAATATGTATCATGCATGGTTATACCGTTCATATACGATTCGTCTTTTTCTAATAGTAACGAATTACGGAGAACGGATCGATCGATCTAATATGACGATTTGATTTGTGATTTATATTGTCGATCTGCAGTCATATTTCTCCTTAAAGATTTCAAATGGATACAAATAAATATATTGAAATATTAGATATAAAGAAAATAAAGTCTTATTTGACCACAAATTGCCATATTTTGAAGACCTGTGATTATACATGTAGGTATGACGAATATGTAAGATTATGGGATGTTAGAAACTGGAAAAGAGAATTAAAGGATATAAGATTAGATGGTGGTGTGTGGAGAATTAAATGGGATCCGTTCAATGGAACACATATACTTACTGCTACCATGTATAACGGTTTTCATATACTAAACACTTCTAACCCAGGTTAGTATATTTCTTAATCATAATTTACTACATTACATAGTTAGAATTAAATAGACAGCCATCACTTTTTATACGCCCATATGTTTATGCTAATGTGGTCGAATATCCGCCTGTTAACACACATACTTTTACTCACTCTATTGGGCTAAGTTCTTCACTAAAATAGTTAGTATTGGGGTAAAGGTAGTCAGAAGTCATAGGTAAAGAGGGGAATATATGATAGCACAATCCTCCCATTTGAGAATAAAATAATCATTCAATCCAAATCTTATATTCGTTAGGTCAATACCACCAGCGTTCCTAAGATAAAATAAATTTGGCTATAATTAGGTATAAAATGTTCAACATAATGTATGATAAATAATTGATATTTTTTTTTCCTATTTTCAGACGAAGACATGTCCATAGTTACAGAGTATAAAATTGATGATCATGGTAGTCTAGGTTATGGTGCTGATTGGTGTACATTACCTGTTAATAACATCAGTGATAAAACTAATATAATACACACTTTAATATCTACATGTTCATTTTATGATCATTCATTACACCTGTGGTCACCAGAAATAAAATAATAATTGACCCGACTATGCTCTACATTTCCCTGGTGAACTAGAGAGAGAAAGTAATGTGTTAATGAAACACTCCATTCCATTATTCCATGATTTCGGTAGGCCCGTGATAAAAAAAAAAAAGTATAAGAATGCGACAGAAGGCCAATGACCAAATTTCCTTATTTAAATTTAACAAATTATTGGCTAAAAATTGTTCTTTACATTGTACTTAACTTTTGGCAGAACAAAACATGTAGGTAAGATACCATCTTGGACATATGAGTTATCGTGGGAGGTTGGATGGCTGAATGGTTAGCGTGCGCGCGCTGTATCATAAAGTCTGTCATTGAGTCGACTGGCGTGGTTTCGAATCCCCGGTTGTACGTGACAAGGAGTAGGATCGCCTGTCCAACCTCGTGGGTTTTCTCCGGGTCCTCCGGTTTCCTCCCACTGCTAAAGACCCCTACGCGCAAGCGAATTATTGAAATAAAATTAAACAATATGTTAGTCCCGAAATGACCTAGTTTGTGTCGAGTGGACGTTAAACCCCATTTCTCTCTCTCTCTATGAGTTATCGTTCGTGCGTCAACAGGTGATTACAAAAGATTATAGATGGCTGCGATGAAATGAAATAGGGTTTAACGTCGTACTGTTCTGCTGCGACTGGGTCAATGAAGACGGACAACGTCATACATACAGTGTGTTATGCGGGAAATTTTGCCCGGACAACGGCGATACGGGCTACTTTTATATCGAATTCCAGCTGCCAAGGGTTCTTTTAAGTGCACGCCAAAGTGTAGATTCGACAGTAGAACACAAAATCGGAAGTACAATATGGATTATATCTGGTTTTACGTGGGGAGATGGATGGCTGAATGGTTAGCGTGCGCGCGCTGTATCATAAAGTCTGTCATTGAGTCGACTGGCGTGGTTTCGAATCCCCGGTTGTACGTGGCAAGGAGTAGGGTCGCCTGTCCAACCTCGTGAGTTTTCTCCGGTTCCTCCGGTTTCCTCCCACTGCTAAAGACCTCTACGCGCAAGCGAATTATGTAAATAAAATTAAACCATATGTTAGTCCCGAAATGACCTAGTTTGTGTCGAGTGGACGTTAAACCACATTTCTCTCTCTCTCTCTCTCTCTCTCTCTCTCTCTGGTTTTACGTAAAACTCACCAATAGTATTTAGGAGACACCTAAATCAACTCCCCAAATTTAGATACATCTAGTAAACATTGCTTCCGTCCAACACGCTGAACTTGAACGACCCAGTTCAAACCAGGCACTTTAATATGAGATGCTGTATTTGTTTGTGCAATTTGCTTCTGCAAATATTCATTTATATGACCACAGATCGCATTAACATCAGTGCATTTTAAAAAAGTGAAATGGAGTTTAACGTCATACACCAGGCAGTGTGTTACAAGGGATATTATGCCCGGACAGTGGAATTTCCGCCTACTCTTCATCGAATTCCAACTATTAAGGGTCCTTTACATGCACACCAACGTGTTTACAAGGAAATTTGGTTTTTCGTATCACAAACGCAAAGGACAGGGCCCTGGTTTCTAGAAAATATATGTCTTCGAACCGTAAACAAGTAAAGATAACTAATCAGAAAGACCAAGTGTGAAGTGTCGCAATGATTTTATTCGCTGATAATGCCCCTGGTCAATGCTCCGGAAATATGACACTTTCTTATACACGAACGAAATTCCAGTAACTCATAAATATGACAAAATGATTTGATCTGTGGCACCAATTTAGACTTTCAAAAGGACGCATGCTCTATTCTTTGGAAAATTAAAATAAACGAAAATAGGAATAAAAACACATATTAATGTAATAGTATTATAAAGTGATTAACATTCATTTTTATACCCCCAAATGTCCGTTCACATTTGTTTGTGGACAGTCTGCAGGTCACAATTTTTTATCCGATTTTGACGAAACTTGAAATATAGGTCTGTCTCCGAAAGATTCCGAAATTGGCATGTATCGGACGTGATTTTAGCATCTGGACACTCTAAAGGTCACGATTTTCATCCGATTGTGATGAAACTTGAAATGTATGTTTATAACCCAACGATCTTGGTTCCTTTTGATATTCGCGTATCGGACCACAACTGCCTGGATTATGCCCCCTGAGTGTACGAAAAATCACGTTTTTAGCGTGTGGTCCCCCCAGAGGGAACACTTTTTAACTGATTAAAAAAAACGTTCAAAAATAAAACCGTTACCCAATAATGATGATTGAGTTCGAATTTCGTGAAAATCGGACCGAAACTGCACGACAAAATGGCCGCTCCTCATAAGCAAATACATGTAGTGTAAAAGTATGGTATTGTATCAAGGATGTAAACCCTCTAGGGCGTCATAATTTTGATCCGATTTTGATGAAACTTTAAATTTATGTTTCTATCACAAAGATCTCCTTTCGATATTTGCGCAAATGCGTATATTGGTCTGTAACTTCCTGGATTATGTCCCCTGATTGTACGAAAAGATTGTGATTTTAGCTTGTGGACCCTCTAGAGGTGAAAATTAGTATTCAATTTTAAAATCCATTTAAATATATCACCGTTACACATTAATAAGGATTGCGTTCGAATTTCGTGAAAATCCGACCGAAACTACCTGACAAAATGGCCGCTCCTTGTACGCAAATAGTGTAAAAGTATGTAATACCAAGTTGTGGACCCTCTAGAAGTCACAATTTTTACCCGATTTTTATGAAACTTGACATGTATGTTTATAACCCAAAGATGTCGGTTCCGTTCGATATTCGCGCATATAGGACCGTAACTTCCTGGATTATGGCCCTTGATTGTACAAAAAATCTCATTATTTTTTTTAGCTCGTCCCCTGTTCATCTCTTGCATGGCAACCTCTTGTTTAAAATATTGATTGAAATGGGCCAAAATTGAATTCTAATTTGTGTTTTTTATTTTGAATATTATGGGTAACAATCCTCGAGTTAGAGGTTTAGCTCATTCAGTAGCTACTCAGAAGATTTGAGAGAAAGGTTTCTGGTTCAAAGATATAAACAGGGGTTTATACATCGTTTTTGAAAATCAGTAAGAATTTAAAATCTGAGTGATTTGACCAGCATTCTTGTGATTCTGAATCATTCCAGCTACTAAACACAAACCAAGTAGCGTATAGAAAGAATCTTAAATATGTTAAGATTGCTAACCTCGTATAATAATTGATACGTTTGTTTCTTAAATAAAGTCTGTCACCGATACGGTTTGTTTATATTTCATCTCTTATCAAACTCGACTTTTTATTCCGCTGATTAAAAATATTTTAAGCGATTAGGTCGCCACGTAGCCGGTATTATTCAACCAATGAAATATAGCTTTCTTATTAGATAACCCATCCTTTGCTAAGGTGAAGAATAAAGCTTAATTCCCGAAGACTTATCTTAAGTTTTCTAGCTTTGTCAGAAACATATCGCACAACCGACAACTTTGCTGTCTTATGTGCCTGGACCAGAATTTGCTATCTTCCAGTATTTCGAAACCGCATTTTGCCTGTTCCAAAAAAAACACCGGAAGAAGAACTAAACCTTCGTGAATAGCCCATCCCGTGTTAGAATACCTGGATTATCGGATTGACCTTTGATTATTTAAAGACGCAATGTAATATTAAATATAGAACGGCCACTGCCATATGACTTGTCAGGCGGTTATCTATATCACCCACCCATCATGTCGGATCCAAACAACAAATCGCATATTTGGAATGCTGACGCCCGTCAATCATATCTCCAGCTCTTATTTTTACAACTCCTATAAAAGATCAAATGTATCTCCTTGTGTCATAATTCATTTGCACTTCTTGAGGATATAACTAGTTCTATTTCCTTCATGTAGCAGTAAAATACTAATAGTTGGAATAGGATAATGAAGCTTCTATTGTGGATTATGTGTACAGTCATACTTTGTATCAGATCTTCAGGTGGGTTCTTGTTGATCTTCTTTTGTCTTTAAAAAAATAACGAAATAAACTGTACGTTGTTTTCTACGCCCATGTATAAACTGTGTCCAGTGTTGGTCCGTCCAGATTTGGCTACAGTGTTTAATGAAATTTTTTTTAAATTTGGCGTGATGCATTAATTGTGGTCATGAGAGGACGAGCCCTATATATATTAAGCATTCCACGATCACGAAAAATTAAACCACTCTCATTCTTTTATAGATTCGATTAATTCAAAAGAAAGCGTAAAAGACGAGAAGAGAAAACATGGTTACAGTAAAGAATCGTCGATTGGTCACAGTAAAGAGTCGCTGATTGGTCACACTAAAAAATCGTCCATTGGTCACAGTAAAGAATCGCCGATGGGTCACAGTAAAGAATCACCGATTGCTGGTCACAGTAAAGAATCGCCGATGAGTCACAGTAAAGAATCACTGATTGATCACAATAAAGATTCACTGATGGACAATGGCCCAAGAAGGGCCGCTTGGAGACCACTTTTTCACCATGGTTATCATCATCGCTTCCGAACAGATACAGAGTCTAGATTAAGAGAGATAATGAATAGTTGGATGAGTCTTCGTGATATCTGGAAATACTGGTCGTACCAGTACCACCAAAAGAAAAGAACAACCGTTCCACCAACACCCAAACCCATACTTGATTATGATGAGTGGTTAGATCAATGGAATACTGACCAAGAGGGTATTGGATGTGGTTTACAGGATATTGAACCGCGATTGGTCGATTTAAGGATTATAGGAGGAACGTCAGCCATACGTGGCAGTTGGCCGTGGATGGTAATTGCTTTAATGCGACTTGAATTATACATTTGGATAATACCAGTTCCAATTTATTATGCTAGTTTTCCTTTGTTATTACTATTTGTTCCAGTTTAGTATTTTAACATGCAACTTTCGTTCTGGGGTTATATTCTACAAAGTAGCTTTAGCTTAGCTATAATTCTTAGTTTAGGCCGGAGTCGTGCTTGAAACGGAGTTAATTATTTCCTTTCCCGAACACCTGATACATGTTTTATTGATTTGCGAAGTTCATAGTCCTAACATTGGCATTAATTTAATTTTGTTTGGATCAGAAAGTTTGTTTGGCTGCTACAGAGTTCTTTGCTTGAAACACGTTTAATTTTGCTATTAATAAATGGCATGTTTCAGTGGTACTATAAATGGAAGTCCGTGGAGCGTTTTGCATTCAGTAGCAAATAACAGATTCATAACTATAAGACGGGGAAATGGGTGAGGATACCAACGTCCATTTAAAGTCCAGATTATAGATAATAATGGAATGGTGTTAAACCCTTTCTCCCCACTTTACATATATTCCCATGTGTATGAGCGGAGATTTTTCTATGTTTCCACATAGTCTATTGTTTTTTGAATGGGTTGTTTACATGTACTGCCAATTGTACGTAAACTTCCAGTTACCTCCCATGTTTTTATATAAAAAAAATTATGATACATGTATTCTTAAAGGGGAAAAATTCAAGAGCTAAATCTGTCTATTGCAGGTCTTTCTTTATGCCTTAAATGTTATAATATAGATTATTTATTAGACATTTATTAACTTACCAAGACCATAATCAACTCTCTATGCTATCGGATCCACAAGATTTTCAACAGAATTAAATACGACTGACAGCTAAAACTGTAAACTGATTTAATTTAAAAATGGATGACCGAGACTTTGTTTATTATCTTAAAAGCGGTAGCATTGACAACCGAGGCTACACTGTTCTTATAACGGCGATAACTCGGCTCAGAATGAAGTAATTTGACTGGAATTTTCAACATATTCCCGTTTCATTATCTATTTTCTAACCATTATAGCCCGAGAACTTCAGATCTTTATCTAAATCTCACATAATGCCCCTTTAATTACCTTCAGGTGTCTTTGAAAACTGCAGGACAACATTTCTGTGGTGGTGTTTTGATATCAAGAGAATGGGTTGTATCAGCAGCACATTGCATGTTGTAAGTACATTCTCGACATTTTCATACTTACATACTGATGTCTTTTAATATTGTGTTAATGTATTTTATATACGCTGTAATTGCTACTGGGGGTGGGGATCAATGCCTTAATTCCCCCGTCAGACCGGGGTGGCGTCCTTACGGCGCTGCTGCGACAGTACGGCGACCAGAAAATGCACAAGATCGCCGGCAAACGTGAACGCAACGCGAGAAAATGTCCCCAAAAATTACAAACTTGAAAAAAAACGCGTTCTCACAGCTTTCCAGATCAGATCACAGATGCTTGGCGTTTGTTTTGAACATGCTCAAAACGAACGCCTTTGCCATGGAGACCACAGCACGACATCTGGCGTTTCCACCACGATTATGGCGATCTTGACGGGCTCTGAGACCATTTTCCGTCGCCGTAGCAGCGGAGTAAGGACGCCACCGCGGTCTGACGGGGATATTATCAAACCGACGAATTTTCAGTTCTGGGTTTAGCCTGTTTATACGCCTACAAATATTTTGACGAAACTTAAAATATAGGTTTTAGTCTGGAGGCTTAGTGCAGGGTTGTCGTCGCCCCTGCCCATCCGACCACATTTTGTTTGTGGACACCGATTTTGACGAAACTTAAAATATAGGTTTTAGTCTGGAGGCTTAGTGCAGGGGGGGGGGGGGGCATCAAATGGGCAGAAAACCAGACCCAATTTTGCGTAGAATACGACGCCGAGTGGTAATCAGTCCGCCGTTGGGGCGTTTTCGAGATATTCGGTGTCAAAGGTCATTTGCATTGAAAGTAAATGCGCACCCATTCTTATATATCATGAAAACATGCTGAATATGGTCGAAAGTAATCACTCTTTCAATAAAAATGTAAACTTGCTAAATTCACCCTTGTTCTTTGTGACCCCGGAGGTCAAAGGTCCAATTTTCCGTTTTTGCACTCGGAAGATTTAAAGCAATAAATGTCAGCGTAAAATATAAAAACTAAAGCGAAACCTAAGCTAATTAATAATAGGAAAATTTAAAACGTATCTTTAGGTGGTCTTAGCACCGAACTTTTACTTTGGAACGTCGAAAAGGATCTTGCATAACAGAACCCAAACATTCGAAACCTGTTTCAAAAATACGTAAAAAGTATCAAATCAAAATCACTCCGATTTAGTTTCGCAGCGATTGCTATACATAATGAAACTAGTTGTCCGAAAAAGCAATTGAATAGTTTCATGGCTGGACTCCAGTTTGCAGGCCGCGTCACGAAACCTGGCAAACTATTCCCCATACCACTTACCAATACGGTATTTATATCCCGTGAGCTATTATGTTCAATGCGTCCATGGGTTTTATCTGAGTCCATGTTCCGGCGAAATTCATGAAAACCCATAAAAAATTGGTAAACTTTTAATCAGATACGTGTTTTCCGGTCACAGATTAACGTCGGTTTTGCCAGATTGGGATTCCCGGAAATCCACGCGGCCTGCTGGCTGGAGTCCAACCATGAAACTATTCAATTGTTTTTCGGACAACTAGTTTCATTATGTATAACAATTGTTGTTAAACTAAATCGGGGAGGTTTCGATTTGATAGTTTTTACGTGTTTTTGGAACAGATTTCGAAGTGTTTTGGTTCTGTTATGCAAGATCTTTATCGACGTTCCAAAGTAAATGTACTTAAATCTTCCTAGTGTAAAAATGGAAAATTTGACCTTTTGACCTCCGGGGTCACAAAGAACAAAAGTGAATTTAGCAAGTTTATTGAAAGAGTGATTACTTTCGATCATTTTCACCACGTTTTCATGATACAGTTATATAAGAATGGCTACGCATTCACTTTCAGTGCAAATGGCCTCATTTGACCTTTGACCCCGAATATCTCGAAAACGCCCCAGCGACGGACTGATTACCACGCGGCATCGAATTCTACGCAAAATTTTTTACTCTAGAAAAGTTGGGTATGGTTTTGTGCCCATTTGATGGACACCCTCCTCCACCCGCACTGAGCACTGAGCCTCCGGTCTATTTATATCCAAAAAATATCGGTTCCGTTCAATATTGGCAGGTAACTGACCTTAACCTTATGGATTTTGACACCTGAATGTACGAAAAATCACGTTTTTAGCTTGTGGACAATTTTTATCCGATTTTAATGAAACATAAAATATGTTAAAAGAATGCCTATCAACCATTGTACCCATTATGACGGATATTATGAGCACTTGTATTTGTGAAAATACTGTTCCTGATGATTTCAAACCCGCAATCATCTTCCCACTAATAAAGAAATTCAACTTGGATCAGAATCTTGAGAAAAATTACAGACCGGTATTAAACCCGAGTTTTCTATCTAAAACCTTATAACGCGTAATAGCAAGCCAACTCACATCCCATATCAGTGACACTAATCTAATGGAAGAGTTTCAAAGTGCTTACACTGTCTCGAAAGAATCACCACATGTTTGGCGCAATATAGCCCGGTTGGAGCTGACGTGGCCATAAAACCATATTTCATTCATTCATTCAAAGTGCTTACAGGAAGTTTCATAGCGCCGAGACTGTTATTGTTCGGGTACACAATGACATCAACATGAGTTTAGACCGTCGTGAATGTGTGCTTCTAGTTCTCTTAGATTTATCCGCGGCTATTGACACCATAGACCACAATATCTTGCTCCACAGGCTACAAATTGAAACTTGTATTGCAGACATTAAAATCTGGATGAACAACAATTTTTTTTAAAACTTAATGCAGATAAGACTGAGTATTTGGTTATTGGGTCGTCTTTAAACAGCAGAAAGTTTAACGTTGATGTATGAGTACAAGCAGGAGATAGTTGCATCGTCCCTTCTCAGTCAGCCCGAAATATTGGTTTAATTTTTAATTCAAATTTTTCTTTGGAAAATCACATGATATAAACAATATATGTAAAATAAGTTACTTTAATTTAAGAAACATTGCTAAAATACGTAAATATCTGTCAGTGGATGCCACAAAAACAGTAATCTGTGAGGTTGTTATGAACCTCGTCGACAATTACGGTTTTCCGGTGACAATTTGCTATTGAGAAAAATGCTAATCTCGTCAGTTTCGGTGATAAGGCTTTTGAGTTGCTGTCCCAAAACTACTGAATAAACTTTCTTATTGCATTCGGTCATGTACTTCTCCGTTATCATTGAAGATTTCTCTTAAAACAAGCTTGTTTAATGTTTTTAATTAATCACCTCTGTGATAATTATATCTATCATTTTATATATTACTTCCTTTTACTCATATTTTATGTATATTATTCACTTTTTATGTTTTAAACCTATATTTGTTTTGTCATTTTTTAAAAATATTATATTATGTTTATAAATAATAATAATGATAACCCAAAGATCTCGGTTCCTTCCTGGAATGGCCCCTGATAGTACGAAAAATCACATTATCATCTTGTAGACCCCATCGATTTTAAAAATCATTCAAATATATCACAGTTACACCCTTATGACGGTAGAGTTTGAATTTCGTGAAAATCGGATCGACCCCGCCCGCCGACAAAATGGCCGCTCCTCGGACGGAAATAATGTAAAAGTATGTAATACCAAGGTTGTAGACCCTCCAGATGTCACAATTTTTATCCGATTTTGATGACCCCGCCCGCCGACAAAATGGCCGCTCCTCGGACGGAAATAATGTAAAAGTATGTAATACCAAGGTTGTAGACCCTCCAGATGTCACAATTATTATCCGATTTTGATGAAACCTAAAATATATGTTTATAACCCAAAAATTTCGGTTCCTTTCGATGTCGGGCCGTAACTTGCTAGATTATGCCACCTGATTGTACGAAACATCACGTTTTTAGCTAGTTCTTTGTCCATCTGTTGCAAAATCTTGCATGGCAACCGCTTGTTTCGGACTTTGTATCATTGTAGCCTTTCTTTGATCACATCTGCAAGATTTATTTTAGGATTATCGTATTTAAGATTTATGCCTGGAATGGATGATCCAAATTTATGGGAAATTCGTTTGGGAAGATTTGACCCAGCATTTAATGTTACCGAACCAGAAACAGAGCAGACATTTAACATTTCTGGTAAACCCATATTCTACGACGGTTTGGATGTTGAACAGTTCTATAGAGGCCTCCCGGTAGATAATGACCTGGTGCTGCTGAAATTGGCCAGACCGGCTATTATAACTAGTTGGGTTAAACCAATTTGTTTACCCGAAAAAGACGAGGAGCCTGTAAATAGAGAGAGATGTGTTATAACTGGATACGGACAAACTATACGTAAGTAACCTAGAGATCGTACTGGGGGAAAACTGCTCATAATATTTTGATTTGTCATTGTTGAAGATTCTGCCTCCAGCATACAATATGTTTCCATTTTGGGATGTCTTAAAATAAGTACAATAAGCCGGCGTTGAGAGCTATTTAATTCTCGACTAACACTCTATTTTCCATCTGATTCTTTAGTTGTGAAAACAATTCAAAACATTGCAAATGGGTTTATTCATTCTATTCTATATATAATCTTGTCATCACTTACAGCCAATGTTGGTCCACCTCGCAAATTGAAGCAAGCCATTATACCGATTGTTGATTTTGAAACATGCCAGGATATTGAAGGGTATAAGAAGCTACTCACGTCAAATATGATATGTGCTGGTTACAAAGATGGTGGAGTAGATAGTTGCAAGGTAAGTCATCCATATAATCTGAATTAATTGTAGACCTCTTAGAGTTTTAAATTCGATATAACGTAAATCAATCTTATACCAAAGTATTAAACCCAAATAAAATTATCTGTAATTCGATCACGAAAATGATATTGTTCTTAAATAAAATAAAACCAAGTACGAACAATCCAAACCATTAGACGTCTTAAATCTGACTGATTCATATGCGTTTTCAGATGGATAGTGGTGGTCCGCTACAATGTTTTGGTAACGAAAGGTGGGTTGTTTCAGGTAAGATGTCTTTAAATTTACTCTTAAATATGTTCCCACTTGTTTTAAAAGTAAAAGTATCTGAACTAACAAAAAACAAGATATGTACTATACTAAAAAATGTGTGTAGTACTAATCTATTCTAACATGGATTGAATAAAATGTTGTTCAAAACCTCTTTTTAAGATATACATTTAGAATTACTACGTGGTTCCATTCTCGCAGTGGTATCAGGTTTGAATTTCGATTTTTATACGCCCACATTTTATTTTAGTCGCCAATCTGTCCAAACACAATGTGAACGCAAGAGAGGCTACAGTTTTTAACGGGTGGGAAGGATTGGCTTCATGAGGCGATGAGCCCTATTGGTTTTCAGCGTTCCGCCCGCCCCCCCCCCCCACCCACACTTTGCCGAAAAACTTCTGAACGCGATTGTTTTCAAATTTGGTTTGAAGCACAGCGCGGAGGTCATGAGAGAATGAAACCTTTTGTTATTCAGCACTCTTCAATATTCTTTTCCAGAGCTATCCCCCCTTTGCCACAAACCTTGTGAATTCTATAGATGATCATGATAGATGTTACAGTTTTAACAGAATTTTTTCTAGCTTCTGAACACAATATAGATCAGATTTCTTAAGATACTTTGTTTATCAAGTTTGGTCAGTATCCAAATTTTTCATTCGGATAAGCTGCTGTTGAGATATGGCTGATGTGTGGGCGTATTTCCACGCTTTGTAGGGCTTAACGTACACTTCCATCGCGAATTATGCATACTGTTTCTTGGGCAGATGAATTTAGTACGAGTACGCCCTGCAATTTTCGGGGCAGATGAGTGATACCAAGTCACGTTGGGAGTTACCAGGGTTCCTGGTTGTGAAGTCAACATATTGCATTATTACGTATCTGAAGCTTTCTTTTATTTTTCTGTTGAAAGAAGTACATTTCAAGAACTATTACTTTTTACAGGTATTACGTCATGGGGTGATGCGGGACAGTCGGGATGTGCTAAAGCCTTGAGACCTGGAGTCTACACAAAAGTTAGCAGCTATTCGTCGTGGATTAAAAACATGATATATGAAGATTATGTTGCAACTCGGAACAAGCAATAGTGATATTTAAATAGTGATAACAATCCCGGTTTAATGTTTGGTTAATGAAATATATGTACTTTAAAAAATATATTGGTTTAAATGGTTCTGATAATGAAAAGGTATATTTACGAATTGTTTTGTTTTTTTAAAGTTTTGTCTCAAAATATATACGGAGACGCAATGAAAACACACCCCTGATTGATAGGAAGTGCTAGCTAAATATAATGCAGCTGAAATGTGTATTTTGCAAGAGTGTTAGACATTTACCGACACAAGAAAATTGACAAGAAGCCACGGAAGCTGTAACAACTTTGATTTAAAGTGAAACGTAGGTGCAAGGGATAAAAATCAAGTCAGTAACGTACATATCTAGTACCATCGCATGACCTGTAATGTCGCCGCATGGAGATAAGCCTCTGAGCAGCTGCTTGTAGGGCCCTTCTCCGCTCTTGCTGCAACGCTGCAAGATTGAAGTGCATCGTTTAAACGGTTTCCATTGCGTCTCGGTATATTTTCGTGAATAAAACTGTATATTGCAAAGATCTGAAGCTCTAATGATAATGTTTTAAAGAAATACAAACCGATGATCGTACATTTTCTAATAATTCAGTTCCCACTTTCAAAGATAACGCTCTAGATTATTCACCTTTAAATTGCTGTGGTCATTTACAATCGCTCCTGTCCCCTCCATTTCTAATAACTAGTGTTGGGGACTTCGATTAACAAATCTGCTCGAATTGTTCGACTAGTCACACGAGGATAAACTTTGTAGAATCAGAGGACGTTTATTACTCCGGTTAGAACCATGCATGGGTTAATTACTTTTTGTCATCAAAACAAATCATTCAATAGGAGAATTTTGTTTTTATTCGGATTAATGTATCCAACAAATCTTTTCAAAGTGAAAGTAGATTTTTCAAATTAAATGGCTAACATAATTTAAAACTATTGTTCGACAGAGAAAACGTATAGCATAGACCAGGTATTAATATACTCTTTCAACTGTACATGCATTATTATAATATCTAATTTTTGTTTTATAAAGAATATGTTTACTAAATTGTTTTTATTTACACAATGAATGTTGCTTTATTCTCTTTCACAATTTGTGGTCCTTCCGACCGGGATAATTAAGACGGGTGGGAGGGGCATTTTGCTTTGACAGCCGCGCTACGGTCTACTCTTATTTCGGATTCCAATTATGGTCAACGGTCCTTTATGTGCATGCCAAGGTTTACACCAGGCTTCTGTTCTTGGTCCTTTCAAAATGTCTAAGCGGTGTTCCTTGCTTAGTCGTTCGGGCGGGACCAAAAATTATATCTCGATTGCAGCATAATTAAATATTCCCGGACTGTTAGAATCTAAAAAAGAGTAGGTCGCAACGCCACAGGGCATTCCACCACCCCCACCCTTATAGCTAGCCCAATGGCTATGACAGGAAATTTAAGCGGAGGGAATCAGGTTTCAGCTGTGAGATACATGTAGTGAACCACCTACGAGCCTAAGCAGGCGGCGCTACTTGTCACAGACTATTTAAACCGGTATATTATGTGGATCAATCTGATTAAAACACAGATCCTATTTAGTTTCGTTTTTTATAGTTCAAAATTTCATTTAACTTGTCTTCACAACGCTAGGATCTTGAAGATTTGTTATATACTCTTCAAACAAAGTTGGGGATATTGAAATGCAAATAACTATGCAGGTTGTGATATGACAATTAGTCATGGACACTTGACATGCATTAAGAGTATGTTCACAGATGAAGAACTTATCACCCAACAGAACCACCGAGCTGCATGTGCGCCATACACGTGGGAGGGGTTCATTGTCAAATTTGACACTTTAAGGAAGGGTTGATGAAAACTGCCGCTTGCTGGTTTATCCTATCCATGTTTGCTTTCCTATCGGTTCTTGCATAAGATTTACTGTTTAGCGTATTTTTGCTTTAGTGTCTTACGCTTAATTTGATCGGGAGACGTCTTCGTCGACGTCAACGTCAACTGCAAGAATTGGCCGTGGCACTGCAAGAGGAGTGGGTCAGATTGCCCCAAATCGTGATTGGACGTTTGATTAGGAGCATGCCACGACGAATTGCTGAATGTCTGAGGATTGGTGGAGCAATTACTCATTATTAAGACAAAAATCAAAAACGTCCATTTTCACTTTTGACAGTGTATCTCTTTGCGAGTGAATTGGGGTCGTCAGATAAGCCGCCCGTATGAACTGTTTATGTTCATGTGTAGGCAAATGGCCTGTTATTAACATACACTGGTTACCTCTAATAAAAACAGCAGTGCATTTCCGCAGTTTTGTATTTTTTCTGAATATCCCCTACTTTTTTGAAGAGTATATAACAGTCGTTCTAATCAGATTATATGTGGATAAACATTTTTGTTTTGCAAAAATGAAAATCAAGTGTTCTTGTACAAATAAACTATTTTTACATGTTTACTTTATATATATACAAAGTAGTAACTATAACTAAAATTAGAAATTAAACTATTTATCAAGTTGGTCGCATAAGCAAACTACTAAGAGATAAAAATATGATAATCTTAAAGGTCAAAATTATCTTCACCATAATGTACTTTAAAAAGAAATTGTTGATGTCCATTTCTACATATTATTTTAACACAGGGATTTTTGCTAGAGTTGATCAATTATATGTCTCCTAAATATGACTTTTGAACCATGTTATCGACCCCTGCGTTTTCAGTCGAACGGTTGGTTTCATTAATTGAATGCTTGACCCCCCAAAACTTTATAACCAGTAGAGGCCTTCAGTTTGCCCTAGTTGAAGCTCGGGCCTTTGCTCCCTTAACCTTGGACTTTGCCCCTCCTACCACAGGCGCCTAGCGCCGTCACAGCCCGTAACATGAATATCACTGGCTTTATGGTCAGAACTCCAGTAATCTGGAATGGTGGCCATCTTGGACGCCATGCTGAATTCCAATCAAGGTTTTCTTACGCGAGTATAAAAAAATGTGAACGGACCTCCAATATAAAATGAACTAATATGAGTGACGATAGATTTCCATATAAATGTGCACGTATATTTTAGACCAGGAGCCCAGGGGGCCAACTTAGCTAAAAAGTGTACTAATATTTTCCTATATGTTATCAATGCATGTATATCTGGTATCATCAGAATGCAAGTCTGCCGGGTTTCCGGTGGTGGGTATAGTATTCCACGCCCAAAATGCCATGCACCCCAACTAGGCTAGATTAGCTCAAAAGTGTACCACATGAAAATCGTACAGCAGTGTACAGTACATCTTCAGGTGTTACAAAACACTCTAACCGACATTTCTAGTGGTGGGTTACCCCCGACAGCTATGTAATTGTCAGACATTTGTAGTGGTAGAGTATCCCTGACAAAAGTTATCTAATTTCCAGTCCACAGCTAGGCTAGATTAGCTGAAATCTTTACCACCTAAAACAGCTTTGAAGTTGTTCAGTACCACCACAGGAATCATGAATGACCACTGCCAGTTAGAGTGGTGGGTATGGTATTCCACGCCCAAAATGCCATGCACCCCAACTAGGCTAGATTAGCTCAAAAGTGTACCACATGAAAATCGTACAGCAGTGTACAGTACATCTTCAGGTGTTACAAAACACTCTAACCGACATTTCTAGTGGTGGGTTACCCCCGACAGCTATGTAATTGTCAGACATTTGTAGTGGTAGAGTATCCCTGACAAAAGTTATCTAATTTCCAGTCCACAGCTAGGCTAGATTAGCTGAAATCTTTACCACCTAAAACAGCTTTGAAGTTGTTCAGTACCACCACAGGAATCATGAATGACCACTGCCAGTTAGAGTGTTTTTGTAACAACTGAAGATGTACGGTACACTGCTGTACGATTTTCATGTGGTACACTTTTGAGCTAATCTAGCCTAGTTGGGGGGCGTGGCATTTTGGGCGTGGAATACCACACCCACCACCAGAAACCCGGCAGACTTACATTCTGATGATACCAGATATGTATGCATTGATACCATATAGGAGAAAATTGGTCCACTTTTCAGCTAGGTTAACCGTTCTATATATATATATTTAAAACCATTGGCCGCCAGTCAGGATACGCCCACATTTTGCAAGAGATGGATAAAGAATAAGCTAAAAACAAACGCGACTTTTTTGTACAATCACGGGCAATAATCCAGAAAGTTATAGCCTGAAATGTACAAATATCAAAAAGAACGGAGATCTTTGGGATATCAAGATATGTTTTAAGTTTCATCAAAATCGGGGTAAAAATTGTGACCGATATGATCACATCATATCTTAGTAATAGACATCAAACAGTTCTACTTGGTGGGGCCATAATCCATGAAGTTACAGCCCGATACATGCCAATATCGAAAGAACCGAGATCTTAGGGTGATAAACCTATATTTCAAGTTTCATTGAAATCGGATAAAAATTGTGACCTGTTGAGTGTTCACAAACAATTGTGGACGGACCGACGTCCAGACAGAGGCGACGACAATATACGTCCACATGAAAATGTGGGCGTATAAAAAAACTGTATTAAATTTTAATCTTTTTGTTAAATGCATGTCATATTTAGTCATTTCACTTAAGCACATTATAAACAATTAATTAAAATATCCTTATCACATTAAAGTAGCTAAGTCTCTAACTCAATATCATCAAAATTCTTCGACATTGAAAACACGAATTATTTGTCAATTCAAATCAACATTGGTCTTGTGATCTTACAGTGAAAATATGGGCTTCTGATATCCAATATTCAAGACAAAATAAACATTTTGTCTTTGGTACACGAATCGTGTACCATAATGCGTTTCAGGGACATTTGGAACAAGGGACTCAAAGAACGAGGCTAGACACATTCCACAAGTCAAATGGTGATGCTATATTCTTATCTGGAGAGCATGCGCAATATGGTTTAGACAGGAATAACCAGACCCTAAAGATTGTCTTCAATTGAGACTTCTGGCGTATTTCGCCGAACATAACTGATTAGAAATTAGAGTAAAAACAGAAACGATTGAATGTAAATCAGTTTATATACATTTATATTACATTATTATATGCATTGCGACCCATTTGTGACAATTTCTAGATCCCAAATATTAGCGATTTAGCTCCTTTAAGAACTAAAAGAATGGGATTTATTATTATTATACACATCTATTTTCTTTTCCCATTGAAACATTCCACAACCAACTTTTGGATCATGTCGTGATCCAAGACGACAGGCAAAGAAAAAGCGTCCAATGTTAGGTCCTGGATTCTGAACCATTCTTCGTTTTGAACGCTTGCCACAATTACATAGGGGTGGGGTGGCCATCATCCCCGATGGATTACTTTGAGTTCTCTGTCTTTTTGTATTGTCATTTGGACTGTAATTAATCAATGTATTTTGTAAACGACTGGTATAACCCTTGCTTGTTGTAAATGTGGACATTGGAAGACACTTGTTGGTGGTGAAATTTGGTCTTTGAACAGATTTGTTGGCAAGTATATTTGACCTTTGTCCAAATCTGTTGGGTAGAATATTTGGGGACAGCGCAGACCTGCTGGCTTGAATTATTTGGTGTTGTCCAGATTTTTTCTGGGGAAGATTTGGTTCTGGCTCACTTTTTGCAACTAAATGTTTTGGCCATTGCGCGATTTTGTTGGCTGGCATGGTTGTGGGTTGTATAGTTTTATTGGCTGGTAGGCATGTGGGTTGTACAATTTTATTGGCCGGCAGGTTTGTGGGTTGTGCAGTTTTGTTGGCTGGCATGTTTGTGGGTTGTACAGTTTTGTTGATTGTCATGCCTGTGGGTTGTACAGTTTTATTGGTTGATATGTTTGCTGGTTGTACAGTTTTGTTTACTGTTTCTTTTCCCAGAATATTTCCACTTTTACAAAACATGTTAGATGACATTTTTGTGGCTTGGCCAAATTTATTAGTGGAAGAATTTGAGGATTCTATTCTTCTGTTGTCTGAAAAATGGGAGGTCTGCTCACATTTGTTCACTGGAACACTTCTGGAAGGGCCATCTGCTGTCACCAGAAAATTTGATTGTTCCTGAACGTTGCAGGAGTAGTTACCAGAATTCACCTGTATTTTTGGTACAATATTATTTTTCTGTGATACATGGTGTAAAACAGTTTTCATTTGTGTCTCCGGGTTCGCAATTGCAGATGAAATTCTATTTAGATTTTTCTTTGGAGATTGTCCATTAATAGGAAGGATAGGATTCTTGGAGGGATTTGATGGCACACTTTGAGTTCTTGTATCACCCGATTTGTCTGCTTCATTGTTTCCAACTTTAAACTGCTGTCTATGAATATTTATGGTTGAATACATCATCACACGTGTTTTTGGTGGTGGTTTTTGGAGATTTTGACTTATGTTCAGTGCATTCACTTTAATTGTCTTGTTGGTCAATGTTCCTTTGTCCTTCAAGTTGCATGCAACCTTTTCATATGGTTCGGATTTAGAAGTTTGGAAAGGCTGTTGGCCATACACAGGGTAAGGTTTATATTTTTTATCACCATGTTTAGCTGATGATGGAAGGATTGAATTTTGGCCAGATTTGTTATTGGAATAAGACTTTTGGTTTCCTGCCGAGCACAGAGAATTTCCAGGAGCAATTAATTTAGTACATGAAGTAGTTTTCTGGCAATAAGTTGGTTTTGTGACCATCTTTTTACTGACATCTGCTAATGTGGAAGAATTGCTAGAATTGTCTGCATTGAGAAAAGGTAAATCTTCAGATTTTAATTTAACTGTGGTGTTCTGAATTGAATTTGTTGATGTTAATTCTGGCTTCTGTTCAACTAGTTTATTTTGTCCCAAGGGAACAGATTTAGACAAAACTTTGTCATTAACACTAACGATATCGCTGGTTTTATTATTTTGAAAGGAAAAACTTTGAACATTTGATTTCTTATTGGATCTCTTATCACATATAAATCTCAGTTGATTGCAACTGAAAGATTTGGTCATCTTCAGATTCTCTTTATTTTTCAAATTATTATTGTTCATACTTTCATTGATGCTTTGAGGATGTGATTTTGCAGTGAATGTTTGGGGGCAAATAATAGGATTTGATATATAATTTTGATTTATATTCTTTGATGGAGAAGAGTTGGCTTTTATGTTCTGGTCTCGTATAGATAAACCTGGGGATTTGAACCCATCTTCAGGTTTCATCTTAGGATTTGTGAGTGAAGTAGAAGTATGAGATAGGATTGGAGTTGTACTCTCTTTCCATTTCTTCTGCGGATTTTCTTTTAATTCTTCTTTACCTCTCTTCTTCGGGTTATCAACCAGCTTTTTAATCTTGAATTGTTCAGTTATTGTTGGCTGACATGTTGTTTTAGTTGGTGTCTGCCAGAAAAAAAAAAAACCAACAAAAGAAAATACATAACAAACACTGATTATTAATAATCAATAAACTTTATTGCACAGTTTTAAAAAAAATTAAAATACATGTCCACCATTTCTTGTAATATATACACAGCATAAAATAAAATTGAAAGTCTTGTCTTCTGTATTCTTTTAAAAGTATTACAATTGTATTAAAAAAAGTCTAAGTGGCAGTAAGCACAGATATTGCATAGGTTAATGTTCAGTGTTGGTATTTTATGTTACAACACTGTTATCTCACCCCACGTAAACTTTTTGTTACTTCCACTTTATAGCCATCTCTTATCATTCTCCAAGCTAAAGCTGCTGTATTTCTAGAATCATCTAAACCTAAAATAAAGATGATTTGATTATAGATACCTTGGTTCTGGTAGTTAATTTTGGGCTTGATGAGAGAAGCCATTTGGTATTATAGAAATCATAATATGCTGCCTCATTCACAGCACCAATTATTACTAATAAAAAAAAATGATAAAAAATATTGACCTGAAATAAAGAGAAATCATCTTCTGTATTCTAAAAGGTTAGTGAAGAATTAACATTAAAATATTTATGACATTACTAATTTAAATATTACAAACCTGAATGTTGTCTTCCCTTAAAAATTATACCAACATCTTCTAAAGCACCATTTAAACCATTTGGTTTCCTTTGATAGAAAACCTATAAAATATAACCACAATTATAACATACTGTTGGAGAGGATTAATAAATTGTATCTGGCATATATACAAAATTATTTGCTTCTTCAGAATGAGAATTTGCTTGCACTTTTTTTTACCAAGTTGTATTAGTGGTTTCAAAATGACATTTTTATCATAAGAAAAGCTTCAGAAATACGACATTTTGGTACATTTGTTACCCACTCTCCTTAACAATTAGGCAAAATCATGGGACCTTTTGATTTCAGTGACATTAGCTGCATGTATGTCAAAACTAAATTTTGTTTTACAGTAAAAGATAACAGGTGAGGGACATAAATCAGGTTTAACATCCACTCAACACCAACTAGGTTATATTGGGACTACATGAATTTATTTTCCTTCAATAATATGCTGTGTGCCCGCTCTATTGATAGTTTGAGGAAACCTAAGAACCCATAAGGTTCAAAAGCTGTTTTCCACCTAATTAAACTAAAGCCTACAGTCGAAACAAACTTGACTCAATGACCGTTAAGTTCATGTGTCAGACCACTAAATATTTATTATTTGCATAGTACACACAATAACTTACTTTGTATGCTAGTCTGAGATCAATCCAACTGTTTAATTGATATGGTGTTCTAATCTGTTTTCTTCTAGCTTCATTTAATAAACATACATTCAAATCCCAATCTATATTTAAAAAAAAGGAGCATACTGATGACAAACTAAATTATTTTGTGTGTTTTTCACTTATGCTAATACATGTATGGAGTTATTTGACTGACAAATTAATAATCGAGAAATAAGCCACAAAAGAAGTAACTAATTAAATGTAGTAGGATTGAGCAAGCTACACAATATTATACTGTAGTCAGACATCAGTTTTTATACAGGGTTAACTGAATGCTTGTAACATCCCAAGTAGAGCTAAAAATAGCTTCTTTACTAAATCTGTTATCTCTGCTAATTCTAAATCAATTTAGCTCAGGGATATTTTAATATTGATTAGAATTTAAGGGCAACTAAACTGTAACATAATATGCAATGAAATCGACAACAGAATGTAATAAGATATTTTATTAATTTACAGATTACAAAAATAGAGAAACTTATTTACCAACCTGACCATGTGACTATTGTTGCAGCATTCACACCTTTGGGTACATATTCGGATTTAACAAACATAATATTCTTTTCTCTTTCTAAATTCTCTATCCAGTAAGTAAACTTTGCTAAACATAGTGATAATGGAATACCTTCATCTACTTGTTCCTGGTTATTAAAAAAACAAAACAAACACCCAAAAATTAATAGTCATAAACATCCCACACCTTCACATGGTACAGGGAAAAACAGTTTCTAAGTGATACCCAAACAGAACTAAATAAGATATCAAATTGACGCTTACAATTAAGGATAATGAATGCAAGAATAATTAATTTGTTTCAAAATCAAATCCAAATTAAGACCTACTTAATCTACTGATATGTGTTTCAGCTTAGATCCACTTTATGAGTGTTCATGATTTCCAAATAAACAGTATAGCACAATTATATAAAGCAAATAATTCTTTATAAACTGTTTAGGAACTCTCAGGTTAACACATGACACAATTACTGGTATATGGAATATATGTCACTTAGACGTTTATTTCTGGCGATGTTTCGACATGGGCTCTCTTATCTTTACATTAATTTGTCAAAAACTGACATAGGCAATTAAAACTTTGAAAGAAAGTATGACAAATAAAAAACATTGGTATTTTAGATAATTTATGGTCAAGATACAATTTACAGTGGGGATACTAATATTAAATATAACAGGAAAAACATATGTATAAAAAATTAAAGTGACCTACCTGTGTTATACCAGTTAATTGTTTACAGAAGGCACTAAGTGTGGGTTGTTCTTGTGGCTGGACGTAATAATGGAACTCACTTTCTATTTTACCATTAGATGTGTTTAATAACACTGCTGGAAATTCAACTGTAATAAAAATTGGAATGAAATAATCTTTTGTTGCTTGATACTCTTTTTATGAGACTATTACCATGTTCTTGAAGGAATTAATGCAAGATCAAGCATTCTGTTGAAGAGACAAGAGAGAGAGAGAGAGAGAGAGAGAGAGTTTAACAACCACTGGACACAAACTAGGTCATTTCGGGACTAAACATATGGTTCAATTTTATTTTAATAATTTGCTTGCACGTAGGGGTATTTAGCAGTGTGATGAAACTAGGTTGGGCAGGTGACCCTACTCCTTGTCACGTATAAGCAGAGAATCGAAACCATGCCATTTGACTCAATGACATAACTTATGATGCAACACCCACATGTTAAACATTCGTCCACCCAACAAAAATAACATTTCAAACCATTTATTACAACCTGATCAAAATACAGATTTAAATTTCATATTTTTTTTCTTTTCTACTTTTGATGTCCACATTCCCATATAAACTGGTCTGTATAGGTAAGTCAGGGGTCATAATATATTATATAGAAGAACACTTAAATTTAGAAGGGGGTGAGCCTTATGCTAAGCAAATCTAGGTCCTAGAATTTTCTGGATCTTCCTCATCAAATATATGCAAAATGTCCATACACTTTTACAGGGTTGTTTTCATCGGTATAGTAAATATCAATAATTTCACCATTGTCTTTGGTATCGATTGCATTAGATATGCACACTTATAATATGAAAGAATTTTGCAATCCAACTACATATTACATTCAGTTCAGGTTTTCTTCTGGCACCCAATGCTAAGTACCTGCCATCCAATCTTTTAACTGATTCAGAGCAATGACTTCTAAAGGCATCCAATACCCAAAGTCCATTCTATCATAAAATGTAGGCTTTCAATAAATGATACCATCACTAGTTTTCAATCAGTAAGACCACACAAAACAACCCTAGTACCAAAAAACTGGTATGGGAGGGAGGTTTTTATTTTGTCGCTACTGGGCTAAATAACAACTCACAAACATGTTTCAAGACACTACATGTACATTTATCTTATGTTGTTTATAGACATAGTAATGTATGTATAACCAGTATCATGGCTGCCCAAAGCCTTTATTCGGGTTGCATACTTGATAATTTTACACCTATGGCACATGTCTGGATTCATTCAATTTTTGTTATAGGGTTACTTCCTGTAACCGAAATAAAACATTTATGAGATGTAATTACTGAGTGACACAGGATTATCCTAGAACCAAAATAGTTTTTCATAAAATTAACCTTACTTATTTCTTGTGTTCTATAGTTACGATTCTCCCAACACGTTGACTCAAAATCTATGATCAAAAGGAATGAATAGTGCTGATCTGTAAAATAAAAACCAAAATAGTTTTTGACCATCTGTCCCATGAAATTAATTTCACATGAACACATTTTCAAACAATAATATTCCAACATAATAATTTTTCTGTACGTCCAACACCATATGGAACTGAGAGTACCGTTACGAAATTTATTGACATAGGGCAATCCTTAAATTTAGCTTGTCATCTATATATCTGTTTAAACTTTTGACATCTTCAAGGCTTTCTAATCAAATTCGGTAGGTATATTGACAGAATAGTGCATTCTATATTCAAAATATATATATCAATTTAAGTTGATTGGCAATAGATGAAGGGGTACTATTGCCAATTTTTAGTGCTTATTCTCATAAAAGGGGCATTAGGTCAGATAAGATCAAAAGCTGACAGTTCTCGCTACAATACCGGTAGTTAAAAATAGATAATAAAAAACAGAAAATGCTGAAAATTTCAGTAAGATTGATTCACTATGAACCGAGATATTAACACTTTAATTTTCAGCTAGCTTCGATAATCATTACTAATGTTATAACTATAATAAACAAAGTCTTGATTATCCATTTTTACGGTAAATTATCCATCACAAAATGTATTCAAATTCACTAAAAATCGCAGGCTATCAATGTCAACGAGAGCTGATTATGGCCTATATCAATTAATTAATGCCTAATTAATAATTTAGATAACATTTCACGCCTAAAGAAAGACCCGCAATAGGCAAATTTAGCTCTTGCATAATGCATGTTTAATCACTTGATAAATTTCAACTACTGTACTTATAAATTTAACAGGTTTGCTTGGGTGTTAACAACCTTGCAGTAAGCCTATATTAAACAAAATCTCACCTAATTTTCTCACACTTGGCTTTTGGAAATTGTTCACCACAGCTCTTTTCCTTATCAAACCCATTTGCCTGAAAAAAGTGGAAAAAAAAGCCCAACATTTAAAACATTGCTTAAGCTAAGTAAAATAGTATATGGGGCTGAATAAGAGTAGGCCTAGAACTATAAATGTACACTACATGTATAATCCTGGCGAGATTGTTCAACGCTAAATATATTCTAATTTAATTTTTCCACTGAACTATTAAACTATCACAATAAATAATTTATAAGTATCATCTGGGAGTGTAAGTGGAAGGGTTAAAACAATGTCAGTGTGATAACACAAATTCCCGAACTTGAGAATGGATGACTTCTTTATGACCTAATGAGCAATCCCCACAAATTTGAAGAGCTGTATTAAACTCCAACGTCTAGTGCTCATGGTTACGAGAAATTGTGGACAGCCATGTACGCTGCATTTAAGTCCATAGCTACAATATTGTACCCATGTCCTGTCTTCCGTGGCTACAATTGATACACTATTCAAGGCTTTGTGCAAGTAAAATTAAGTTCAGTCAAATGACTACAAAACTTGCTCAAAGGAATTCCTTAGGACGATCCACTAAGTGGCTGGAGCAAGACAGAAGACATCAGTACTGGAACCATTTAATAAGTTCATATTAAATGTGGGCATAATTTTGGGACAAAGGAGTTTTGTTATTTCCTTTGAAGTGGAGTTAATTCAATTTGGCACATTTGGTACATGTATAATATTACTATAAACTAAGGCAAAACTGTTCCAAAATGTTCATCGAGAGTTATGGTCTTTTCATGGTAATATTGGCCAAGAGTCATTTGAATTTTTTGGTGGCATTTCCCCTTGCCAGTGTTGCAGGACGAAGGGCCTAGCAAGGAACAGCATCTATCTATTCATTCAGATGAAATGAAAATCTGCAGACCCATGTATGCCTACGTGTGCATGTGGAACTAAAAGAACCCTCAACAGTTGGATAATCCAGGCCAAATTTCCCTCATATTTTTAGCAGTAGCACACTGTGTCTTCATTAGGCCTATCCCAGATCAAGATGGAGCAGAAAATTAGGAGTTAATATTAATAACAATAAATAACAACAATAAACTGGGCCAAATTCATTTTCTTTACAAATTACAGAATCACCAGACAGAATTACATTTGGCAGACTAGTTCGCCAGAAATATTCGCAATCTGTCGGCTACATGAGTACGTGTGGCCTAGTTTGGGACACGGATGGTCCGTGCAAATTATCATCTACTTTCGCTAGGTCAAATGAATGTGAACTGAAAATTAGAAATAGCCAGAGAAACGACAACGAAATTAAATCACTCTTTTACATTGCCAGTGCTTTGGTTTTCTTCATGATTGTTGCAGTATCAATTATCGTGTTAAGTTAAATATACTGGTCCTCTCTCCTTTGCCACTGGCGAACTTCTCAACAAACAACGTTCAAATTTACCACGCCGGAAGTCATGTAATAGGTCAACATGACATTTAGCTAACTTCCGGTATTGTATCTTTCCGGAATCAACAAACAACACGTGTGTGCCTGTGAAAGCGATCAAAAAGTTAGACTTTAAAACCTCAAATGTATTAATTAACCCCAATAATGTCTAAAAGAGAAAAAAGAGTCGAATCAAAGATCAAGAAAGCCCGTGCGTTTTTAAATTTAGCCAGACTTAACAAGGAGGAAGATGTAAGCCCAACATTTGACAAATAATTACTAGTCTTCCAAGTTCTCTAACTCTTGGCCAGGAGTAGGTATGAAAAAGTGAATCGTTCACTGTTAGCAAAAATTACAAGCTACACTTAAAAGTAAATAGGTTTTTTTTCATTTCGTCTTTCTCTGATTACTACTCAGTGCATTTGATCTAACATTTAGAGCACGCTGCAGTTCAAAAGGCTGAGTTTGGCTACAGTATGTATGTAATAAAACTCGTAGGACCTAGTCCTATATTAAGATGTTAAGTGGAATAAGATAGAAAAAATGAAAGACATTGAAAAACATATTATTTTAATCAGATTGGCCAAATATTATTTCTGTTTTAGGCTACATTCCAAACAGTTTTTCAACAATTGTATATGATCAATACATCCAGGGCCCTGATTTAAAAACTGTAATATTATGCTAATTTCTAGTATTTATAAAATAGAATTGTAAGAAGATGAAGGGTAGGAAAAGAAATATTGAGGATGACAATGATTCATCTCAATCAACAAAGAAAAAATTGAAGATGAATAATGGTAAAAATCTAATAGAGGTGAATGGAGATCGATCTAAGCTACCACTGCAAATGTTAACAGAAGAGGAAATGGTTGAACTGATAGAAAGGAGAAAAGCAGCAATGGTAAAGCATATTTAGCAATTAATATAGAAAAAGTTACAAGTTTAATTGTAAATTTGATACTCACACAAATGTACATCCATCATTATCAAAGATTCTGCAGCTGGGGACAATGTGGGTCAGTGAGTTAGACTAGGAGGTCCCACAAATGCTGCAAGCTTTGGCTGAAAACTTTCCTCGAGAATTTCCATCCTGGTTTTCCTTTATCCATGCAGGATCGAGGGTTTGGCAATAAGACACATCTTTCAAATAAGTGAAGCTTAAAGGGGAAAACCAACCATTTTCAATAAGGTTTCCATAAATAATAAATATATATTTAGAAATAATCCCTCCTATAACATATGCAAAAAATAATTTGCAAGCGAGAAATTAATTTTTATTAATACCGGAAGTGACGTAGTTGGTTCGACACGCTCACTGGTCACTATAGTAAACATACAAATTTGGAGCAAGTTTAGCGCTGTATTTTGTGATCGTTTCGCCGTTTGGCAGAAAATCTGATGAAAGGTAATCTTTATTAGGATATTAAGAACAAGAACTTACGGTGTTTTGAAGGTATAATATACAACGCGTTTGTGTAAATTAAGTTTCTAAACTGGACACTGTGACACAATTTAAGCCATATGGCTAATTGTTTACATCACGTGATAGCTGGCACGTGACAGATATTAACCAAACACAAATTGGCGACCTATTCGGCTAGCGACCTATTCAGCTGGCAACCTGTTCGTTGGCAACCTATTCAGAATGAGAGCGCACCCCTTTAATATGATTGTGCCAACTTTTACTAATAATATTTCGAAAGCTTATTTAATCAGCTTTCGGAATATATTTAGTTGGATGTTCAGAATTTTGTAAGATAATGCGAAATTACATCTCTATTCTGAGCTAAAGGAATGGATACCTAAATGATAATATATTCTACTTTCATTTGATAGACGTTACGTTGGATTTTATTGGTTGATAAAATAAATGAGTTTGGGCGACTGTTGAATTTATTCTGAATAGGTTGCCAACGAACAGGTTGCCAGCTGGATCGGTTGAACAGGTCGCTAGCCGAATAGGTGGCCAATTTGTGTTCGGTTAATATCTGTCACGTGCCAGCTATCACATGATGTAAACAATTAGCCATGTGGCTTAAATTGTGTCACAGTGTCCAGTTTAGAAACTTAATTTACACAAACGCGTTGTATATTATACCTTCAAAACACCGTAAGTTCTTGTTATTAATATCCTAATAAAGATTACCTTTCATCAGATTTTCTGCCAAACGAAAAACGATCACAAAATACAGCGCTAAACTTACTCCAAATTTGTATGTTTACTATAGTGACCAGTGAGCGTGTCGAACCAACTACGTCACTTCCGGTATTAATAAAAATTAATTTCTCGCTTACAAATTATTTTTTGCATATGTTATAGGAGGGATTATTTCTAAATATATATTTATTATTTATGGAAACCTTATTGAAAATCGTTGGTCTTCCCCTTTAAAGAATCCTATTGATATTTTACCATTTCAGTTAATAATAACTGAAGTCAAGCAAATCATTTTATTAATATGAGCTTATGAATTTTGAAAATTAAGCATAATGACATTAGTTTATTGATTTCATTGTAGGAGAAGCCTAAAATTTATCTAACATTGAAAGACTTGGCTGAAGAATACAGAAAGAGAATATCAAAATTATCTGAGAATGATGTTACAGAGGATACATGTCCATCATTATATGCTCTAGATTTACAATGTCTTATACTGAATGCGATCGAAGGCAGTATATCTAGTTATTTTCCAAGGTTAGAAAAAAAAAATAATGCATTGAATTTTTATGCTCTGGTTTATTAACACATAAATTTAATGTGTCATGGGTTGATGTCTATTAAAAGTTACATGATATTATTTAAAAAGCAAAGCTTAGCAATGCAGTCCAAGATATTAAACTCAGATAAAGTGATTGTGTATTTATTTCTTTTGAGTTGATCATTAGATATATATCATTAACGAAAGTCAATAATCTTATTTGATCTTTGATCAGTGAATAAAGTAATATTTTTTTTTTATTTTCAAAATTTGCAGATAAATATCCCTTACAATCATTTAATTTGAATATGGTGTATTGTATTTTAGGTGGTGTAAATTATTAAGACAGTCTAAAATAACATCAATAGTAGTAATGGTTATAAATGGTGTATCTTTATCAGATGTTCTTAGTAATGAAGATTGTTTCTCCTACCTCACAACAAATCTACCTATGGTATATAAATTTATTTAACTTTGACATACAATTCACTAAGTTGTAACATTTTATATTATTTAGGGTTGCATATTAATATAAGATTAAACATGCATTATGCAAGAGCTAATTTTGTCTATTGTCTTTCTTTAGGTCTTAAATGTTATATAAACTGTTAATTAGACATTTACTAACATGACAAACCATAATCAAGTCTCGATGCCATCAGATAGGTTCGATTTTAAGTATATTTAAACGATTCAGTCATTTAATGATTTAATCTAAAAATGGTGGTTACAATCAGTGCAAAGGGCTAATATCTTCGCTCAGAATAAAGTAATTTGAATGAAATTTTAATATATTCATTTTGCATCCAGCTCTTTATCTAAATCTTATATAATGTATATTTAAGAAATGTTTTTGGAGGCATTAAAGGGAAATGTAAAATCATATATGTATACAGCTCTCATTTCAGTCATAATTGTCAGTCTTAACTGATCGGTATTGATGTTAGCGAACTTAGTGAATTTATATGCTGTAAAGTTAGAATTTCAAAGAATTTAACCATAAAACACCATAAATACAGTTATATTTATATAAATTTATAGTTTTTAAAAACACTCTTGGAAAAAGTATCATGCTAATCCAAAGTAAAAAAAAAATACATAAAAATATGACCAGCTGGCAAACGTTTAAAATGAAAGCCCTAACTTGGACCATCCTAAATGATCAAGCTTATTTGGATGCATAGAGATATGGATTAATTTTCATTGCTGTTTGTTAAATCAAACAAATTTTCTTTTGGAATGATAAATCTATTAAAGATGCAAGTAACTGGAATAGTTCTGATTTTAGCATGCTTTTACTTTTGTTTCAGCACATTGAAATAACCCCACCGTTGCAATACGAAAGTTCTTTTGAGAAAGAAATATTTCGTGTACGGTTGTCAGAATCTCAGTGGGCAGCAAAAATACGAGGTCAGTTGAGGCATGTGTATTTTTTTACTACATAGGAATTTCTACAAAAAAATAATTTGTTCAGTGGTTATAATTTATAAATTTTCATTTTTGTGGTATTTGATTTGTAGAATTAGAGTGCCTGGGGCTCCTTAATATTTACCTTTTGTCTTCTTGATATATACAGATACTAAATACAGCTCTCAAGAACCTTGCAAAAAAGTCAATGGAATAACAAATAAAGCTGATTCAAGAAAATTGTCAGAGTTTGTTCCAGCAGATCCTGTAGACAAATTTGACAGACGATTGTTATTATTAAATGTTATTGATATGATCCAAGATGGCTACCCTCTACCATTACTAAGAGATGGTGTGTTTGTAAAACTTTTTAGTTTTCTTTTGTAAATATATTTTCAATTTATGGACACTGTATTCTAATATTTCATTCACAATATACAAACATTGTTGATTAGATTCTAGATATGTTTACCCATGTAATTTTTGTACATCTTGTGTAATTTGTGTCTTCTTTACATTGAAATTTAATGGATGTATATTTACAGGTATGTATAATAGTTTCAAGTTTACCAAAGATGATTATATGAAATTAACAGCTAATAGTCCTATGTTTGCTGTAGATTGTGAGATGGTGAGTATTAAACCTAAAGTTACGTTTCTACAAACAAGGAGTTTTGTTTGAAAATTTTGACAGACTAAGGACAAAAATAATTTATAATCATAATTGTTGTCCTGTTTTCATTCTACAAGCTTAATCATTTCTAAAAAAGAATCTTTTCTGGATTGATGGTCAACTTTTCCTTCTTATTTCATGAAAACAGACCTGTATTGACATTTATTGTATAGATTAATAAGGTAATTGATTAAATGGTAGTTTTTATTTAAATCTAGTGTGCTACACGGTATGGTAGAGAATTATCTAGAATAGCTGTAGTCAATGAGAAGTTGGAGGTTTTAATGGATAGACTGGTGAAACCTAGAAATGATATTATAGATTATAAAACAAGGTTTGTATATCACAGAAAATAGTGGAATCAATTTATGATCATGCCAATAATAGATAGCCATTAAAGATAGATTCTTTTCAGAATACTTAGGTCATTTGTTTGACTCTTTAAACTTATTTCTATACACTCACATATGTATTTTGTCATCACCTGTGTTGATCATATGTCTACCATTTGTTGAGAACACGCTAAAGGTCAGAATTATTTTCAGATTTGCAGGAATTGTTCACTGGGTCATAAGGATATTCAGAATGTTTTGATAACAAATGCCTTTGCTGCTGGCGGCTTTAATAATGGGCTTTGAGCCCACCGTCTATGTATATCTGAAGGGATGCTATTTCTAATGATTTTGAGAAAATCAAATTTTCTAGGTTGATAACCGTCAAGACACATTACTGTGATTTCATCTAAAAATAGCCTTGGTTTCCATATTAAATATTAAAGTACATTTGTAGAGTGCTAAATCCATCAAAAAGCATGCTCAAAGTGCAGTGAGAAAATAGTTATATCAACCGTGAGTGGAAAGTCTAATTCCTGAAATAAGTAGGTGATTATACTTGTAGTTCAAGTCATAACACTGTTAACTCTATTGTTTATAATTTAGTCTTGACAGTTCACAAATCTGATTACAGTTCAGATTGGCATTGACACTGACAAAGCTGATACTAAAAATAGCACAAACATGTCCATATTGAACTGAAATTTTCGATCCAAAACATGAAAATGTGATAATCCAAATATACTCAAAAAAATCTTCCAGCTTTTTCACACAGTAATCACAAAGTTCTTTTTTAAACTATACACAAGTTTCAGATATCATAGTAGAAGAAATCAAGAGAAATATCACTTTCCATTTCAAGCAAAATGGCCCAGTTGCAGCCACAAGGAGCCCATTTAACTCTTTCAGAGCATTACAGATTTAATGAACTTTAGGGATGAATGCAGGAATTTAATGGACTGGGGAGATCACTTCTTATTTTTATAGAAAAGTTATATGGTAATAATACTTGGCAAATATTCTATTGAATGTAAAATTATGAATTGATATTCATAAAGTTATGTCAAAAACTAAATTTGGGCTTTTATATTACAGATTTAGTGGAATAACAGAAGAAATGTTAAGAAATGTAGCAACACGGCTAGAAGATGTACAGAAAGAATTTCAACAATTAATACCTGCTGATGCTATATTAATTGGTCATTCATTTTGTAATGATTTGATTGCTTTGAGGGTAAGTACATGTACTCAAAACTTATTGTAGACTCCTATGTTTAGCAGTATATCTCTGGGATCAAAAGGAAATGTTACTAGAATTATAAAAGAACAAAGACATGCAGAAGCACCAAATCTGAATTATTTGAATTTTTTTATAAAAATACCTGCAGTATCAAGAGAATGGATTGACAGTTGAACCTGAAATTTGAAAAAAAAATATCTAATTAGAACATTTTGATGTTGAAGATTATAATTGAAATGAAATGGGGTTTATTTAACATTCTAGTTTTCTGCATCACTAGGCTAATTACAACAGTCAAACATGTATCGAACCAGGGACCTCCTGATTAGTAAGCCAGCACTATATTCAGAAATTCTCTGATTATGATTCAGCTGATAAATTGTATTATATGGTATATTTCAGATGTTCCATCCATATGTTATAGATACAAGTGTGATATATAATTTAGGTAAAAAGAACTACAAATCAGGTCTTAGTACTCTTACCAGATACTTTCTAAAGTAAGTTTCTAGTTAATATGTCCACATTTTATCTTGCAGCTATTTTGGCTTTTAAACTTGATAAATATAACACTAGATAAGGTTTTCTTTGAAATTTTAAATATTGTGATGAGAGTAGTCATTGAAGAAAAAGAAAGAAGAGAACTTTCGACGATATGGTTGGTATCAGCCTGGCTTGCAACGATATATTGTGAAGCTTTTGCACATAATAGATAAGGGTCAGACTGTTATTCAGGTCTAGTTGTAGAACTTTCAACAACAGATTGATGTCCATGTTTATGTGCAATTCATTTTTTTTGTGCTATTGATTTCTTGTAGAAAACATATACAAATCAGTTTAAATGGTCACTCTCCCGTAGAAGATGCAATAGCAACAATGGAACTAGTACTTCTTAAATTAAGAACAGGTTTGTTATTTATTAATCATTTTTAAAGTATAAAAACCTTGAAGTTTATTGAGTTATAATTTTTTTAGTGAAAAAATATGGCACTGCCTGGATGTTATGGTCTAACTAAACCCTCTAGGACTAATAAAGCCCTAATCGCTCATATCTTTCTCATTATATTATGGTACTCTAAGATTTTTCGAAATTAAATTTAATTTATTGTCCCATGCCTATCAGAGACAGCCGGTTCATTAATCTGTTAGTCTGTCACACGTTTTGAAGGACAATAACTCAGTAATAATGTCTTGAATTGAGTAAGAGTGATGAAACTTGGTGCATAGTTTCACTGCATAATACCTAGATTAATATTTTCGATAATGAGCATTTTCTGCTCAAATTAAGTAGAGTGATAAGCATTTGATTGCTTGACGCTTTTGTAATTAAGGCGGGAGAACATCAGTCTCACTACTGACTTGTTTAATATATTTTAGGTGTAGATTTTGGTGATATGTTATCAGGTTGTACTGTAACATCATTTAATTTATCCGAACCAGTGGGTACGCAAGAAACAACTGGTAATAGTAAAACTATAACTGATGGCAAATCAGTTTATTTTAATCCTACTGATGATCAACTCTCACAAACTTTGTTTGATATACTTAATAAAGTCAACAAAACTAGTAAGTAACAGTCTTTAAAATTGATATATTAGGCCATACAAAAAGAATATTCTGGTTCTAAGACAATCCTTAACAAAAATCTGATGAGGGAGGGAGGTTTTTTTTGTGTTTTTATATTTGTCAAAGGATTAGTACTTGGTTAAATGATTCTCATACACATCAAATTTCAAGGCACTACATTTATATGATCATGTTGTTTATAAGAATGTATTATTGTCTAGTATTATTTGTGATTGTCATTAACTTTCTGTAACCGTGACAAAATATTTGTTTTTATTTTTTTTTTTTCAAAAAAAAACCAACCTTTCCATGCAGCCCTTTTTGAAATGATGCAGGATTATCTGTGATTATATGGCCTTATACTAATTTCTAAATAAATTTAATGACATATAATTATATTATAAATCATTTATTTTCATGTCTTTGTGTGTATAAATCTTTACATCTGTTTTGTCATTTTTTTTAAGTTCTGGTAATTTTAAGTCCAATATGATCATCTTATATGCTGTCAACAAGTTATTAAATATAATTCAAAATCCCTATATATCTAAGCCTGACATTAATTATACATGCTTTTCACAGTAAATTATTTCATATTTATAGAGCATCTTGTTGGGGGTTTAGGTGACCAAATGGTTTAATGCGCGTGTGTAAGGTCTGTCATTGAGTTAAGTGGCGAGTAGGATTGCCTGTTCAGCCGCATGGGTTTCCTCTCGATCCTCCGGTTTCCTCCCACAGCTAAAGACCCCTACACACAGTCAAATTATTGAAATAAAATTGAACCATGTGTCAGTTCCGAAATTACCTAGTTTGTGGCGAGTGAATGTTACCCCCCCCCCCCCCTCTCTGTTGAAGGTTTAACATAATATTAATTTGATCATTTCATATTTATAGATGTTGTGATAGGTAGAGACCATTTTCCAATTGAAGTAATTAAAGGAGCTAATGTTGTAGCTGTTGATAATGATACGGATTGTGTAAAGAAGGCTAAAAAGCTCATTAAGAAAAAACAATTTGTGTGGTTAAGCCTTGAAGATTGTGTTGAAGAAAAAAAACTGTTAAAAAAGAAATCTTATAAATATGTGAGTTACTGTCAGGCCTATGGCAAAATACTGACTAAGATTTTTAAAGGAAAGTTTACAAATCTGTTTTTAATAACAGTTGAAAGGACAACCTCATGGAATGAATAGGATTCAACATTCTACTACTTTTCTGAACCTCTGGGACTAATGAAGATAGGCATATACCATGCAGAGTATTAAGAGGGAAATTTTGTCCAGACAGCAGCTTTCTGTCTTTACTGTCAATAGTTCTTTTATGTGCACACCAACATGTTCACAGGACTTTGTTTTTCATCCCGCCGAACTACTAGATGTTTTTTACCAGCCATCCATCCTCCACCACTGACAAGGGGAAACCAGACTGCAAAATCCTGTGCATCCTTGTTGACCACCACCTGGCCCCGGTTTCACAAAACATTCTCAGACTTAAGATAAGAATTAACTCAAATTGTTCGACTTGTTTTAACTTAAATACAGCCTTTTATAAAACTTTTATTGTTTTAATGTATCAAATAAATCTGTTTCTGGATCAAAGATATTTCTCATAAATAGTGATGGAAAGTTGAGTAAATTTTTCTTAATTCTGAGAATGCTTGGTGAATAGAATCTGGGACCTCCTCTGCCTTAGTGAGCCACTGCCTTACTCACTATGCCACTGTGTTGTGCTCACATTTAGATAAATCTTTGCACATGATCTTAAATGTAGAATATATTACCTTCCTGGAACACTGTCACTATTCATATTTGATGAATGTGTATCTTTTTTATTACAGGATAAATTTCGCCAAATTGATGGTCAAATACAGAAAATAGCAGCCAGTTGTCAACCACATTCTTTATTTATTCCTGTGTTTAGTGGAAAAACCAAAAAAGGACAAATTCTTAATTCTGGAGCCTATGTTCATATAACTTGATGAGATGTAAATCCACCAGCAATAAATTATTATGTCAAAACATAGTACATTGTCTATTTTGTTATTGAAAGGTCTATTAAACTGTTTTGTAAAAATGACTTCTTTTTACTTGTCCCACTGTTAACATCAGAGTAATGAAAAGTATATAAAACATGTGGTATCGAAATTGTTGTTTTTCAACATCATATGATTCCCTTTGCAACCAGACTTGACTGTGTTCGTTATTACCTGCTTATTGGAAATCAAATGTCAAATTGTAAAGAAAAAGCCTGTTTACTTTAAAAATATCTTTTCAAAATAGAAAGCCATTGAGAAATGATTGTCATAATTTTGTAATGGGGTTTACCAACACTGATAAAGAATTCTGTATATGTTTTTTATGTATTGAGTGACATAATAACTGCAACTTCAGTAAGGTATATTATATAGACATAGCTATCTAGGAACCACTACAGCTGTTGTCAATCAAATTTTATCCGACACAAAAATTGGTCACTGAACTTCAGGGAGTTGCACTATAAATGTGTCACACCAGTTCAATCACTAAAGTTATCCGAGATGTATCTGGAAATGATTTTAGGAGACTAAAGGGGGATAATTCAATTTAAAAAAAACAAACTGCAGAATGGAAGGAAAAGTTGATTGTTATGGAAAAGATACTCTTAGTTATCAGAGATCTACTTCACAAAAACACTGATTTTAGGAGACTAAAGGGGGGATGATTCAATTTTTGTACAGAGAATTAATGGAAGGAAAAGTTGATTGATTGTTATGGAAAAGATACTCATAGTTATGAGAGATCTACTTCACAAAACAAAGATATTTAAAGGGTACATTTTATAAGTTCTTTAATTTTTATTGGCCAAGAGATGTTACAGGATTTTAACTTTCAGCGCCAATCAACAGAAAATATTTTGGTAAATTAAGGTCTATGAATACATTTAGAAAATACTGTTTGCCTTTATTCTCCCTGAAGTCTGAAATTTATAAAACCATAACTGCAAGAAACAAATGCTATAATGTAGAAGTTAACATTTGTCATGTCTAATATCTTTCAACAATCTACCCATGGTATGACCTATGAACCATGGGTTCCATGTCGGCCGTATATGCCGTTCGAGACCGAGGGCTATGGAAGATGACCGAAACTAGATCTGACCCATCGGTCATTTTGTACCTCAAAAAAATAGCGCATTTTTGAAAAAAGACAATAACCAAACATGAAAATGATCGACCTCTGCTATGTGACTATAAAATTTTATGGCTTGTTCAGAATAATACACACGTATAGAAGCCATATAATCTCTTGATTGGTGTTATAGTATAGTATATGTTATGTATACATAATTATCAATAGATTATACTGAGTCTGAACACCCAAGTTGGCTAAGCAAGTTCTTCAGGGAGTTCTGGCATGATTCCCCCTTGTCAGTTGTGCAGGATGGCAAGGAACCGTGTCTAGTCATTTGCACAGGACAAAGTACCAATTAAGGTCCCAAGTATACATTGAAGTGTATGTAAAAGAACCCTTGACAGTTGGATTAGAAATAAGAGTAGGCTGCAGCAACACTGTCGAAGGCAGAATTTCCATCATAGCACACTGCATGGTACATGCCTGTCTTCATTACCCAGGTCAGTACAAATTAGTCAGATGTTAAAGCCCATTTCATTTCATTTCACTTCACTTTCAAGCTCATGAATCAAAATGTTCCATTTAAGGGTTGATTTAAAAATAACAACACCGCATTTTATTTATAACATTTCTATTCTATATAAAATCTACATACACACATACAACCACAGATAAATTTTACATAAGTGTACTCTAATGTGTAGTGATTTTTAACTTAGAACGTGAGTCTTTACAATAGTATAGTTCAGTGTGACCATTCTAAAATAAATTGACCGACCTTAACAAATCCATTAAATCTAGGATAAACAGTAAAACATACGCCCAGCTTCATCTTTATTTTCTGTACGTCTATGGAATTAACCCATGGAGGTAAGAACATGAGAGTGTGTTTCTTATACTGGGGTAATAACACAGCACAAAACGCACACCTATCAATTTTAATGGGTTTATCTTACTAAGTGTTAATAGGATGACCAAAGATGATGACAGTGTACTTTAAAATAAAAAGTTTCCTATCCCAAAAAGAATGTTTAAACATTTCTTTTTAGACCTTTCATAAATATTCAAACAATTTTTAAAGAATGTCCTAATAAATACATTTCTTCCTATCACTTTTTGACTTTTCTATAGAATAGAATAAATATATAATAAATTATACATAAGCTTTAATTGTTTATGGACAAAATATAATTAACAGATTATTTAAATATACATCAACATTCTATTTATACACATTTGTTATAAGATCGGTATTCAATATATATACAATAAAATACACATAAATAACTGTTTAAAAACTAGCACATACTTTTGTTTTTCTTTCAGGTTTTTTTTTCCATGGCATTCAATATAATTTCAAGTGTTTATAATATGATCATTTTTGGAGACTTAATATTCTGAGCAATTATTTACAGAAGTCTCAAATTGAAATACAAGTTTGTGCTACTAACTCCAAATGTTGTTTATTTAGGCTCAGTTTGAAGATATAAAATATGATTACATGTAAAGTCTCCAGATATTTATTAAATCGTATTTGTGCTTTTCCTGCTAATAAACATTAAATTATATTACATTTGTGCTGATAACTAGTATCTGTGCAAGTAAATCTTGACCATCACAACCGAACAAAGTGAGATACTCAATCTATTTTTATACTGGACATGTAGATGTATGATCTCTCCTTTATAAATATATCATCATGCAAAGATAATTACAAAGTGATCACCTATTATGCACGTTTAAATGAGGATGCTAGTGCAATAACCTGGACAAGTGCCATTGTTTTTAAATAAGATCAGATCTTTTTAATTTTTTTTATTAAAATAAATCCATTTTTAGCAAATTTTGCTAATGAACTTGTTCATTTTTATCTTTTTATCACAGTATATGTCAATTTTAGTGTTCTGGTTTAAAAATATGCAAAAATACTATTTTTGGCAGATTGTGTGAAATGGCACTCTCCACTTTATTGCACTAGCATCCTCAATTGTGATGCGAGGTGGTCGTTTTTCTTGACAGAAGACTTGGTCAAAACTTGTCATTCTCTAGTAACTCTAATTTTTAAGGGGTTTAACTAAAAACACACACCTTGTTGGAGGTGGACATTAAACCTACAGACCAACCAACCTTGTACATCCAGAAATAATTTTGGATCCATAAGAAACAAAGATTCTCTTAATTTTCCTGTCTGAGCATTTCATCTTAGTCATTTCACATTTATGTAAAAAAATCTCACTGTCGTAGCATAAAGTTCAGATTTTTCTTGGGAGATGTTTAGATCAAATGTACAGAATTCAAACCCAAAATAATAAAGTAGATATATATATATACAGGATTGCACCCCTATTACTATGAAGATAATCAGGAATGTGTTCATATTGTAGTAGAGAATTATATTATAAATATTAGTTAATTTGAAATGCTTATGACAATATACAAGTTACCCACTAAAGGATATCCACTATTTTTTATATGTTCAACCGAACTTGTACTTATTTCTTTAAACCCAATTTACAAAGTTTCACATCAGTTGAAAGGCCTATTTCCAGAAAATAACTATTAGGTATGTACTTTATGATAAGCAAAGATCTGTATTGAAATAAAAAGAAAAAAAAACAGCATTCGGTTTCATTTTATGCATTAGGACAGCATAATGTTTAGATTTTCTTGTCAACCAGACCCGAACTATGATGTCCATGAGAGGCAAAGGTCAAGGTCACAAAATCACTTTGTTTTTGCTTAAAAACTTATTATTGAAATATTAAGCAGAATTCTATTTGTTTACTTATTTTAGTCTCATATGTGACTAACGCTATCGACTGTTGAACACAAAATATGTTATATTTCAAAACCGGCACTATCTTCGTAACCCAAATCAAACAGGCTGTCGTCTTCAAATCCATTAATACATTTTCCTATAATGTGAACAATTGTGTCAGATTTTTTTTTCAAAACCATATTATCTACAATAATGGAACATGTTCAAGATAATGTGCTCATAAAACTCTTCAGGTATGATTTAAATAAGTTGATAATCTATAAATATATAAAATAAATTGCACAAAGATAAATCTAAACAATAAATAGACAAATAGGTTATTGTTTTTTCTCTCTATACATATATCATATAACATTATTATATACAATTTCAACAATGAAAACATGAACAACGGGTCAACTAACTTACAATAATAATACATATTATACAAAACCTAATAAAATCAGTCCAACATGGAGGTTTTTATTTAACAATCCAAACATAAAAGTGCACATTCCCAAACTATTACATTTATATTGCTATACTTATTTACTCATTTTTAATTCCAGTTAAACTGTAGGATTTTCTTGTTTCTAGTACTGGGTACATTTGGAATAATTTTTGAAATGTAATGCTTTACCTCTATTCAGTTTAAAATTTATAAGGTTATTAAGGAAGAAGTATCACTTTCATATTTTTTACCTACATTGTATGAGAGCAAAAATAAACATTTTATGTGTCATAATATACTGTGTTCAAAGTTTATAAGTGATAATATCCAGTAATATGGATGAATTAATCTATTACAGATCAGAATTCATTACCAAATTTAAAGTTTGATTCCTATTTCAATCTGAGCTAGAATTTGATGAATATTATGATTCTGTGACTTAGTGGAAACATATTTCTGCCATGTTTTACTTCAGTACCATACTTCAATATCAAAACAAGGCTCAGTTTCAATGGCAGTGAAATTGATAGCCATGAGAATTTAACTGTAGGCCAATATATGTGTCATGAAATTAGAAATTCAAAGAATTAAACTATAACACACAATAAATACAGTGAAATATACAGTTTTTATGTGCAAAAACACTTACGAATATATTAAGAAATTGGGATAATACCAAAATGATCATATTCTTTGAAAAATATCTTGCTAATCTGAAGTAAACAAATCACTTGAAGGGCAAAATTTTGAAGAGAAAGCTCTGCAATAAATATTGAAGATAATTATGGGTGGGACAGACTGGTTTTCAACGCATGTAATTGCTTGGTGAATAACCAATTCAAATTTTTGAGTTTTATTAATAGCCTATTTGTATGGCTGAGCCTTTTTCACCAATCTTTCAAATCTCACACAAATAAATTTAACCTCAAAAAAGAATCCAACTTTTAAATCATTGTGAGGTTGTTATATTGAAAAAACAATTAAATAAACTTACATTTAATAATAGCTTAAAGATTCAATACAAGCCATGTAGGTACACACCAAAAATATTTCCAGACAGCTATTATTCATAAAAAATAGATTTGGTTTCTCATATTTATATATAGATTCATTAACATTGGTGAAAATTATTTTAAATCCTTGTAATAAATTTCATTTTTCCTTTAAAATCCACTCAAGATATTATTACATAACTTTCCTAAATAATAATAATGTTTCATCACTATCTATGAAAACATTAAAGATGCATTATGTGAGAGCTAAATATGCCTGTTGCAGGCTTTTTCTTCAAGCTTTAAATATAATATAAATTATTATTTAGAAATTTCTCCAAGTGACAATCCCATAATCAAATTTATCGCATGGTTTAGATATTAAATGGATTAGACAATCTGCACCATTTAATCGGTTAACGTTAAAATGGATGTCGATCATGGAAATGGTACTTGAAATTGTAGACAACACAGTTATAGATCATGACCAAATAATATATTAATCCTTGGACGAAATATTCGATTTACACTTGTCCGTTTCTATTGAAGAATTCTGTGTTGTTTTGGGGAGCCAATTAACAGTGTTAAGTGTGTTAAAGATTATTTAACAAACCGTAAACTATATTCAACTTGAATCATTTTCATTGAGATTTACTGATATTTTTTAGATATTAATGAAATCAAGATGATCCAGGTACCATTCCAAAAATGACACAAATCTGTCAATATGCAACACCAAGTGAAACAATTAAGGAAACAAGAAATTTGTACATACCCAGTATTACATGAATATATTTTCATATTTAGTTAATTGTTAATTTTCTATTTTCATATTTATTTATTCTACTTGTTCAGAAAAGAGTTGACTATTACACTTAATTGGCCATACTAGAGATTATGTTAGGCTAACTTGTAACACCATGGTTTTATTGTAATTCCCAAAAGCTGAATTCGCTAGACAGAGTCTAAATCAAGCTTCATTTATCAGAAATTGGGCTGTATTTACCTCCTTCATTTCGTATTCCTTGTCAAAACTTCAAACACTCATAATTCTTCTCAGAATAAAGTAATTTGACTAAAATTTTCAATATATTCATTTTTCATCATAAATTTTTAATCTATTATAGCAAGAAGAATGAGCTCTATATCTAAATATTACATAATGTATCTTTAATGACTAATTAGAATAAAAAGAACATATTACATGTACATACAGTCTTACTAAAAACATAATAAAATTTATCATAGAATAAAAAAAAGTCCAAATATCTGAAATGTAATAAATATTTCTGCAGCAATACAAGAAATGTTTCTCTTTCTGTACGTCAAGGGATTTGAAACTGGAACATGTTGTTACATAGAAGCCTGTCCAATCAGCTCATAGAATTTATATATTTTCAAAAATTATATTTGAACTTCACACAAATATTAATAACATCTTTCAGGGCTGCAACGATTCATCAATAAATGGTGGTATTTTTTAAATCTACGATCCCCGATAAAACCCATGTACATGATTCTGCATATAAACAAAAAAGAAAGCCCCATTTTCCTTCTGTTATATAAATAACTCAAGAATGCTCAATCAGTAAAAAAAAATAATGTCACAGTCTTTTTGTTGGTGTGTCGATGTTCACAAACACGCTTTTCTATTCGGTCAACTACATTGCAACATTTAAAATCGAGAAAAGATCATATCTTGTGTTGCTGTACATTGAATAAATATGAATATTGTTTTGTTTTTTTCAAAAAATATTGAAATCTAACACTGATGAATCTTCTTATCTACCATGTTGTTCCTGAGATGTCTGGCGCGATACCACAACAAATTTCTGCATCAAACTGCGAAGTGCCTGATAGACTTGTCTTGGAAAGGCGCAGGGTGTTAGTTTGGCTAAAACAGATCCGCAGTGTGAAATATAATCAGTGAAAAAGTTAAGAAAAAAGAAATAATTGACTATTGTAGATTACTAATATTATTATTAACATGTTATTCAATGCCTATTCCCAGTGATTTTTTTTTAAGAGGGTCACATCACTAGTTCACATCTCTATTATATTTGTTAGTAATGAGTGATTCACAGCTGCTGCAGTGTCTGCCTGTCCCACAATATTACATAATACATTCTTACTACATACAACCAAACACACAGGGCCCTGCAACACCTTTTAAATAATTACATGTACTGATGTACCAAAAGCCTTATTAATGTAAGGATCAAATGTTCTTTGATTTAAACAAAATAAGGATAAAAAGAATTAGTTTGATCTGATGTGTGAACTTCTAATCAAGTACTGGTTTTAGTAATGTCAGTTGAATATTTCTACCAATGGTAATCAAGTACTGGTTCTAATAATGTCAGTTGAATGTGTCTTCCAATGGTAATCAAGTACTGGTTCTAATAATGTCAGTCCTCTATGGTTACCATTGGTAATCAGTGTTTATCAAGTAATGATTTTAATATTGTAAACACACTATAGTTACCAGTGGTAATCAAGTAGTGATTTTAAATTTGTGAGTCCACTATGTTTACCAGTGTTAATCAAGTAATGATTTTAATATTGTCAGTCCACTATGGTTACTTGTGGTAATCAAGTAATGATTTTAATATTGTCAGTCCACTATGATTACCAGTAGTAATCATGTAATGATTTTAATATTGTCAGTCCACTATGGTTACTCGTAATCAAGTAACGATTTTAATATTGTCAGTCCACTATATGTTTACCAGTGTTAATCAAGTAATGATTTTAATATTGTCAGCCCACTAGGGTTACCATTGGTAATCATGATTTTAATATTTTTTCAGCCAACTGTGTGGTAAGTTGTGGTTATCAAGTATAGATTTAAATGTTTGTCCACTGTGGGAACCAAGTACCGATTGTCCACTATGTTAATCAAAATACTGATTTTAGTTATGCCAGTCTACTATAGTTATGAATGGTAAGCATTTACTGATTTTAACTTACGTGAAAGCAGTTAAAGATTTTGTTATTAACGGCCAAGAACTCACATTCTTGTTATATTTTCATAGCTGACTGACTGGCATTTGAATTTGGCCGGTTTAAGTGTGAGAGACAGTATAGTGAAACCCTTAGGACTCGTTAACTATAACACTATAGGAAGCAGTGGTTTTGGTATAAAATAGTGAATACTAATACACTTTATCCAAGTCAAAACAAAATGTGACTGTATATTAAAAGCTAAATATTTTTTTAAAGGATATAGAACGGACCAAGGTGGCTGTCCTCCATTGGTATATAAAACATATGAGTAACCATGTCTTGATTTTCCTTGTATGAAATAATAATATGGAAGGAAACTGTGAGGTCGAAAGTTGCGTCGCTCGTAAAATCTTAAAGCGTCACCATTTGATTCAAGCACATGTAAATATACAGCTTTACAGTTAAAAAATTCCTTTGTTGTTAGATGAGATAGTAAACTATCCAATAGAAGTGACGCTGAAAAAATAAAACCATTTATTAGCATATTTATATGGAATACAATCACTGATCTATCATACAAAAATAGTGATATTTCTTAGGTGTTCTCTTTTCGTTTTTAAGCACAAATGTTGTGTTATGTGTAAAACAAACAGTGATTGTATTGCATATAAATGGTTATTGTGTTTTTAATGTGCTCAATTGCTAAATAAAATACCACTCAAGGATGACAGTAAATTGTACTACTAGAAGAAAATGTATTGTAAAAAACAGTATGACAATAAATGCAATAGCTGAACTGACTAGGCACTACAACAATGAGAGAGAGAGAGAGAGAGAGAGAATGGGGTTTAAGTACACTCGACACAAACTAGGTCATTTCGGGACTAACATATGGTTTAATTTTATTTCAATAATTCGCTTGCGCGTAGGGTGTCTTTAGCAGTGGGAGGAAACCGGAGGACCCGGAGAAAACCTACGAGGATGGACAGGCGACCCTACTCCTTGTCACGTACAACCGGGGATTCGAAACCACGGCAGTCGTCTCAATGACAGACTTTATGATACAGCACGTGCACGCTAACCATTCAGCCATCCAACCCCCCCTACAACAATGAGAAATGTTTCTTATATTCAAAGAATATTGAATATTGAATAACCATGCACATAATGTGCATGAATGAACTTACCGATTCCGTTTCTCCTGAAATCTTCTACAACTCCAAGACTTAAAATATAGGCCACCTGGACAGTTGGTGGAAAACATGTTGCCAAAATATCGGCATCCTGTAAAATATTTAAATCAATTAACAAAAGGATGCACATATTAACATTATAACCCAAATCAGATATATGACAATCTTATTTTTATGAAGAAAGTCAATTAATAAATCCAGGATTTCATTTATTTGACACTAATGTTCAGAGTATCATAAACCATAATTGATTAATGTTACCTCTTTGTTCAGTTTGACTTTTGGTTTGATTTCTGCTACAATAAGTCCAATAATACGGGAATGATAAGTAGCTGCCAGTGAGAAGAAACGTGAGCTGGATGTGATGTCATCATACCAGGAATCAGGGTACCTGAAATATACAACCATTAAAAGAGTGCCTATGATATTTGAGATTGTGTAATCTTGAATGATCCATGTCAGTATAACAAACCAAGTAATATTACTTAAAAAGCATAATGAATTTAATAACTAACAACCAAAAGTAATCCCTAATGAAATTCACCAATGTACAGAAATTTGTATAAGCTGAAATTTCATTTTTTTAACATAGTCTTGGATTGACAGTTTAGACAGATTTTGGAAGATCTTATCAGGTCTTTGAAATTGAAAGAGGGATAATTTTCCTTTGTATCCAGTAAAGCAAGAATATTTGTTTTAACAGTTTGCTGGCCTCGGTTATATTGAACTGTATTGATCATTGTTTGGGCTAGAAAAAAATAAGTGATAAAAATAACAGCATTAGTTTTTGATCAATCAGTCTTTAATGTGCTTATGATTAGCATCATCAAAATAACACTCATCATGTTAGTAAGACATATAATCAATCTGGCAAAGAATCAAGTCACATGAATTGCTGCCAAACCATATTATTAAACATTAATACAATAGGAATAATTTTACAGCATAACATGAACAATCCCTGTTCCATACATAATTAGGAAAAAATACCAAGCTAAGCACATGTTCCTATTTCTGTTTATTTTTCTGAATTTATCTTTAAATCTGATATAAAAAAAATTAAGTGTACAGAAAATGTTTTAGTAAAATTACAATACTTTCACTGTACAAAGAGAGAGAGAAATGGGGTTTAACGTCCACTCGACACAAACTAGGTCATTTCGAGACTAACATATGGTTTAATTTTTTATTTCAATAATTCGCTTGCGCGTAGGGGTCTTTAGCAGTGGGAGGAAACCGGAGGGCCCGGAGAAAACCCACGAGGTTGGACAGGCGACGCTACTCCTTGTCACGTACAACCGGGGATTCGAAACCACCCCAGTTGACTCAATGACAGACTTTATGATAGAGCGCGCGCACGCTAACCATTCAGCCATCCAACCCCCCTTCACTGTACAATGATTTTACATTGTTTTGTTGACTATCATAACATAGTTTAATACATGTATTCCGTTTTATTTGCATGTAATTCAAATTATGTCCATGCAATCTGATTAAAATACAGATGTAGATTTCGTTACATTTTTTTTTATACTTTCGATGGTCTAAACTACATGAACATCTGACCAGTTGTAGTGAGGTCAGACTTTTTATTAACCAATCAGCGTTGATGTTTCTGGTGGGACACCCACAGTTCCACGCATCACATGCTAAGAACTCGCCGCAACAGACCGTTTCAAAGTCTAACTAATAATGATTAGTTTGGTTTCCAAAGTGTTCATCTATATATTGCTCCACATTTTTGTTAACTGATCATTATTTGCTTCATAACGATACCTATATGTGTATTGAAACGTAGCATGTTAAGAAAATTCAGGAGTAGTATATCCATATAAAAAGATAGGTTGCCAGGCAACGAAACATACGCCCACAGCAGATAAAGCGTCCGGGCAGTCAACAAGTGTATTGTCGCATATTTTTACTTTTTTTGGTAATGAAACATTTTTAATACACTAAAATCTCATTAAGAGTAACAACTCATGAAGTAATTATCAATCTGAAGTCAATCGGATGATAACTTTAGCCTCCAGAGCGACACAAGATTTTTCAAAGTGATCAAGGGCCATAATTATCGGAAATCGTTGAAAATCAATAGGATTATTTGTCTCATAACCTCAAACACTGTGTATAAATTTAAAGTCAATCAGATATTAACTTTAGCCTCTAGAGCATTCACAAGATTTTTTTAAGTGATCAAGGGCCATAACTCTGGCAGTAATTATAGGAAATTGCCGAAAATCAATAGGCTTCTTCGTCTTATGACCGTAAACACTGTGTATAAATTTAAAGTCAATCGGATATGAACTTTAGCCTACAAGAGTTTTCAAAGTGATCAAGGGCCATAACTCTAGCAGTAATTATCGGAAATCTCTGAAAATCAATAGGCTTCTTCGTCTCATGACCTTAAACACTGTGTATAAATTTACAGTCAATCGGATATTAACTTTGATCTCTAGAGGTTCCACAAGATTTTTTGAAGTGATCAAGGGTCATAACTCTGGCAGTAATTATAGGAAATCGCTGAAAATCAACAGGCCTCTTCGTCTCATGACCTTAAACACTGTGTATAATAAATTCAAAGTCAATCGGATATTAACTTTAGCCACTAGAGCGCCCACAAGCAATTGTCGACGCCGGACCGACGACAATATACGACCATCATTAGGGTGTAACAGTGACACATTTAAACGTTTTTTAAAATCAGATAAAAATTGTGACCTCTAGTGGGTCGACAAGCTAAAAATGCGATTTTTCGTACAATCAAGGGCCATAATTCAGGAAGTTATGCTACAATCCGATATGAGTGAATACCGAAAGAAACCAAGATCGTTGGGTAAAAAACATGTATTTCAAGTTTCATCAACATCGGTCCGCAAACTTTGATATACCATATACATGTATTTACACTATTTGCATACGAGGGGCAGCCATTTTAAGCGGCAGTTTTGGTCTTATTATCACGAAATTTGATTTCAGCCATCATTAGGGTATAACGGCGATAAATTCAAACTGTTTTTTAAATCGGATAAAAATTGTTACCTGTAGAGGGACCACAAGCTAAAAACATGAGTTTTCGTACAATCAAGGGCCATAATTCAGGAGGTTAGAATCCGATATGTGCTAATATCGAAATGAACCAAGATCTTTGGATTATAAATATGTGTTTCAAGTTTCATCAAAATCGAATCAAAATTATGACCTCCACAACCTTGATATACCATATTTTTACACTATTTGGTACGAGAGGCAGCAGTTTTGTCCAGCAGTTTTCACGAAATTCGAACACAAGCATCATTACAGTGTAACATTGATATATTAGAATGGTTTATTATATCGGATAATAATAAATGTGACCTCTAGAGGGACCACAAGCTAAAAACATGATTTTTTGTACAATCAGGGGCCATAATTCAGGAAGTTACGATCCGATATGTGCAAATATCAAAAGGAATCAAGATCTTTGACTTATAAACATACATTTCAAGTTTCATCAAAATCAGATGAAAATTGTGACCTCTAGAGTGTCCGCAAGCTAAAAACAAGATTTTTTGTACAATCAGGGGCCATATTCCATGAAGTTATGGTGGGATATATGCCAATATTGAAACGAACCAAGATCTTTGGGTGACTGATAGACCTTTATTTTATGTTTCGTCAAAATCGAATAAAAATTCTGACGGACAGATGTCCAGATGGACAGGGGGGACGACAATATATGTCTACATGAAAATGTGGGCATATAATAAAACCGGTAAATTAAATTAGTGAACAGATTTGCAATTTGGTTGGGTTTTTTTTATCAAAACATAGTACCTTCCTACAAGAAACATCTCTTTTTGATGCGATGACATCATGTTCTATTTCTTTTTTTTAGGACATATCTAAAATTTGCTCATTTATCTAACTTAAAAACAAAAAGATATTGGTGGGAAGTTTAATTGTTTTGAAAACTGTCAATGATTGCAGCATATTTAACATACATTCAATAACAAATTGTTATTAAATATAAGCTTACACACAACCTGGTGATTTTGATTTTAAACTTCCTCAGACATTAAATTTTGTGACATACTCTGGACAACAATTAACCTTAAATTTCACACAACAAAATAATCATTTCTACAGTTGTACATATGACGTAAGTAAAATTATAAAGAATGCTACTTACTCTATAGGAAACCAGTCAGCGCATAGTTTCTTTACTTCAACTAAATCCCCTGGACAAAGGAATCTTAGCTGTACTTCTTGTTGAAGGTGTAGAGACAAAACTTTGCTCATGAAGGCATGTTATAGTGGCACCACACACACTGTGGCTACATTCCACAAGCTCAGTATTGGGACATCAGATAGTAGCGTTTGATCTCTCCTGATCTAAATGCTGTAACAAACAGTTGAATTCATCAATAAATGCATATAATATCAACTAGGATTAAGGTTTACAACCAGTCAAGCTGTATGAAATGCATAACATAAACATTGTTACTGCAGCATAATATTATGACTATTGTATATTATATGTACATTTTGTACACAAAAATACATACAATGCAACTACATACCAACAAATTTATTCAAATGTGACTTTACCAAATGAAACAGCCATATATAGTATACATGTATAGTAAATGTCGTACTGATATATATACAATAAGTTTAAAAACTTCCACCTAATTTCCCCATGGTTATGGAGGCATGGCTTACTAAAGAATTCAAAAGGTTTTTGATCCAATCACAAGCTAGTGAATGTACATGGTGATTCATATTTAGTGCCCGACAAAAATAATTTCTAGATGAACTTTTTATTGATATATGCAAGATGGTTGACAAACTGTTTGTTTGTAAAAACATTATTTATCGAGAATGTTATCATAATACTGGTTTTCATTATTATGTTTTTAATTAAAAAATCTCCTCAGCAACTTTTAAAAAGCTCCTTCTTTTTCAACTAACCAATTCAATTTATCTGTGCGTCTTTCAACTTGATCTATTATTACAGTCTTGAAATACACTTACATATCTCTACACGATTTAAACAAATTCTGAATAAAACAAATCTTCTATCAAAATGATGACACCCATCCTGTTCAGTCAACATTTGTCTTTCAAAACAAAACAGAATCTAAATAAAATTTGATGGTTTGTTCCCAGGAGAATTTAAAGATATTAGACTGCCTGTTTCTTTGTGGAGATGTGACACTGCATGGATATTAACTGCATGGGTTCCATGGCATGACATACATGTACAGGACACCAACCACTCCCTTGTTAAGAGTACATGACATGTACATATACATATTTAGAAGTCATCAATTAATAATCAATCCCTGTATAATTATGATGTTATTTATTAGTGGTATATTAATAATTTCTCTAACAATTAGAAAATTTCTACAGGTATATTTGTGTTTTCTTGAGTAGCAATATCCATATACCATTCCAACTTTCACTGTTATCAGATTGTGATTTAGAAATAGAAGATTTAGAAGAATTAAACCAGCGGCTGCCAGGCAAGATACCCCCACATTTTGCAAGAGATGGATGGAAAACAAGATAAAAACAAAAGCGATTTTTTGTACAATCAGGGGCCGTAATCCAGAAAGTTATGGTTTGAAATGCGCCAATAAATATCAAAAGGGACCGAGATCTTAGGGATATAAAGGTATGTTTAAAGTTTCATCAAAATCGGATAAAAATTGTGACCTCTAGAGGGTCCACCACCTTCGTATTACATACTTTTACACAATATGCGAAATTCGAATTCAACCTTCATTATGGTGGAATGGTGATATATCTAAATGGTTTTTATAAATTGGAAAAAAAATTGTGACCTCTAGAGAATCTACAAGCTAAAAATGTGATTTTTCGAACAATCAGGGGCCATAATCCTGGAAGTTACGTTCAGATATGTGCGATTATCTTAGCGTGTAACGGTGATATATTCACATATTTTTTAAACTTGAATAAAAATTGTGACATGGGGTTTAACGTCCAACTGTTCTGCTCCGAAATGGGCTAATGAAGACAGCATATGCCATACAGTGTGCGACATTACGGCCTACTCTTATATCGAATTCCAACTGTCAAGGGATGTTTTATGTGCTCGCCAATGGGTACACAGGGCTTCGGTTTTTCGAACCATCCGAATGACTAGACAGCTGTCCTTGTCAGGCCCTCCGTCCTGCATCACTGACAAGGGAGAGTCATGCCACCGTGATCCCCGACCTCTAGAGAGACCACAAGCTAAAAACGCGATTTTACTTTCAAACAGGGCCCATAGTTTCATCAAAATCGGATAGAAATTGTGACTTCTGGAGTGTCCACAGCCTTGGTATTACATACTTTTACACTATTTGTGTACTACAATGAGCGGCCATTTTGTCTGGCAGTTTCAGTCAGAATTTTAGGAAATTCTAACACAACCTTCATTTTTGTGTGACGGCGATATATTTAAACGGCAGTCCATATAAAAAAATAAGATGTCAATGTCCATCAATTTTACAGCACCCCTGAGAACACAGTGGCAATTAAAATACATGTTTAGCTGAATATCAAAAGATCGACATTTGACATGAATTTTTTAAAGATTAGCCAAATATTAAAATGAATAGTGGTTTCATCTCTGTATACCCACAGACATCGGTCTGTTTATAATGACATCGTCGGTGGGCGATCAAAACCTCGTATATCGGATTTTATTAAGTTTTCAGGGGAAACAAAAAACTGTCTGCGGTCCCGGATTTTTTATTGAATGTGATTATATTTCTAATTTATGAACTAAATTGTGGAAAATTTAATATGGGAAGGTTATTTTTGGGATAATTTTAGGGGTTTATGTGCTGTGGCTATATACGACATTTTGTCTTGTGAAATGGCGGCGTATGTGATATACGACGTTCTGTTCACAAACTATAAGCCTGTTCTGAGTATATACGACGTTTTGTTCTTAATAACCTATTTACACAGATTATTTTTTAGGGTAATTTACCTAGTACAGTGACGGAGGCAGGATATTTTTTTATCGGCCGGGAGGGGGGGGGTGCGGAGCAAATCGGGTGTCAGTGGTGGATTGTGAAGCTTATCTGCACCCGAATACAACACTCAATTTCATCAGCTGTAGCTGACATAATTCAAGGCAAATAACCCTGAGCCATAATATTCAAGACATAATTCAAGGTAAGTAATCCAAGGCTATAATATTCAGGACATAATTTAAGGTAAGTTACCTAGGGTAATAGCATCTACTACACAATTCCAGGTAAGTTTTCTGGTAGGTAAATAGCCTTGGATCGGTTCTGGTAGGTAAATATAGCCTTGGATAGGGATGATACTGAATACGCAACCTAAGATAAGATATCAAGTGTCGTGATATTTACTCCATAAACAGGAGTTATAAACAGAACCCAATGTACGTTTAGCCAGGAGCATGGAATCTATTAGAGAAAAGCTATCGAATTAGACTTTTCAAAAAATGTTGTGAAGACTTGTTCTAGGTACATCATGTCTGACGATGATCGGCAGTAATGGGACGGCAATTTAGATAAAGGGTCTAGAAATCTTTTAGCGGTTAAATATGTAGACGATTCTCTGTTCTTGGATTTTTTTCTCTTTTCGGTCGAGCCAGGTGTTGTGCCGTTTTTGGAACGGTCGAACCATCTGTACACCATTTTTTCTCCGAGAGCAAACGTCGATAAAACATATTCTTGCAGACCTGTAGTCTGTCATTGTTTTTAATTAAGTGGTAATGGTAAGTAGTTTGCTTTCTGTATGTCTTTTTTTCCGTTTCGCATACGGTTCTATCCTTGACATTACATTTTTTTACAAGATTTACTATGTATACCTCTTTTTGGTCCCAACTCATCTTCCAGAATGCTTCAAATAGATTACGCCTGTCATCCTCTGTAAATTTTGAACATAATTTGCTAGGATTTGGAGCTTTACACTTTGATGTACAGGACGATGGTGTAAGTGTTTTTCCTGATCTCTTAGCAGCATATTTTTAATGTCCAACATTATGAGCTAAACCCATGTATGGTTTACCATGCATGCGTAATAGTTGGTTGTTGTTCTTAAGCCAAACTGCTGGATCAGAGCACCCTTTTTAGCTCTTTTTAGTATCTCAGCTGATATTGATTCTTCAGCGGATTCTATTGCTTTGTTTTCTTCAATTGCAATTGCGACCGACTCGACTGTGGCAATCCTGTAACTGTCAACAGATAATTAGACTGTGTTGATGCTGAAGCATTGTAAATATTTATGGAAGCAAGGACCAACTCCCCAACGATGATGAAGCGGGGCTAGAATTTGTCTGCGAATCGAAATCAAGGTAAGTTCTTTTGGTTGATGTTGGAGCGAGGTAAATGTTGGTTACTGAAGGTGGTGCGTGAGCGAGGTAAGAACTGGTTAGTGAAAATGGTGTTAAATTTACATAAGTACTGGTTACTAGAGGTTGTGCTTGGTCGAGGTAAGAACTAGTTACTGGAAGTGATGCTGGGGATTGTAAGTGCCGGTTACTAGAGGTGGTGCTTGAGCGAGGTAAGTACTAGTTTCTGGAAGTGATGCTGGGGGGTTGTAAGTACCGGTTACTAAAGGTGGTGTTTGAGCAAGGTATGTACTAGTTACCGAAGGTGATGCTGTAGGGTTGTAAGTACCGGTTACTAGAGCTTGTGCCTGAGCGAGGCAAGTACTAGTTACCGAAGGTGATGCTGAAGGGATGTAAGTACCGGTTACTAGAGGTGGTGCTTGAGCGAGGTAAGTATTGGTTACCAGAGGTGATGCCGAAGGGATGTAAGTATTGGTTACTATAGGTGGTGCTTGAGCGAGGTAAGTGCTGGTTACCAGAGGTGAATCTGAAGGGATGTGATTAGAGGTGGTAAAGGAATGTAAGTACTGGTTACTGGGTGGGGGGGCTAAAGGTATGTAAGTACCATTTACTTGATGTGTTGCCGGAGTGGGATGAATACTGATTAGTGGTGATGGTTCTGGAGCGAAGTAATTATTGGTTATTGGAGGTGGTGCTAGGGCAGGTAAGTACTGGTTTCACGAGGTGGCACTGAGGACTGGTAAGTTCTTAGGCCTGGAAATGATGTTGAAACAAGGTAAGTACTGGTTGCATGAGGTGGTGTTGGAGCAAGGTACGTAAATCTTGTAAAGAAATGTAATGTCAAGGATAGAACCGTATGCGAAACGGAAGAAAAGGCATACAGAAAGCAAACTACTTACCATTACCACTTAATTAAAAACAATGACAGACTACAGGTCTGCAAGAATATGTTTTATCGACGTTTGCTCTCGGAGAACAAAGGGTGTACAGATGGTTCGACCGTTCCAAAAACGGTACAACACCTGGCTCGACCGAAAAGAGAAAAAATCCAAGAATAGAGAATCGTCTACATATTTAACCGCTAAAAGATTTATAGACCCTTTATCTAAATTGCCGTCCCATTACTGCCGATCATCGTCAGACAAGATGTACCTAGAACAAGTCTTCACAACAGTTTTTGAAAAGTCTAATTCGATAGCTTTTCTCTAATAGATTCCATGCTCCTGGCTAAACGTACATTGGGTTTTGTTTATAACTCCTGTTTATGGAGTAAATATCACGAAACTTGATATCTGATCTTAGGTTGCGTATTCAGTATCATCCCTATCCAAGGCTATATTTACCTACCAGAACCGATCCAAGGCTATTTACCTACCAGAAAACTTACCTGGAATTGTGTAGTAGATGCTATGACCCTAGGTAGCTTACCTTGAATTATGTCGTGGATATTATAGCCTTGGATTACTTACCCTGAATTATGTCTTGGTTATTATGGCTCAGGGCTATTTACCTTGAATTATGTCAGCTACAGCTGATGAAATTGAGTGTTATATTCGGGTGCAGATAAGCTTCATAATCCACCATTGACACCCTGATTTTTCCCGATTTGCTCCGCCCCCCACCCCCCCACGGCCGATAAAAAAAAATATCCTGCGTCCGCCACTGTACTAGGTAAATTACCCTAAAAATAATCTGTGTAAATAGGTTATTCGAATTGAAGGAGATCTGAAGCATACGTTTCCCCCTTGAGAAAGACGAATTCGAATACGTCATTGTAATGGGCACCTGAAACAAATAAGAATAATAATAAAACAGTTTGACAAAACTTAAGACTTAGTAATGAGAAATTAAATTCTTAAGTAAGCTGGTTCGTTCGATTGTCTAAAAGTTCAAGACTATTGTTTTCTTTTTTTTTTCATCTAGATTTGGGACACAGTTTTACCTCTTTCTACTCTTTCTAACGTGAATTCCTCTATCATTTAGATTCAAAATACTACTATTATGTCAAAATGGACAGGCTGTGTTAGACAAAACTTAAGACTTAGTAATGTGAAATTAAATTCTTACCTTGTTAGCCTGTAGCCTGCGTCGATGTCAATTAGGAGATACGACTTTTTGGTTCTTAAAAACCACGTGACTTTGAAAGATGTTTTATGACAAACTGGCGTATATAAGATACGACATTTTGGTTTGTAGAAAATTTCACGAATCAGAATACGATGTTTAGTCACATGCCTATAACTTGAGTTCTGACTGGATTACAACTACCGCGAATAGAGCATTCGACGCGCCATTAATTTACGATTCTAACCATGTAAAAAACGTTTTTGGCGCCAAAATTGATATACGTGGTTTTGATCGCCCACCGACGACATGTTATATAGAGGCAGAGAGAGATGTCTATAAATTTAATAATTTAACACTTTAATGTTAGTCCCATCCGGGCATAGATAAATAAATATATTGTGCAGTATGATGTTTGTTATGAAAAAAGAGCAATTTGTCGGATAAAGTAGAGTGAAACATAATGGCATGTAATACGGAAAGAGAGAGAGATAAAGACCTCTATAACTATAAACCTAATAATTTAATGCTTTATTTTTTGTCCCGCAGATAAATAATATATTGTGCCGTATGATGTTTGTTATGAAAAAAGAACACATTGCTGAATCAAGTACGCTGATAAATCTGACCAGTTTTCTACTAGTTTAGGGCAAATACTGCATCTGTATTGTGTAAATCAAGAATTAAAAAGCTTTTCAGTGCTGACTCTTTCCGACATTGATTTTTAATTTCGGAAATAACAGATTTACTAAATGGTCCAGCAATTTCGTCGAGATTTGCTAAAATTTTGGTTAATGCTGTTAATGCATTTTGTGAAGATTTATCAGCAATTTCACAAAGACTAAGAATAAGTGGCATATGTGTCGAGTCAATGAGAACCAAATTTTGTAGTTGTCTGTATACATGTATAATGTGCTGATGTTAAGGTTTCCGAAACATGTTTTAAAGATACACATGATATTCTTTGAACTGTAAATTTTGATGGAGTGTAATTAGATTTTAGTCCCATGACAGCCAAACATGCGGTTATAATGGCTGCTACATTATCATTCAAAACGTTTAGATTTTTAAGTTCTGTGACCAAATTATGGCATTCTGAGGTGTATCTTTGATTTTCGATATCATACAAAATTACTTCATTCTTCAAGGTTTGGACTTGCAACCATTTTTTTTTTTACCTGCCAATTGTTTTTTATTTTCATTATTAGCCTTTATGCGAATCATTTCTTTTCTAGCCTTTCTAAGTGGATTATTTAACTGGGCGATTGTTCTTTTATGACACTTTGACAATCGCCGCAAATATCTATTTTTCCTAATTAAATCGGTCAAGGTAGCTTCAGCAGATGTCTGAGTCTCTCTATTATGAAATTAATTTCACTACTAAACCGATGGAGTCTCGTCCGCTATCCCCGGGAAAAATTGGTGTGTCAAGAAAATCGTCAGATGATTTTATAGATTTATTGGACTCGATCAACTCTTAAGGCCACAAAATAAATAAATAAGATACTCTAAAAATAATTTACACCAAGTTACCTAAAATTGTCTGGAAAATAAAGACTACAAATAAAAATTTTGTTTCGGTTATTTTCCGGTCTCAAATAGTTCTGCGTATTTAGAGCTAGCAAATATTTATTTCCTAAACTCACAAGAGCGGCACGTAAACGAAGGTTGTAGGCTAACCACTAAATAAAAGTAAATCTCAAAGTATTGTAATGAGTTTATCTTGCCGCGGCAATGAGTTTGAACTTTAGAAAAGAAACAAAGCTATTACAGCTAGGTCTGTTCCAAAATCTCCATTCAAAGTAAAAAATTAAATCAACGGGTGCAATCGAAATTTTGGTCCACGTTCGCTGTAAAATAACCAAGAAAGTCAAAGTGCGTAATGGGTGTATTTTTTACTCGGCTTTATATACCAATATGTCTGTTTAAAAGCTATTTGTGACGTATATTTGCTGGGATTAACCATTGCTCACTCCAGAAAATCTCCTCGATGGTGCAGTCATACAGACAAGTGTGTCAGTTTTTATAAGGACAAATTATTGAGCCGTGAACCAGTCTACCGACATGCAAGGTACTTGTGGAAGCAGAAGGATTTTAAGGTTTTAATTCCATGTTTTCGATGTGTTAAGGGAGAGAACTACCATAACAATAAGAATTGACTCAGGGATCGAGTCAAATGGATCCAATCGAGTTATCGTGTATCGCTAATGTACGTGTGCAGTGGTTGCTACAATTTCCAATTTCAGTGGTACGTTTTTGAAATTGCACGCCAGGCAAAAATAGTCAACTTTATCACGCATGGATTTATTTCCTTCACGCTTGAAGCTTTAGGTTGCTTGTCGGAATTTAGTAAGCATTTTCAATGCATGCGTGAGATCTTGGCGAAATGGGACATACTCTGCTGATTGGCCTACATTTCGGACATCACAAATGACAAGACAAGTTACAAAAGCTCTCAAACCATATAGGCCTATTCTATATTTTGGCAAATTTATTTGGCCAGTCTCTGTTTTAATCAAAAAATAGAAAACACATAGATCAATTACCATACTCTGATGACTATAAGTATGACAACATTCGACGAGCACGGCCACAGTGAATGACAGGCAGTTGAGGTCAGCTGTTGGCTGTTGGGTTCCGATCAAGGAAGAAGAGTTCATAAATTTCACGACGTAAAATATCCTTGGACCTCAAATTTGTAGGTCAATAACGATATTTCTATGATTTCTACAACAACATGATTTCAATAATCACAATTAGTACATAAAAAAAGGATTTTGAGGCAAAGGTGAAGATATTTTGACATTACTTACATGTTTGTATACCTTCTTTGCATACTGTTCTCAACCGGAAGCAAAATAATATAACCGGAAGCTCGGTGGTAAAATAAAAAGAATAGAATAACTTTAAAGCGAAAACGATAACAACATCCATATATATATTAAAAACTCATTGTAATATTTTTTTCATGATATTGTGGCAGTATTTGTTATTCTATATACTTCCATTACAGAATATACACTTATTTTACAATTTATCGCGCTGTTTCTTTTCGGGATTTTTTCATTTTTTAAAACTTACATGAAAAATAAAAATGGAAACATCCGGCGCACATGGTTCGGTTAAAATTAGTGGATTTTCTGGTAATAAGTGTTTGTTCTATATCTGTATGACTGTAAAAACAAATAAGCTCTTACTTAAAGGCTCAGTCCAGTTTTTACCGAATCTCTGGAAAAATAAATTCGTTTCATTATGCAATTCAAACGCCAAATTGAAACTTGGTTTTTGAAATGATCACAAAATCAAAATATTAAAATATGGCAGTAAAGTATACAATTTTTTAAGGCAGTGGCTACGAGTCGTAAAGATAGTCCTCAGGCTATTGTTACGACGAAGCTTTCAGATCCCTCCATCAGCAAAGTTTAGGGTTAAACCCTAACACCAGTCAGGCCCGGATCCAGGGGGGGGGGGGGTTGGATGGCTAAATGGTTAGCGTGCGCGCGCTGTATCATAAAGTCTGTCATTTAGTCGACTGGCGTGGTTTCGAATCCCCTGTTGTACGTGGCAAGGAGTAGGGTCGCCTGTCCAACCTCGTGGGTTTTCTCCGGGTCCTCCCACTGCTAAAGACCCCTACGCGCAAGCGAATTATGTAAATAAAATTAAACCATATGTTAGTCCCGAAATGACCTAGTTTGTGTCGAGTGGACGTTAAACCCCATTTCTCTCTCTCTCTCTTGTCGAGGGGGGGGGGGGGGAACACATTGGCCATGGAGCAAAGGGTAATCATCAGAGTGCCACATGCATTAGTGGTTTGCATAAGTGGCGTGGGCTGATGGGGGGGGGGCACGGCCCCCTGGCTCCAGGCCTGTAGTGAAGTTGAAATCCATTGGTTTAGAGGAGTAATATAGAAATCGATGGTAGGACTTTTTACGACTATTCAGTTTTTAACTTCGCCGATGGAGGGCTCTGAAAGAATCGTCTTAACACTAGCCCGAGGACTATTTGTACGACTCGTCGTAACAATAGCCACTAGGCCTACCATTTTTTAAAGCACTCGGAAATTTTTTTTCATTGAGTGACCTGATGAATGCAACCATTTGTAAATTATGTTTAAAGTTAAGTGCAGTTCATATTCTTTAGGTGGCCTTTCTACATGTCAATGGCAGTAGACCTATGTATAATTTATAAGTCATATCTACATGTATGTTGAATGAAATGAAATGAAATGGAGTTTAACATCCTACTTTTCTGCTCTTAACCTGGGCTAATGAAGACGGGCATACGCCATACAGTGTGCTATGAGGGAAATTTTGCCCAGACAGCGGCACTACGGCCTACTCTTATTTCGAATTCCAACTGCCAAGGGATCTTTTACGTGCACGCCAATGTGTACACAGGACCTCGGTTTTTCGTCCCATCCGCACGACTAGACAGCTTTCCTTGTCAGCCCCTCCATCCTGCATCACTGACAAGGGAGGACCACGCCGGAAAACTGGATGAACTTTCTCGGCCAATGCAGGGATCGAACACCCGACCTCCAGGCTAGCGAGCTAGCGTCTTACCCACTTAGCCACGTGATCCCCCGTATGTTGAATGAAGAAAATTCATTGTTGACTTATATGTGCAAACCAGAGTCACAGTGATTAAGTGGTTAACTAACCAGGTGGTTTGGTCTAGTGGATATGTGCTGAAATTGTTCAGTTTGTGTTATAAAATCTTGAAAATTGCCAGCAGACCTATAGGGTTTAATGAGCTGATCATTTTTTGTACGCCCACATGGAAATGTGATCATATATTGCTGTCATCCCCATTTGTCCATCCATCCGTCTTCCACAATTTCTTTTGAACACTCTACATTTTCATCTGATTGTTTTGAAATTGATATATGTTGTTAACTTAGAGAGATGAAGAATCCTATTTAATTCCAATGATTTGCTTTAATTTCGTCTGGAGTTATGGCACTTGTTTCAGTTTGTAGAACCTTCAACCTTGCGAACTCTCGTCAGACGAAAATTATAATCTGATTTGTATGAAATTGTCTTGTAAACGCCCCCCCCCCCCACCATTACCCACAAAAGAATAAATGTGCGACAACCCTTAGCGACCTCTCGGACGATTTAGCTGCTGTGGGCTTATGTTTCATGCCTGGCAACTTATCTTTTTTAAGATTTGGAATCCCTTCTAAAAATAGATTTTTGATGTTACAATCGTTGGTATTGCCAAATTGAATCTTGCACCATTACTTCTTGGGGTGTCAAGTTGGCTATGATTGTATTGTACAATATATTGGTTGTTACATGTATAGTTAATTTTCTTTATATATTTAAATGTGTTATTGCAGTTGTTCCAATAAAGTTTGAAGATAACAGTCAAGCTTCACATATTTTATATTTTAAAGAGCATTCTTTACATAGAGATGATTCTAGGCCTAAAGGTCGTTCACTGTTCATCGCAAATATACCTCCATATTGCACACAGGTTAGTACATACTATATAATATTATTTCCACATGTACATGTATTTGATTTAAAAAATGTATCTACATGTAATTGATCATTATCAATGAAATACTGACTTGCTTTTTAAATTTTTCTTTCACACTTCTGGTTTTAGGTCATGTTTTGGCTACCAGAAAGGAGAAGTCTATCAAAATTATGTATACACATTATAATTTTCATTGAAAATCTTGTAAATTATGTTTTTAATAAAACTTCTGTTTCCTGAGGTACATCTAAATCAAGTTTGGGTATCAAACAAAACAGTGTATTTCTTATAGAAAAACTTATGTATAAGAGGCATACAGTTGTGTTTAAATGTTCTATGCTCTTTTCAAAATATGGTAAAAAAAAAAAGTCTATTTGCTATTTTATATTATAGGAAGCTTTAGGGAGAATATTTTCAGAGTTTGGTGTAGTTCAGTCAGCATACTTCAGTGAAGATGAACCTCAGAAAACTACACTTAACAAAAATTCCAATAAAAATTTGAATACATCTATTTATTTTCCTGATTCAACATCTGTAGAAAAGAAAAAGGTAAAATGAAATTTAATGTTGACACTATATTTATCATAGATCTATCATCTACCTGGAGACACAGTAAAACATTCCTATATTTCATTTCAAGTTCCTTTACCTTGACCATCTGGTTCAGATATGTCTCCATGATATCATCTACTGAACCAAGTGACATCTGAATGCTATTTCTGCTTATAATGTTTCTCAAGTCACTGGCTCGAGACAGTTCATTGGGATTAGTGGTGCAGATTGGAGGGCCTGGCTAGGGACAATGTATAACCAATCACAGTTTGACTCCACAAATGCACAACTTCCTGAACTCGAACAAAATCCCTCTTTACTTTGTCACCTAAAATTAACACCTAAAGAAGTTTAAGACATGATTTCCATTATTGATACTTCAAAAGCTACAGGCCCAGATAACATCAGTGGAAAATTCCTAAAATCCATCTGCTTCGAAATTAGTTAACCTTAATGTAACATCTTTAATCTTTCATAAAAACTGTTCCTAATATTTGGAAATCAGCAAACGTAAGGGCAATTCATAAAAGAGGCGACCCATCACTATTCGGAAATTACAGACCAGTTTCTTTATTGAGCATCATAATCAAAATTTTCGAAAAATGCATCTACAAACATGTATTTAACTTCTTTAAGGATCACAATATTATTACTGAGTTGCAAAGTGTTTTTTTTTGCAAGGAGACTCAACTACTTACCATCTAATAGATCTTACGCACTTCTTCTGTCTAGCCATCGACCAAGGTCAATATATGAGAACGGTGTTCTGTGACATCAGTAAAGCTTTTGACAGAGTTTGGCATGCTGCACTCTGCCATAAGCCTGGGGTTGTTGGGATCAGAGGAGACTTGTTAGAATGGTTCAGAGACTACTTGTCTAACAGGCAGCAGGAAAAATCAAATTCACCATTCTCGCCTTCGACTCTCTTGCAGTGATTTAAAGGGACATCATTTTCTCAAGCATATTTCTGACAGCCCTACATGCGATTGTGGTCACGCCTTTGAAGACTCTGAACATTTTCTTACATTCTGATGCACGATCTGCGACAACATCAAAACTCCCAAAACTCTATCAAAATTCTCAAAACTTATTATTCGGAACGGAAGACAGAAACAATTCTGAAAAAAAAAATTTCTGCAGTACATAACTTCCTAGACATCTCCCAAAGATTTTGAAAATCCTGTATGAAAATGTATGAAATATAAATATTCTGATTGTGGTTTGTACATATCGAGTATATAGTCTATATAGCCATCTTATAATTTAATCGTTCCTCTACTTTACTTTACTTTTCAATATATATTTATGTTTGTACTTTTATGGAGAGGGGTTCTATAGGCTTTTACCTGTTCTCCAATCCAGTTTCTGTGAATAAATATTGTTTAGAAAAAAAATGTATAGTTGTTTAGATAGGACAAAAAATAAGGTCCTGTGTACACATTGGCATGCACGATAAAGAACATTTGACAGTTGAAATTGGAAATAAGAGTAGGCTGTAGTGCTGAAGGCCAAGCAAAATTTCCCCCATAGCACACTGTATGGAGTATGCCCGACTTCATTAGCCCAGTCAGAGTAGGACTTTAAACCCCATTTGAATGCAACTCAAGTCACTGCATTTAATACATTGTTGAAATCAATAATGTACAGTACCTGTAACTTCATTTATTTTCTCCTGTGCTGTTTATTAACCCGTTAAGTGCGTAGGTCGTTATATAACGTCCTGGAAAACTGCCACTCAATGTGTGTAGGGCGTAATATAACGCCTTGGAGGTATTTTCCCTAACCTATTCTTAGAACATTGTTCGTCACTTGGGGAATCCCTTGGGAATTCCCTCACGATCGCAGCCTGTGTAGGACGTTATATTACGTCCTGGACAACTGCCACTCACTGTGTGTAGGGCGTAATATAACGCCTTGGAGGTATTTTCCCCAACCTATTCTTAGAACATAGTACATAGTTCTTCGTAATTTCGTCAAATTAATTACACAATAGGGGGTAGTTAACATTTTAAAAATGTCACGCTTAACGGGTTAATATGAACCTGTCTCTATTCACAACTTTGAAACTTTCATTTTGATAGTCACCACATGGTTGGTTATCCAAATTTATCAGGGACAGAAAGAATTTGTATTGTTTCAGTTAATTGTAACATTTGACTTTCATTGGATTTAGATTTCACAATTAAAGTTTGTATCTCTAAATTAATATTATCCATAATATTCGATATTAAAAACACAAATTATAATTCAGTATTGGATCATTTTCATCAATATTAATGTTATCTTTATCTGAAAATATGGGCTCCTGATCCAATATTTAATACACAATGAAAGTTTTAAAATCAATTCTCAACGCTCGGTTCTCTGTTTTCTCGACAAGTCCATGAGTCAATGTAAAAGTAATTTTAAATGGATGATCTCCAACAGATAAAAAGGAAAAGAGATAAACTTGTAGACTGTACTAACCAGGCACTAATGACTGCAGTTCAATTTGGATTGCTCACATATTTCACTGATCATAACTAGTTAGAAATTACTTCAAAAATTGAATTTAAATCGTTCATATACATTTATATTACTTTAATATGTGCTTTTTGACCCATTTTCATCTATTTTAAGGTTCTAAAGAAAAAATTCTATATGTCCTTTAAGAATATCTATTTTACTGATTTTATTATTTCAGTGTTTTAGGATGGGTTATATTATTTATAAAGACAAATCTAGTTTAAATAAAGCGTTATCATCACCATATGAAAAACCTTTTATAATATCTACCAAATCTAACCCTGTATTAACAGGAATGTCAAGTAAGTATTTATTTTTAAAATTCCATATTAATCTATTACCAATAAACAATTATAAAATACTTAGCAATTTTATAAATTTAAAGGAGCTATCCCAGTGAGTATATATTGATAAAGGTTTGTTTAAATGTTCTATTTTAACACTAAAATGTGAAGAAAGCAAATACCATACCTGGAATTCAGCTAAAAATGCAGTCTGATTAAAATACAGATCTATATTTCATTTCGTTTTTTTATACTTTCGATGGCCTACACTACATGAAGATCTGACAAGTTGTACTGGAAGGTCGTGTCAGGGGTTGTACATACATTGATAAATCAATCGGCATTGACTTTTCTAGTGGTTTACCCACAGTTCCGTGCATGGCACTCAAGAAGTCGCCATAACAGACTGTTTCATTGGCTAATCCCTCACGTTTACCAAAGCGCAGGTAATATAACAACTCTTCTAGATCCTAGTGTAGTGAAGACAAGTAAAACGAAATTGAACTATAAAAAACAAAACGAAATAGGATCTGTGTTTTAATCAGATTGCTAAAAATGTGGAGCTAGATTTGCTTAATCAGTGTTACTTGACTTATTTAAGGAATTCCATCGTTCAGTTCTATGACTGACATGATAATCATGATAATCACTTACCACTAAGACTTAGGTAAAATATAAACATCGTTATCCACACACTTGAGGAGAGCATGGAATTTGTGGAATTATCACCAACCATATTTGGAAACTAAAAGTTTATATTTCTTTGAAAGTGTATCACACAACTTAATACAGAATAGGATAAAGTTTCAAAAGAGTCTTTCACACAGAACTGACCTGCTATAATATGTCTGGGTCGAGTCCGTTATTACTTATTTAAAGAGGGATTGTAACTCTCAACTAGACAATAAATTCAATTAATTTTGAAGATCTTATTCAAAATAGTTTTCAAGAGAGTTTCTACTAGAACTCTGTATATTAAAAGTTAAATCTTGAAGTTCCCTAACAAAATTACTAGAGTACAAGATCTGTCATCATGGGAAAATGTTCCTTCGATTGAAATTTTTACAGAAATTGATGATATATCACAATATTGACATTATTTTCGTCATAGTGAAGATATAACATGGTATTTTAGTTATTTCAATATTTTTGAAATTGTCTATATTATTACTATCGATATTGATGTTCATATCACTATATTGTCATACCGTTACATCACCCATAGTCTCTGAATAATATAAGAGTCTCAACATACGACATACCATCCAATGCAGACGATATAAAAGGGATATAGTCAAACAGCTAGTGCCACTTAATATTCCCCCTAAAATCTTTTGATGGACCTCATTTAAATCCAATTTAATCCAACCTAAGAGATTATCAAGCATGGATATTTTGGTTTTGTTGTCTTAATTAAATGTAAAATGACCAATTTGAGTACATTTTAATCTGGATTAAGCCATTAGATATTGTCTGAAAAATGCAGATGATGGTCAGCAGCTTTGTTTGTTTAAATTCAAGATAATTGATTTTTTTTGTTTATAGAATGGCAGAAAGAATATACAGTTGAAACTGTGAATGCTAATGCACTCCAAGATGAAATAGATCAGTATATGGAATCATATGACAGTAAATTAAATCAAGTAAGTCCTACTGTAAAGCAGACAATTGTGTTATTAAAGGGACGTATGGAATCTAAGTGCCAAAATACAGAGGAATGGTGTATTTACTTTGTCTCAAAATTTATCAGGATTGACCCTTTAAATTTAATTTATCGCCAAAGCCAGTGGTAGTCTGAACAAAATTGGGGCGTTGAATGGCCGAATGGTTTAACGTTTGTGCTTTAAATTGTAATTAATTAAACTATGTTAGTCCCAAAATGACCCAGTTTGTGTCAAGTGGACATTAAACCCCTTTTCTCTCTCTAAACAAAATTGAACACTGAATTAATTCTTCCTCTTATACATGTACTCTAGAATGTTTAATATCTTGCCAGTACCAAAATCAACTAGGACATCTTGAGATGAAAAAATTGTTCTTTTTATACGCCCATATTTTTATGTGGACGTATATTGTCGTCGCCCCTGTCCATCCGTCCACAATTTGTTTGTGAACACTCTACAGATCACAATTTTTGTCCGAACCCTAATGACAGTCCAGTTCGAGTTTAAAATATATCTTTGTATCCCAAATATCTCAGTCCATTTCCATATTCACACATTTCAGACCATAACTTCCTGGATTATAGCCCCTGATAGTACGAAAAATCTTTTTTTTTTTCTTCTTTTAGCTTGTTCTCTTGCAAAATGTGGGCTAACTTGCCTGGCAACCGCTGGTTTATGTTTACATGTGCAATGTCATTTCTTATTCAAATAGTGCTCAGTTGTCAGGACTATACAGTCATAACAATTTTGACCTTATTTCAAGAAGTAGAACAAGGACTGAAAAGTTATTATTGGAGAAATTAATGCAATCAGTGGCTCTGGAAAACACCTTCAAGTTCAATATGACAATGTATGTCAATGTTGTGATTGAAGTAATAGCTTTATATAACCTCACATACCTTTATTTATTGTCTCCCCCTTTTGGATTTATCTGTCACACATTTTAGAACAAATTAAATTGTCTTCTAATTGAGGTAGATATTCATTAGGGTAATGTCTTTCTGCTTAGACAAAGTAGAGATAAGCAATTTAATTTGCCAATGCTTTGGAATTTGGATCATGATAACTCTGATTTTAATTGAGAGTGATGAATCTTGATGTACTGATTATAATTATCAACATCTTGACTATGTATACTATTGAGCAATATTTGCTCAGGTTAAGCAGAATGATAATCAATTTGATTGCTCAAGGCTTTATGAAAAAATAATGTGCAAGTAATTAATGAGCATCATCTATTTATTTGGGGATTGAGGTGGGGGACACCAGTCTCACTGTTGGCTGATCTTTATCTGTTGCTGGTTAACTTCACAATAAATTTTGTGACATTGACTAAATGTTAATATGTTTGTCACTGTATCTATAGCAACTAGAAGAAGAGAAAGATAAGGAAGGTGTAGCTGATGATGAAGGCTGGGTAACAGTGACTAAACATGGTAAAATGAAACCTACACCTCGAACAGCTGTAAATCAGAAAAAGTTATCGAAGAAGGAAAGAAAAAGAAAGAAAGAAAGGGTTAGTGTTATAATTTCCATATGGTTCCCACTTGTCATTTGTAGTGCCTGAGACGAAAAAACCTAGGTCCATCTTTGTACACATTGGCATGTATCTAACAAACAGGTTGACAGTTAGAATTTGAAGAACAGGCAGAAATACCATTGTCAGGGGAATATTTGTCTCCCTTTAGTAGTGAACATGGCAAATAAAAATCGAACCCAACTCAAATCTTTACCTTTTATATATTACTTATACCACACATGTAGTTTATATTAACTAATAAATTAAGAAACAGAATATAATTCTATAAACAGTGTAATATTTATTTAACTTGTGTTTTTTTTTTCAGGAATTGTTAAATTTCTATACTTTTCAAATAAAACAAGAAAAACAAGACAGTAAGTTATAATATAGTTTTATTATAAAAGTGTTAGCTACAAATCTGGACCAGCTTGAATATACGCCTTGTGTGATAATTTGTACTGGACAAATTCTGTGACATGTGCCTTATGTCCAGTCTTGGTTAGCTATTTGACCATAACAAACAAATGTTAACTGGTATCATCTGTTTAAAAGGAAAAGCATGCCTTGTCTTGTGCATGAAGCTAAGAACTACATGTATACTACTGTAGATAAATGGAGGGATACTTTAATCTTGAATTTCAGAAACTGATAAATGATTCAAACTTGCATTAATTCTACTGCGTAGATATACGCCATCTGTGAACTGGATGGTTAGGTCATCTTTTTTGTCTTAGGAACCAAGTTATAATGCAGCACTAGTAGTATAAAGCAAGATAGATATTGCACAACGTTTCCGCAATTGTTCTCTTATTGTTATCAAGCACAAATGATGTTTTACATTGAATAAAATCAGGTAAATCAGGGAGCATAAGAGCACATTTTTGAAGTTACTTTTTTTTTTGTATTACAGGAATAGCTACTCTACGACAAAAGTTTGAAGAAGATAAAGAGAGAATAACACAAATGAAAGCAGCTAGAAAGTTTAAACCTTATTGAAGCCAAGGACAAATACCACTATACATTATAAAATCTCTTATTTCTTTTTAACATAGGATGCTATGTTCAAGTCACTACATGTTCACTCTCAATTTGTGACTCAAATATGTTCAGTATTTGATAAAGACATTGTTTTGAGACAACACCACTTCCATACATTAGTAAAACTATGTATGTACATGTTAGTCAACAATGCTATGTTTCTGTGGGTAAATGACTGATTAAAAGAAAAGAACTATAAAATTCATTTGCTAATTTTGTGGCAAAAATAAATACATGTACATATATAAATGCATATGGCCACTGTAAATAAAACCCATTACCTTTCTTTGAAGTTTTTACTGAACCCTTTAAAGATACATTATGGGAGATAAGATAAAGAGATGGCAGTTCTCGCTATAATAGTTAAAAACTAGATAGTGTAAAGGTAATTTGCTGAAAATTTCAGTCATATTGATCCACTATGAGCCGAGATAGAAGCGGGTGAAATTTTTGCATAGTCTCGATCATCATTACTAAAATCATTAATATAAACAGCATAGTCTCGATTATCCACTTTTTCTGATTTAATTATCAACTGCCGTTAGTGGCATATAGGAATCTTATCCAGCCAACATCGAAGGCTAGCCTTGACATCGAGAGTTTATTATGGTCTGAATAATGCCTAATTGATAATTTAGATAACATTTCAGGCCTAAAGAAAGACTTGTAATAGGCAGATTTTGCTCTTGCATAATGCATGTTTAAATTTACAACAGTCTGAAAATATTGCTTTTCTAAGACAAATCAAAGATCAACTGATATTTCAAGGATACAAGATCATATGCCAAGTTTCATTAAAATTGAATGAAAAATGTAGACATTGGTGAAGTTGTAGGCAATGACGGCGTGAATAATTATAGTATCTTGTTCAAATTAAACTCTTTTGGGATGTCAGGGTAATGAGGCAATGTACAGTAAGTAGTTTTGTGAGAATTGATTGAAATAAGTACACTTTTGTGTTCAGAAGCTTTTTTGACATATTTTGTCTAGTCAAGGGAGAGAGAAATGGGGTTTAACGTCCACTCGACACAAACTAGGTCATTTCGGGACTAACACATGGTTCAATTTTTTATTTCAATAATTCGCTTGCGCATAGAGGTCTTTAGCAGTGGGAGGAAACCGGAGAAAACCCATGAGGCTGGACAGGCGACCCTACTCCTTGTCACGTACAACCGGGGAATCAAAACCCCGCCAGTTGACTCAATGACAGACCGTGTGATACAGCGCGCGCACGTGCTAACCATTCGGCCATCCAACCCCCCTGTCTAGTCAAGGGCAAATAACACCAAGTATATTTCACAATACTTGAACCCCTCAAGGATAGAAGGCCATATGCCAAGTTTTATTAGAATCAGCTTTCACAATTTATTTTCAAGTGCAATAAATGATGAATCCAGGGATGCTACTTTGCTTGTATATTCCGTACATGTCCTACATGATAATGTCACATATCCTAATAGTATATGATACCCCAAATCAATGGACAGTCATTATAACTTTCAAAATGCTTTAATTCTTATCTACTGCCTAAACATAAACATGCCGATGCTGACACACCCGTGTCCGCTTTTACACAACAATTTTTATCTGAAACCAATTTCCTTCGAAAGAAGTTCGAAAGAATTGCCATGTGGTTTCACCTGGCAACCCATATACCATTAAAGAATATTTTAAATATTTTCCATTTATTATGAATCATAAAAAAAACATGTCATGCACTCCACAGTAACATCAGTAGTCTGTTATTGTTTAGCTGCCAAACTTGAATTAGAATGTTTTTTGTTCAAATCTTTATTTCAGCAGAAAGACACCGAGAAGGAATTGAGTTGGGGGTGGAGGTTTTATAATGCATCTTTTTGAAGACCGTTATATACAGTATTCAAGATTTTAAAAAAAAACATTCATTTAATTTTAAAAATTTATTAAACACATAAATCAAGGTAATCTTTTAGAGGCATTTAGCAACTGGATAGTTCATAAATTAAGGCCTTGTTTGAACTTTTTGCTGATTTTCACCCGTTAAAAAAGCTAGCACCATGTGTAATAATCTGAAAGTAAAGAAGTCACTGGTGAAATGAAATAGGGTTTAATGACTACATTTCTGTACCAATCGTGGTAATAAAGACATACACCATGCGCTATGAGGAATTTTTGTGTGGACACATGCGCACCAATGTGTACATGGGACCTCAGTTTTTCCTCCTATACAAACAAATAGACACTGTTTCTTGCCAGGTACACTATCCAGAACCACCGACAAGAATGGGAAACCAAACTGACAAATACTAAGGAAATTTCAGACCCACAGCAAAATCCCCTAGTAAGGGGGTAGCAGACTGTGCCAAAATTATTTTGCACATATTATTGTCACAACCTCACAAGAATAAAACCTGCATACCATTAGATTTCTCTGTTCACTGACGACTAAACATTACTTGCTGTGCGCAGATTCTATCATACAAGAAAAATATAATAGAAAAAGGTTACCTGTTTCTAGGGAAACTGTTCAAAGCAATATTACGAAATTCATTCAATTTTCCTGTAATCAAATTAATTTTACCTTGTTAATCAAGTTATTAAAATTTGAAGTAAATTAAACAAAAACAGTCTCTGTGTCATAGATTAAGAACGTTAATTTGACTAAACACTACAAATCAGATGATTACCAAGACAGTAATTATATTTTCTTCCCATTAAAAGTATTATAATTTCTCACCAACACAATGTTCTAATCTCTATGGATCAACGAAAATATTTTCCTTTAAGGTGCATCAACAGTTTTCCACTTAAAAAAGTTGACATTGTTAATAGTTTTGAATTGAAAAAAACATGACCTACCGGTTTCCACGCCAAGACAACCACTAACAGCAGAAACTTGAATGACTTGTGAAAATCTCTCTAAAGCTGTATGTAGACTTTCTTCCTCGGGGGTAACAGAACAAGCTCGACATACTATTATTAAAGAATGAATAATATCTAACATGTTCATCACTGTGATCAGATACTGGGAAATATTGTTAATATTCGTCTGACAAAACTGTAAACTCTGCAACAATCCCAAATGTAATTTAGATAACAAATTCAACAGTTTTGTAGCTTTTTCAAGTTCAACATCTTGAGAAGACTTAGAACTATCTTCACTACCATTTTTAGCACTATTTAAGAGATGTTTAGAAAGAATTATTCCACGAACACACCATCCTGTTAATCCCGGGATTGGAGATGAGTAATTGTTATGTATACGAGATTGCCGAACGGATTCACAACATAATGTACAGTCTGTGTTTATCCATTCTGTTACATGTTCTAATAAACACAGGGGAGGCACTGATCTTGTATCTGAAAAAATAATTTTATAAAAAAAAAACATTTGCTATCAGCAATAACAATCATACTTTTTAAACTGAGTATTTTTTAAATTTTCAGTTGTTGATGGGTGGTGGTCAAAGTAAAATCTGCAAATCAAAACGGCATCTATAAATCAAATATTTGCCTACTTCTCTTTAACAATATTTGCACATTTTGATAACTTGGCTTAAAGTGAGAGTATAATAATGTATGGGAAAAAAACTCATCTGTAGATATGTAGTAATATTGCAGGCTACTAGTAAGTATCTTTAGCTAGATATGTATGCTATATTTTTTTTTTTACCTTGAAATGAATATAGCATGGTGACAGATGTGATAAAATTACAAACAAATAGCGGTGATGTAGATGGTAATTTCTGGAACACTATAGATGGATCAACAAATAATAAACAATAATCTTCAACTAGTCGTAATGTTAATTGCTGAACTGGTCTTGTACTGCACCCTCTTTCCTGAAATGAAAACCAAAATAATTACATGATGACAAACCATTTTTTACAATGCTCACATTTTATGTGGCAATATATTACCTATTCAGAGTGATGCAATGATTTTTTTAAAAAGCTACTACCCCTGTCACGGAAACCTTGTAAACACTGTTCAAGTCAGGTTTAATGAGGTTTTTCTTTTTAAAACTTTCTGGGATTATGCGACTAGTCATAAGAAGGAACCTAATGAGAACTCTTGTAAGATTTGTTTCCAAACTTGTTAGGCTATGTTTGGTATCAAAATTCAGACTGGCCCATCAATTGCATTGCCCCCAATCCTCAAAACTTAAAAGCTGCCCTTCAAAATGTTGTTGGTGGACTGTAAATTTGTTGCCTGGCAATGCAAATGTGTTTTTCTAAAATTGTAATACTGAATCAACACTCTTTCAAAAATAATTATGACCATACAATATATAGGGAGTTAATTTTTTTTCCAATTTCTTCTAAAAAAAAAATAATTTCCGGACACAAATATGCAAATTTAAAGTTTCACTATGACAAAATTGTTTTCAAGTACAAATAGAGTAAAAACAAACCTGAGCCCAAATTGCAGCACAGTCTAGCACAGGACTGCAGCTTATAGATAATGCCATTGATACAAGTTTGGTGAGAAGTGAACTGCTGTAATTATCTCCCCTTGGACAAAAGATGGCATTAAATATCTGATATTTACTCTTCTGTGAGGCTTCATTAAAACTTGTACACAACATCTGTAAGAGTTGTAATTCTTCAATTGGTGGTAGAGTCTACACAAATAAAAAAGAAACGAAAGCAAATAAAAAGTCTGTGGGTATAAGTGCTGAAATACAACAGGAGTACCATGGTTACTTCTCTTTATACACAAATGTATTCAGTTCAATAATGGTAAAATTCCATTTTGATACCCACGTCTGTGTAAATGTACATGTACCTGATACTAATACTGTTTCAGAAAGATTTAGCTAATTTTCACATGATATTTTCGTAGATCAAGTTCATTCTAAACACAGCACAGTCTTCATTTGAGAACAGGTACGTGTCTGCCGTAGAGCTACCTATGAGTAAGGACACTGCAAGTTTCGTATTGTAACATGTGTCAGGCACAGAGTCCAGCCCAGAATTTACTATTGTTGCGAATTTAAACTTTAAGTTCTAGCATTAAAACACTAAAAATCCTTCTTAAAGCATACCTTTTGGGGTTTTCCTTTACTCTTGAATAGTATAAACTCTTGACAAATATCTGCTGCTAAAGCTTCCACACCATGACTTAGACCAGGCACTGAATCTTGTGATGATGAAAAGATCGATGTAAGATGCTGTAAAGCCTCTCTAGTACACTCAGGAAAGTCCATATGTCGGAGTTTCTTGATCAAATTATGTGTCATCTTCAGTTCTTAGGGATGTAGCAATATGAATATCTACAAAATAATTATTCCACTATATAATATAGGCTGACAGCTAGCTGATATCAATTTACCCAAGAGATATTGACTAATTATACGCCCACATTGAAATGTGGTCGTTTATTGTCGTCGGTCCGTCTGTCCGCCTGGCGTCCACAATTTTTTGTGGACGCTCTAGAGGCTAAAGTTAATATCCGATTGACTTTAAATTTATGTACAGTGTTTAAGGCCATGAGACGAAAATGTCTATGGATTTTCAGCAATTTCCAATAATTACTGCCAGAGTTATGGCCCTTGATCACTTCAAAAAATGTTGTTGATGTTCTAGAGGCTAAAGTTAATATCCGATTGACTTTAAATTTGTACACTGTGTTTAAGGTCATGGGATGAAGAAGCCTATTGATTTTCAGCGATTTACGATAATTACTGCGAGTTATGGCCCTTGATGACTTCAAAAAATCTTGTGGACGCTCTAGAGGCCAAAGTTAATATCCGATTGACTTTAAATTTGTACACTGTGTTTAAGGTCATGCGACGAAGAATCCTATTGAATTTCAACGATTTCCGATAATTACTGCCAAAGTTATGGCCCTTGATCACTTTAAAAGTCTTATGACGCTCTAGAGGCTAAAGTTATCATCCGATTGACTTCAGAGTGATACTTTAAGATCTTGAGACGAACAAGTATATTGATTTTCAATGAATTTTTATAAAGGACTTGAACAGCTAAATCCATGATATTAAAAGTTTCGTAAATTCGTATACTAAACGTTAGCATGGGGCAGAACTTTATAAAAACCAAACAAATTCTAATGGTTTTCTGATAATTACTTCACGAGTTGTTGTTAGTTTATTATAAATGTTTCATTACCGAAAAAAGTAAAAATATTTATGGCTATGCGACAACACTTGTTGACTGCCCGGACGATTTAGCTCCTGTGGGCGTATGTTTCGTTGCCTGGCAACCTATCCTTTTTATTAACTGTACGTTGCATTACTGATTCCAGTGAAGAAGTTGCCTAGTAAAAATGACTGTTAATAAATAAAAAAAATAAACTTCGTTGAGTCGTAAAGTTCGGTAAAGCCAGGCAAAAGGTATAAATAAAGTGAAAGTCAAAGTCAACCCCGTTTACATCTAAATGAAATAGTCCCCATCCCCAATGAAAGTCAAGATTATTATTATTTATTTATCAAAAATATCAAAATAATTGTTAAGGTGGTCCCCGAAGTCCCTGTAAAGTATATGATATGTGTAAGGTCGACCTTACGTGAATGAAATTTAGACTATTATTATATTTTGTTCCCAAAATCCACCATATTGATTAGAGCGCCTCTACAAATCATGTAGAGTTATCTACCAAGGCAAGCAGTTTCCTTCTCCAGAAGTAAGGGACACAATTCCGTTGAATGACAGTATGGAGGCAGACCACCATTAATTTCCCCATTGACTTCAATGTTAATTCTGGCCTCTTTGCCCACCTCCAACTTTTCCCCAAATTTTCGTTGGGCTGAATGCTTTTCACTACAGACAGAGGAACAAATGGTCATGTCTTTGCACTAAAATTTGTATGAGGTTGACCACCAAAATTTTGAGATACACAAACTTGAAGAAGCATACTAAAAACATGTAACTAGTTGCCGTACATATCGCCGTAGCTAACCTGATAACCCCCTTATCCTTCCGCCTTAAAATCATGAATATTTACCAAAACCTGGGAGAAAATGTTAATTCAAACCCTCTTCGTCCATTCTAGACCAAAAAATCAACAAAAATGGGCATGCAAAAGGGGAGAAAAGAGAGAGAGAGAATTGCTATAAATAGACGAACTACAATTGGTACCGAGATGATGAAATTTAATGGTGGCCACAGCTATTATCCGACAGGACGAATTACCAAATACTACCCAATGCCAATATCACCCAATGGGTACCGAGATGATGAAATTTAATAGTGGTCTGCCTCAGACTACAGCTATAAACCGACAGGACGAATTACCAAATACTACCCAATGCCAATATCACCCAATATACTACCCAATACCACCACACACTGCCTGATTATGATTATAAACAGAAAGGATACATAAATTATATCAATCAAAGTGAGTTGCCTCCCGGAAGTAGCAAAAGTTAATTATAGGGTAATGTGGGGTAAAGCGCCTACCTTAGGCTAATTAAGGGAAACTCTCTGCCCAATTCATATTTCTCAACCTTCTGAAACCACTTCAGGATTATATCAAACTACTGATGATATTTTGTTGTTTAACTTATTTTTATCGGGTTATGTCTATAATTGTAAACTTATAAGCAAAATACCAAAAAAGACCCCCCAAAAAAACAGAAATTGGGCGGATCCCCAAACGTAGGACAAAATGCCTTTTAAGCAGGGGTAGGCGGCCCATAGTAAGCTTCCTGCCCAATCATGGTTAAAACTAGCATCTATTTACAAATATTACAACCTATCTTGTATGTTATTATATAATTATGTGCTACATTTATTTTGTACATGTAGTGTCAAACTGAAGTTTATTATTTTTATTCAATGGTTAAAGGTGCAATGTGTGAAATTTTGCCTGTGTGTTGTATCTCATAGGCCTACATGTATCATAGGCCTACTGTCGTGCGATAGGATTGTCCCTATTGAGTAAACGGTCCTTTCGGATACATTTCGATACGATCAACACGATTGCACGACTCGTAATAGTGGGAACCTAGCAATATAATTACTTTGTATACTGTCCCTTTGGGTTGTTTTAGTACAAATAAAATTATCCAAATTATCCCTTTTCCCATAATTAAAGGGATGCGAAATTGCCTAGTTTTCTCCTGTCACTAACGCTATTTGATCAACTTTGCTTCAATTTCATCAACAGTAGGCTGGTCTAAATATCATCTGTACACGGGATCTCGGTTTTTCTCCCCACTCGAACGACTATACACTGTCCCTTGAAACACTTACAAGGAGGAATCACGCCGTAAAATCCCGATGAACTTTCTCGGTCAACGCAGGGACCTCTAGGTACGTATATGAAGAAAACAACAGTAATATTGATAAATAATTTATTGTGAACAAGAAATTTGAATAGTAACTTTAGCCTCTAGAGCGCCCTCAAGATTTTTCAAAGTGATAAATGGCCATAACTCCAGTAGTGATTATCAGAAATGGTTGAAAATCAATAGACTTCTGCATCTCGTGACCTTAAACACCGTGTATAAATTCAAATTCAAACAGATGTTAACTGTAGCCCCTAGAGTGTCCACGAGAATTTTCAAAGTGATCAAGGACCAGAACTCTGGCAGTAATTACTGGAAATTGTTGAAAATCAATAGGATTCTTTATCTCATAACTGTAAATACTGTGTATAGATTTAAAGTCTATCGGATATTAACTTTAACCTCTTGAGTGTCCATAAGATTTTTAAAGTAATCATGGACCATAACTTCGGCAGTAATTACCGGAAATTATTTAAAAAAAACCCAATAGGATTCTTCATTTCATGAACTTAAACACTGTTTATAAATATAAAGTCAATCGCATTTTAACTTTAGCTTCTTGAGTGTTCACGAGAATTTTAAAAGTGATCAAGGGCCATAACTCTGGCAGTAATTATCGGAAATTGTTGAAAAGAAGTAGGCTTCCACCAAATGAAGCATTAAATACTGGTGTTATTATCAATATAAATTTGATTTCTATATCTTTCATAGCTACCCATCTACACTCGATGACTGACATCTACAAATTAAGAAAAGGTGACCCAGAAATTTTAAATTCGCACAGAATACATATATTTTTGTCTACAACTTCAATATTTTGGAGGACACGCGCCGACAAGAAAACCCTACTGTGCCATAACACGTGACTCTCTACTACCAATCATATCCGAGATTTTCATGGTGGGCCCTTAACCCCACGTAGGCACTTTATACGATGTTACCCTAGCCCTTCAGCTAACTGGAATGTATATTCATGAATCGTATCAGTGGATCACAGGGAGAGAGAGAGTATCATTTCGGGAGTATCATACTATTCGAGTTTATGTCAATAATTCAATTGTGCGTCTTAAGCAGTGGGTGGAAACCGGGGGACCCAGAGTAAACCCACGAGGTTGGATAGGCGACCCTACTTCTTATAACGTACATGCGGGGAGTCGAAACCACACAACTTATCTCAGTGACAGATCTTGTGATTTAACGCGTACGCTTTGAGTGTCATTCAATGTCAAGTGGGTCTATTTTTAGAAATTTGGGAAATCGACCCCTCCAAAAAATCTGGAAAAAATAAAATGTTGTTGTACATGTAAAAACTAGAAACTGTGCAAAATTTGTGGTCTGTAGCTTGAAAATTGACTGAGATACGGGTATTTGAGTTTCATGAGTTACCAACGAGTTTTCGAAATAAAATATGTATCCTGTTTTTACCTTTTTTAGTGAAGATATACAGCTGAAATCTGCAATCCGATTACAGATGAGTGGTAGGGGTCGCATGGTACTGGGCCATGAAAACCGAAAAGAATTTGGTGTAATTGTATATTTTCTGGATTTTGTAGTGCTCCAGGAGTTACAAAGTAATAGATATAGACCCAAAGTTTGGCCTATAAAGAGATTGGCGGTAGTACTATAAGAAACATAATTATGAAAATACGTTTAGACACCAAAATTATCTTCCTAGAATAAATACTATGGGAGCTATAGGGGTTTATTTGATGTGACGGCCGTCTTAGACGCCATCTTGAATTTCTCAAAACGCTCAAGGGTGACCGAGGTTCACCCGACAGATTCTGAAAGAGGACAACCTAGGCCACTAAAATCAATCATAAAAAAGACTTTGTATACAATTTCCAGGTTCACTCGAAATATTGGGTTTGGCGACCGGACTAATAATTTACATGGAATGACCCAAAACACTGATTTTGGAAAAATCGAAAAAATATAATGTTATTGTACATTAGTTTTTACATGTACAATAGCATACATTTTTCCAGAATTTTTCGAGGGGGTCGATTTCCCACCCCTGGCCCACTTGACATGGAATGACCCTTAACCCAATCGGCCACCCAACCCTAGTCGCTCGCTACTGCATTTCTTCGACAGTGCATCACCTATCATCATCTGGATGGTTGCTCGGGAAAGGGTTAAACGTTTCAAAGAGGCTTCATACAGAAGTCGCCAGTTTTAACTAGTGGAATATATTTGGAACTGTTCTTTATAATTTCCTGACCCCCCCCCCCCCCCAACACACACACACACACACACACCAACATTTCAAGTGTTTCGGGCTGTCGGACGTACGTAACTTCCATTATGAATTTATGAACTGACTTTTCTGCAACGACTGGGCTAATGAAGACGACGGGCATACGCCATATAGTGTGCTATATGAGGGAAATTTTGTCCGGGTAGCGGTGCTACGGACTACTCTTATTTCAAATTCTAACTGTCCGCGGTTGTTTTAAATGCACGCCAATATGTACACGAGAACACGGTTTATTGTCCCATCCGCAAGTTTTTTTTTACATGCACGCCAACGTGTACATGTGACCTTAGTTTTTATTACCATCCAAACAACTAGACACTGTTTCTTGCCAGGCCCACAGTCCTGCACCATTGACAAGGGGAAACCATTCCGAAATTCCATTACAAAACCCTACCCCTCCCGCCAGCCTTTGCATGCATTAAAAAGTAAAGCAATATGAGAAATACCATTTCTAAAATCACAGTTTATTTCAAGTAGGTAAACTAAATAGACATTAGTTGGCAAATCTAAAAATAGTTTGAATCCGAAGTTCGATAACTCATGAAATATTTATTATACCTTCTGTGTCAATATTTAACATTATTTATATATTATAACCAACTAACCATATTTATTATTCACACAATAGATAAAATCACAATAAAATATATCATCGCATCCCAGTCATTTGTAAAACTATTTTTGATCTAGGTCTAGATAATATAACACTCCAAACTTGACGAAAGATAAATTAAAATAAATGAAATTATAAATAAATCAAATATCTAACTTCACAAAAGGGTTTTTAATTGGAATAACTATAATATATAATAAAGGCTTAGTGGTTTTAGCTTAATACTGACTTTGGTAAATGTACAATTCTTAAGTTCTTCAATGCAAACATATATAGCGATATATAAAATCATACAGGCTTCATCATACACGTATAAAAATAGATACGTTAATAGGCAGTGTTTTTATAACCGTCTCAAATAATCAATGAGTATTGCACGTATCCCATAACGGGTTAAGAGTTACAAGATGGTATACCACGATGCTTCTTAAATCTGACTGTTCAAATATACCGAACTTTAATCATATATAAGCACTATCCAGATTTGTCACACCAATGGATACCCAATTATAGTGAAATAAAATCGACATTGAAAACATGTACACTCCGAATTCTCGTTTATCAAAAATAAAGATAATTCATGCATGATAACAGAAAAAGATTTCTATACTAAACTTAACTTGGGAGGATACAAAACAGTGCGGATCTATAGGGTGTTCGCCCCTGTGTTCTCTCTTTAGAAGTTTAATGTAACGATTTTAAAGCGCATCGCCATTTTTCTCAGGTTAACCCTACTCCATCCCAGTATCCGTACTTCTATGAAATTTACTACCCGGCTAAACAAATGACAGTAACTAACAGTCAGACACTTTTATACATATTGTCAAAATCCACAACATATTAATTTGAAAGAATTTCAACGTAACATGCTTGGGATCATCTATTTTATTATAAACTACGGGCAAATCTACTGCAACATTGTGACAATCACAGAGTTGATATAATACAAACAATTAATTTATAAAATATATTGCACGGTGTCCCGACTTACCACTGCTCGGCTTACTAGTATCTCCCAATACCGAAACATGGCTTTATAAAAAGAAAGCCAGATCTAATGACAATCACAAATGCATAACTATCGAATTCACGTATAACTTTAAAACCGGTAACCACTGTCTATTCAAACGAAATAGTAAATCTGTTACTAGAACATTTAAATTTATAACATTTAACGAAATAATGGAAGCGTTTTAAAAGTTTTGAAATATTGCAAACAAAGTTCGTAAGATTTAATAATAATAATAATATGTATATTATATAAGTTAAAAATTAATTAACTATATGCATAGTTTATCTAAAAATCAGACACGCCCACTTCGTCATCATATGGTGTTCGGAACTGATTTTGTTGGAACTGTGGGGGTTGTGAAGATGGCTTTGGTAGCGTTGGCGGTGGTCGTGCCTGTACTTGTGGTGCCTGTGCTTGTGGTGCCCGGGCGTAACCGGCAGGTTTGGGTTGCGGGCCCTGTTCAGCTACCATTCGAAACACGGCAGACTGAGACCAATCTCGTTCACCAGTAGGGGCTGTTGGTGCTTTTACAGGTCCTGTTTGTCCGGGAGCTTTCTGTGTAACCTTTACGGGCTGCATCTGTTTCATTGTTGGTTGTTTTCTATAAAAAAATAACCCAAATAGTGTTTAAATCTAAGCAATGGTCCTTTGTTTGAAAGGCTTGAAGACTATTGTACAAAAAGAAAACGTTAACAAAAGCACATCTTTAAGTTGAAGGCGTAGTGTTTATTTAAACTAAATATATGACTAAGCTAATAGATTTAATAGAAAAAGAATGCGATTATCTATTAGTATATACTCACAAACAGTAACATGGAAGAAGTAACTGTGCGATAAAGCGAAAGTTTTACGACAAGTAAAGACAGTTTATAAAAACTGACAGGAAAGAAACCAGAATATAGCATAACACTTGCAACTGACAAATGCGTAAATAATTATACAAAAAGGGCCCATCGAAGTTCATGTGTACAATTTACTCATTGGTATGATGCCGTTATTTCCTTTCAAGTATAGCCTAATGGTTATTTGACGGTGAGTTACATCTGAGAACGTGCCATGCCAGTCAAAATTGTTCGGATAAAGCTAACGAAATTTAATTCCCCGTCTGCTAATTTTATTTGATAACTCACCACAATCATTTTGAAGTTTTATAATACATGTACAATGAAGACATAATCAATAAATGTTACTCTACTGTTGTCCACAAGAATCAAGGCATCGTACTTTCTTCGCCATGTCAATGGTTCCAAACCCGATATGCCGATTCGTTAGCTTTATCCGAACAATCTATTCCGAAGATGACACACAGAAGACAATACCTGGTAGTCAAGTATGTAAATCTAAGTGATTATTTGATTCTATATACAATATCATATACCAAAGAAACTATAAAATAATGAGAAATACATGTGTACTTGAAAATAAAAATTGACGAATTTCTGGTAAGAAGTTTTTGTTGTGTTATTGCAACATGACTCGTTAATTAGTAATCCATGAACCAAGAACTTCAAATAAACAACAAATATAGCAACACTAAAAGATCATATACCCAAAAAGAAATACTGTCCACCCAAAATACGTTAGAAAAAATACTGATATAAGAATATTTAAATTTTATGTAAACAATACATGCAAACATCTTAATAGTTAAGGAGTAAGTGAAAAGGTGTTATATAGAGGTCGGTGGGTGGTAGGGTGTAAAGTAAGTCGAATCAATTAAAAGTGAAAAATATAAAATGGTTCTCACAGTTGGATTTGTATTGTTTTTATATGCCTGGAACAAAAGGTGGATATCTTTAAGGGTAAGATCTATCTAATCATTCAATACATGCAGATAGAAACAGATCTTAGTTAATAGATTCTATACTATTCTTTGATACAATAGACTATAATAATAATACTAATAATAATAATAATATTAGTACGATAGAAATTATGCAAATGTATATTTATTCTTGCCTTGAAATCACAATAAATTGACCATAATATTAATGATCTGAACTAATTTTAATTAATTAATTAATATTAAATATTTGACGAATAAAGTATAAAATAGAATATTAGCTATTATTCGTCGTATAATCATTGATATGAATATGTCTTCAATAGTAATCTTTGAATTAAAGTTGAAGTTGAAAGCGAAGTGAAATAGATTGTATAGGAAAGTTAGAGAGAGTTACAACATTTAATTTACCTTTACCAAATCCCCAGCTGATCAAAACAATGTGTGTGTGTGTGCGTGTGTTAAATAATAAAAGTTGAACCTATACGAACACGGATTATTAATCGTGAAACGCAGTGCCATTTTCTAAATTTCAAGATGCAACCGTATAAACCATCAACTAATTTAATAAAAGCCATTAGATGTATAGTATTGGTTCACTCATCGTCACTCGATAGATATGTTTGGCTCTGTCAAGATTCGTGTCAAAATGTTCGATTTTGACTAATAAATACATTCTTGTTTATGCTAGGTCCCACTGTCGTGTGATGCGATTGTCCCTATTGAGTCCACGATCTGGTACGTACAGATACGTTCGGATACGTTTCGATACGATCAACACGATTGCCACGACTGACCTCAATATATGATAAGGCCTGATATGACCACCACGTTTATTCCATGATTAAAACCACGATTTCAATCGTAGCACGAATCGTGATAGCGAGAACCTAGCATAAAATACATTATAGTTAATACGGACCCAGTGTACCCACTAATATTCGCAGAGTTGTTTCTTTTAGTGAGCACCTTTTTTTACTACTTCAACACATTTGTGGTTCGAGTATCACTACCTGAACCGCTCTACGTATCCACTCAAGTATATTCTCACTTATGAAGAAATCTGGACCTGGAGGATAACGCAAAGACCCTTTGTATATTATAATACAGTAGCGTGTGAAGGATTTACAAAAGCTGGGTAGGGGCGTGCAATCCCACGAAGACGAATTATTGGAGTTAAATTTGTCAAATCTGCATTATTTTTAGTTAATCAGTTATAGGGTGTATCTGGTGGAAGACGGGGTCACTGTTACCCTATCGTGGATAACCAACCGACTTCCAAGTCTGTCTGATACTGATACGTGTGGAAGCTGTAGTCCAAAATGATTCTGTGGCACATACAACAGTACATGTACATATAAAAATATCCAGTGACACCATATTATTGTTTTCTAACATGAGAAACAGACGAATTAGTGGTCCGAGATATTTGTTGTAAATACTCCCTGAATACATTGCAAATTATATCAAGACACGTTTTAAAATCATAAAATGTTCTAAGTTCTGTTCTAAGGTTTACCTGTAAGGAAATTTGGGATGAAAATAAGGAGGATCTACGCTATAACCTCAACTATACATCTTGTTGACTATATCTAGATTTCCTAGGCTATAAATTTCAGTCCAATTTCTAGAAACTAAGGGACAAGCTGGTGAGGAGCGGCTCTCTATAAGCTTGCCAACTTACGAAGAAAGCTCCTGTGCTCTAATTCTGGTTTGACCGTCGATGGTTTCTTGAACTTTATCATTCGAGTATAAACCCATTGGCGAGTTATACTGTAGATGAACAATGTTTGGGTTAGTATCTTGATCAAAAACATTGTTTGAAGCGAACGTTTGCGGGGGGTTTGGTGTTTCATCGTAGGGGACCAACCTGGGAGCTACATGCACTTCGGGAGCAGGGTTGCGGGAACCATAATCAAGATCCTCATCCCATGGTTTCACTCCGGAGGTCTTAAGGGTATGTCTCCATGCGGGGACAGTGGGTTCACCATCTTCGTACGGTGAGGGTGTGTAGCTGGTTGCATCTGGTTGCCTATATTGTTGTTGCTGCTGCTGTGGTGGTGGTTGTGGTTGCCAGACACCACTAGAGGGACGACTTCCTCGCTGTGCGTAATCAATACCAACTTTGCTATAGTCTGTTCCAATAACAGGCCCTGTTGGCTTTCTGAATTTAGGAGCAGATCTCTTAGGTTTGATTGGTTTTGGCACTTGATAATGAAAAATGAAAAAGAAAGACATTAGGATGCATACAAAGTGTAACATAAAAACTGGAGATTTTCAGATGTACCTACTACGTTAAGTTTACGTTTTGACAGAACATTTAATTTACAGAACAAAAACAACAAATTCAAACATAATAGCAACATTGATTCACAGTAAGAGAACGTTTTTGTCTTTAAAGATAGTAGTAAAATGTATTTATTTTGAAATAAATAAATAGACCAGAAAAGAAGGCATAAATTAAGAAGGAGAAAAAAGTAAAGGCTGTGAGGTAGGGATCGAGATGTCTAAGTGGTAAATTTCTATCATTTGACGAAATGCTATTTGGTGAGTACTAAGACGCTTGACTATACGTAGTTCAGAAGCTAAATGTGATCACCTCACAACAGAACACTACAAAACATGTCTACATTTACAGTGCTATTGTAATATTGGTTATCATTTACATAAAGCCATCTTTGTTCCATATTTAGATGCACTTAATCAACACCAAGGCCAGCCATCGATGAATTTGGCAACGTTATATCCGTCAAATATGGTTGCCATATCGACAAAGGGGAGTAACTATAGTACAACCGTTTAGAGTGCAGATTTATGAAAGCAATGAGAGGAATATGTTAAAGCCAATCTAGGTAATATTGAGACTAACAAATGATTCGATTTTATTTCAATCGTTCGTTTGCGCGCAGTGGAAGGAAACGGGAGGACCCGGAGAAAACCCATGAGGTTGGACAGGCGACTTTCTCCTTATCACGTACAAGCTTGGAATCAATGGCAGGTAATATTGGGACTAACAAATGGTTCAATTTTATTTCAACCGTTCGTTTGCGCGTAGTGGAAGGAAACCGAGGACCCGGAGGTTGGACAGACGATCTTATTCTTACTCCTTATCACGTACTAGCTGGAAATAGAAACCACGCCATTAGACTCAATGGCAGACCTTATGATCTATAGCACACGCGCTAAAACATAAGGTCAACCCCGCCCCCCCCCCCGCCCCCCTTGTCGCGAAGTACTATGCAAGGTAAAAATACAGAGCTTGCAAATACTACGGACATACTCCTCATACGATTATTAACAACCAATATTACAATACGTATAACGTCATCATGCTGGCTCAGTTGGTTCTACCTACTAATATCACTTCTTTACCTGTTGTCCACATGGATATTAACTCAATCAAAAATCAAATTATTTGCATAATTTACATAATGAAAAAATAAAATGAAAAATATAGAAAATATATATCTCACTTAAATAGAAAAATATCGTTCAGTTGGTGCAAAATACTAAAATTAAGGGTCATAATATCTTCATGTTAAGTTCAACCGAATCTTTATAAAAGAAAAGTTCTAACTATAAAATTGGATACCAAATTGTGGAAAGAAAGCTTTTTGTTTTAAGAAGTAAACTAAGAAAATACTGTACGATGCTCAGTGCTGAAGCAGTAAAATGGTATTGTAAGATTAACATGAAGATATTACTGAAGGAACTAAAGCCTACCATGCGAATAGGAGGATGGTCCCGTGAATGCCTGTCTTCTCTCCCATACAGGGACAGTGTTCTCTTCTACTTCAGGTTCTACTTGTTCCAACATCTCCGCCGTCGATCGGAAACCTGTTGACTGTGGAGATGGTTGGGGTTGATAGGCGGGGCCGGTTTGTCCAGGATACTCACTGAATTGTTGCATCCTATCCAACCTCTCGCCTGTTGACATGGCGTAAGGTTGTTGCTGTTGATAACTAGGTTGTTGTTGGGGAGCTTCGTAGGGCTGTTGATATGGTTGATAAAAAGGAGCTTGAGATGGAGAAGCTTCTGGTGTTCGTGGAGAAAGAATGATATTATCTAGACTGCCCTGTACACGATTCAGCATGTTATACTGATCCGCTGGTTTATAGTTACCACTACGAGATTGTGTGGAGACCGGCACTCCACCCTGTGCATATTCTGCTCCGAAACTTGGCCCGCCTCCGCCATATTTGCTCACCGTAACTTTCTTTGGTTGGTGCCCATATGATGGTGGCTGCGGCATCTGTGGTTTCTGTTCCGGAGAAGGATCAAAATTCTATGTGAATAATAAATCAAAAAGATGCATATTATGAGAGGGGGTTAGCAAGGAGTTAGACTGATTAGTTTTTTTAATTGGGTAAGGTTACGCAAAATTACACATTCACTTACACACATCTATGACTGGAATTTTCTTAACTCTTGTAAGCATCCCAAATCTATATTGGTAACAAAACTGCTGCTTTCATAATACTGTTCTATGACTATTTATCTTTGAGAAGTATTTGCCTAATATAAATGGAGCACCAACATAATTATTCATTATCTAGATAACATCTACGTAATAACTATCTTATACCAATATGATTACTGTCTAATGCACAGTCCATCTAAAATCCTACATCTAGTCATTTCTTATATCAAGTAACAATATCCATATAGAAATAAATGATTGACCCACACACCCAAAATCGTAAGACAATAGGCTAGGGAAACTAGGTAGGGTGGAAGGTTTAAGCTAGGTGTGATATGTATGAATACATGATTAATTTATAAAATAAATAAAATTGTTTTATATAAAATAGTACTATAAATGCTTATAACGTGATAAATGCTTATAACGTGATAAATGCTTATAACGGACTGTTAAGATGTTTAGAAATAATATCCGTGAGACCAAAGTGCACTGATTTCTCAAGAAAAAAAAAAGATTCTCCAAGGTGTTTAATTACCTGCTGTGGTGCTCGTGTTTGAACTGGTGTTATATTAGCTGGTGGCTGAGTTATGCCGACTCTTCCAGAAGGTGGCCTGAAAACAGATGGGCGAGTTAAGTGATTTACTACTTGTTACAAAACAAACTGTGGAAGTTAAATTTTTCTTCAGACTAAAATATTATACTAAACGCGATAATTAAAGACAGGGTAAAGTGTGGGATCGATTCGCACAATATTCCAGATTTCAATTAAACACTTCTTGCAACAGTAGAGATCATCAAATACAGCCAGTACAGTGGTCTGGATTTATTTACCACTTGGAACTATCGCAAGAATTGTGTTCCGCTCCTTTCAGTTGGCAATAGCTGGTATATTCGGATAAGGGAGTAAAATAATCTATGCAAACTGGCACGAAGAAACCAAAGATACCACGTGTCCTTTGCACAGAATCGTCACCATTTGGCCTCAGTCCTCATTTAATCCTTACAGAAAAGTATCATTTTCCTAATATCCGCGGAACAAACAATATCCACAATTATAGAACAACAAAAGAATGAGATCAGTACACATTCCAAATGACGAAATAAACCAGATTCCAATGATAGTTGGTGAAAAAGTGGTAACACATGTTTCAGAATATAATTTACCTAGTTATCGCAAGTTCGATCTGTCCCCCGCCGTGCTTTAGTGTATCCTGGGCTTGTTTATGACTAAGATCAACTCCTCTCCTAATGCCAATAGAATCGATGATATCACCTCGTTGTAGTTGACCCTCAGCTGGACTATTACAGAAAACCTACAAATGTAATAATAATATTGTCAAATAATTCAAATTCCAACCCATTGGACGCCTATATATTAATAAAACTGATAAGAACAACAATGAATGTTAGGGTAGTGGATGTCAAAAACATATCACCCCAAGTACGAGCTTCTGTCTATGAGGTTATGTTTCACATTATTTGTATTATAGAAAGGTGAACAGAATCTAGAGAGTTTTGCCAGGGTGGTGATATTTTAGAGCAATTTTGTCACATTCCATCTCGATACACCTCTTTGTCAGTTAATAACAGGCAGGTGCATTTTGCTGTGTTTGGTTGTTTGTTTATATAAACAGATTTATTTTTGTCAGTTACAACGATCAACCTACTGATAAAATATGTACTTGACGAATTTCCAAATTGGCATTGTGACATGCAACAAATTATATACATGTATGTGGTAATAAGTTAATTTTAATGCAATTATAATATGGTTTTAATTACATTTTGTTTTTCTAGAATTATCCCGCCTTTTAAGACCAAAAGAACGTGGCGTAGCTAAATCACAAGAACTTCAACATTATTCTTGGAATCTAATTTAGAAATATTTATTTTTAAGGACATCTATCATTTTCACTTGAATATGTTGTGGTACAATGTTTCTATTAACAATAATACGCTATGGTACCATGATTCTATGAAAACAAAATGTGCTATATATATATACCATGTTACCATAAATAAAAATAATGTTATGGTGCCATGTTTTTTAATAAAAAAAAATAATGTTATGGTGCCATGTTTTTTAATAAAAACAAATAATATGTTATGGTACTATGTTTCTATATAAAAAAATAATATGTTATGGTATTATTTAAAATAGAAAAGAGAGACACTTTTTACTGGGATTGGTAATTAAAACCACTTCAATAATATGTTTGAAATTGCATGACAATTATTTACTCTTTAGTATACATCACATTGGTAATTAACTTTTCTACTAATCTGTAAATAAAGATACTTACGTCTACATCGCCCAGTAGATACTTCACTTATTAATTACCGAGAGGGAGCTATAGAAAACTAATTGCATTCAGCATGCTGGCATCTGCAGGCAATGGGATTTGGTTTAAGTTGAAAGCAATGAAAGAGACAAACTTACCTGTTAAGTTCCGAAAAGTCTAATTTCGAAACTTACACCTTACGGAATTCCTCCTGTGATTTGACTAAACTAATCAGAAACGTTTACAGTTCTTTTAGATGAAACCTATACGCTGATTTATCATCGAAATATTCAGAACGAACCGCGAGGTTACCGGCAATTGCAGTAATGAGTTGTCTTGTGCAGAGGTAGAAAATAAATACGTCTCTATGGCAACTAACTGCTTATTTGTGTTGTGTATCTACATGATATATCGTTCAAGTACAGATCTTTATCTTCAACCGAATATGACAAAAACAATAGATCGGAAACTGTTGATGTTCTAAATATTCTAGTTTTCCTGATAATTTCATTACATATCATATTATCGAAATTTAAATTCATAATCAGAAACTTTGCAAAAAATAAGTATGTCCTTTTAAATTGGTAATCAAATATCTAAATATTAATAATAAAATGTATTTGCGATTTTCATTTATTATTGGTGTTCATAAATTTAGAATGAAAGTAAAACGTTCTATTGAATACAATATCGCGCTATATATATATAACAGTATTCTACCTGTAAGCTTTGAGTGGGTGAAACATTTGGTTAGAATGTGAACTCTAGATATCAGATTTCTCCTACCTTTTCTGTTGGGTAAGATGTCGATACCAGGCTGTGAGTATTATCAGCCACAATGCTGTGGTAATAGCCACACTATCAACAACTTGTATTTATATATTATCAAAGACTCGCTTAACTCACTTAACTTTCTTTATTTTTATTCTATCAAATTTTAAAAGAAAGTGGTTGATATTATGTTAGCAAAAAATGTAGTATAAATTAGCTGAATTAACAGACTATCTCTGACTTGCACCTCGTTGATATTGCTATAAATTGCTGTTACGTTGTGTTATATAATGTAAGTGACTGGTGGAACCTAGAATTTAATTCAATAATGCTATTCTTACTAACATTAAATGAACAGAAAATGTTTAGACAAACTGCGAAAATATTTTCGTATCAAAATTAGGCATTTCACCAAAAGAAAGCAAGAAAACAACAACACAGAGCAGGCAACGTCTATCTAATTAATTAGAACGAGAAATATAAAACTGAGTATGAATAAAATGAACATGTTGGCACCTTGAGTTTTTACAGTATATATGATCTGTTGGCTGGATATCTTCCAGACAGTTATGAGCTGTGTATACCAGCTCTCAAGGTCACGTGGAGGTAATATAGGCCTAAAGCAATTAGTAGTTTGAATTCCGAACCATACTTCTTTCTGATTAACATCTCAAGAGCTTCAGACCCCTTGGCCACTGGGCCGTTAAGCCAATAACCAGAAATGATAAGTAACTTACATAAAATATGGCACCTACTGATATGTCAATTAAATATTAAACAACAAGGCGCCGTATTACATAAGTCATAAGTATAAGTCGTAAGTAGTTATCAATTTACAGATCTGTATCCAAACAAACAAATAAACAATACCTTGGAAATCTCCGTTTGCCAACAACTTTATCCATTGCATAGTCAATATCAATTTGATCAAAGCTGTTTTACAAAATATTGATCTATTTATTTACACATTTTATAATAGATAAATGCAAGTTGTCTCATTCAAATTGTCGTACAAGTGGTACAAAACCCCAAAGATCTCGTGTCAGCATTAGCAATGCCTATACTACACGGCAGACTTCATGTAATGCAACATAAATACATTTAAATGAATGTACCTCGTTTCGTCCAATACCACCCGCACGACTAGAAGCTTGATGTTCCTTACCAGTCACCCTCCCCACTCTACACCACTGGAAAAATTTATCGGCTAACACAGGATCGAATCTTGGACACCCTCTTTAGTGAGTAATCACCCTACTCACTGAGTCGCCGTAGCTCGAAATTTAATACAGAAAAAACAGGTTGATATCAATATTAGCCCATTTAAAGAATTGACAAGTCTTTCAACTCCTTCTTGTTCTGTTACAATACAGATCAAACAAAATTAGACAATTATAACTCAATATCAATTAATTAATTAAATGTCGAAGATATTTAACACCGCATGAGAATGATACTAAATGTTCCAGAAGAGATCCAAAAGAAATTTTTAAAAAATTGAGAGACAGTTCTCTATAATATTGGCGGTAGATTGCTATCATACGACGGCCTTGAAATGGTGCCAACGTAACCTTCTAGAATATTCAAGGTCTTTAAAGGGTTTTTTAATGTAAATATGAAAGAATGGGAGAGCGATAAGTATGGCTTAATGTAGACTCAACCCTAACTTGGTCATTTAGGGGAAAGATATGGTATATCTCAATTTCAATAATTTACTTACGCGTAGTGGACTTTAAAAATGAGAGATGGCACTAACACATTGTCTCGTACATAACTTGCATATATATCAAACCATAGGTTCTACAGTGCAAAAACCCCAGAGCTCCAGGGAGTGTGGGTGTCCGAGTAACGCGTTCTTTAAATAATGAAGTCTTTTATTGTGTCAAGCATTGTGGATTCTCACCCAGACACGCAGTAGGGTCGCCTGCCTAACCTAAAAAATGAAATGAAGTGGGGGTTTAACGTCCTACTGTTCTGCCCCGACTGGGCTAATGAAGACGGATATACGTCATACGGTGTGCTGTGATGGAAATTCTGCCCAAAAGCGGCGCAACGACCTACTCTTTTATCGAATTTCAACTGTTAAGGGTTATTTTACGTGCATGAAAATGTGTATAGGGAACCACGGGTTTTCGTCCCATCCGAACGACTATATTATGTTGTCTCTTGCGAGGCCCTCAGCTCTCAAAGAAAGCATGTAACGGGAATCTTAACCATTAAGCTATAAAATTATCTATAAATTCACGTCTATTGTAGAAATATAACTAGGAATGTAAAGACATGTGGTATATATTATGACGAAGGTGTGTTACTACTGTATATTATCTATAGACTTACTACCTGGTTCTATTTACTATAATCAGTTCACGTAAACCAATACCTGGGCGCCATTATAAGATACCAGCACGATTGATATATATTGTATTATTAATACTATTTTCACCAATATTGTGTCTATAAATATGACGAGAAATAGGATAAACAAATAGATGAAAATCGGGGTATTTGACACAAGTCGAGGCTATTTTTGAAAGTAGTTAGAAGAAGTACAGAGACACACAAGAAAGAGCACTCCACTCTGTACTTACCTATAACCCATGCACGTGCGTCTGATAAAGGCATGCAAATTTATCAGAACATATCCACTAACAACCAGTGAGTAATTAGGAATTCGCCCAGTTAACCCAACTCATTGGAACGAGTGCTTACAAGTGGCTTGTCAAGTCCCAAGAATGCCCGCATCGTCATCGCATTCGGAATGGCCATGATGAATCGAAAACAACAGGAAGCCGGTTGCAGATGATGACCTATGCATATATTGTATATAACACTACTGCATCAATCCACAGGTAGATTTACCCCCCTTTTCTATTACGACTTCACTTCACATCTTACTTATAAATAACACATTTCTCATTTTCCTTTGTATATAAATAGTCCCAACAAAAATATCGGCTTAGTCAGTCGGCAAGACGAGGTAGTTGAGCGATGGCTTCCAGACCATGATACCCACAAATGTTCCAACCGAACTACACCGGTCTTTTAGTTACACTGATTATTAGATAGTTCTTCGACAGGTAAGAATTGAAAACAAAGTCGGATTGCACATGCACGAGCGCGCACAACCATTATAACATTAAGCAAATTACAAAACCAGTGAACACATAGAGCATCTGTTTAATGGCAACATAAAGCTTTTTTAATAAGCCACGCATTACTGTTTCTATTTACTGTATAGTACATATTACTGATAGCAGCCG